AAGAGCAACAAATAATATAAAAACTTTTGTACCACTTATTTTACAAATAAATAAATCTCAATTTATATCTGAACATCTAAAACTTCTAGTTAGCACACAATGTGTATTTTTTTTAATATGAGACTAGGATAGAACATTAAATTGCACATTTTCAAGACTATCATGGTTTTTGTGGAGAAGGGACATACAGTTGTAAGCGATTCATTTTGGATGACAAAAAAAAGTCTCTTCTCATTAGCACAAGCATTTATAATTATAAAAATTATAACAGTCTCAAAGTTCAAGTCATTCAATAAAGGCTTACTACTTCTGGCTGTATATCGCTCAGCTAAGTCTCAATTTTCTAGCCAATTACTAAGAACCACCAAACCTAAATTTATTGTGTTTTGTTTTTTGTATTCAAAAATTACTGAAATTGGCCCATAGTAAAAGGAGACTGAACTTCAGTGATACTAATACGTATAGAATAATTATATCATTTCTTAATATGATAATAGATAACTTACATGCTGATTCTTTGGTTAGGTAAAAATACGAATTTCCTGTCATAGAAACTATAATTTATTTGTCCCTTTTAGAGAATAAATAAGTTTTGTGCTTCCATAAAGCAGATTATGTAAATATAGGTGAAATGAAAAGCTTGTACATCTGGAACGATATTTAATCTATTATGTATTGAACACAAGAAGAAAAGGCGATAAAAACTTACCCTTTCGCGATTTTCCAGCATAAAATCACGTCACTGATTGATCGGAAGTTCTTGAATTTTATGAATTGACTGTAATTTCCGAAATCTTTCTTTTTCTATACACAAAGATTTACAAATCGATACACAAAAACAACTCATTCGACGATTATCATCATCATCATCATGATTATCATTTGGCCAAGTTCGTTCGTCTACACACACGGGCTACTATAAACCACAGATTACTATATCTATAAACCACAGACTACTTAGATATAGACTATAACCACTGACAGATAACCACCTATAGAAAATAACCACTATCGTAATGTAAAGCCGGAAATAAATATATCTGTCGTGTTGTGTCGTGACGTGACGCGTGAGAGAAGTTTAGTATCGGTTTTATACAATTAGTATATTTAGTCTCTCTCAGCGTCGCGTCGCGTCCTGTTTTTCGCCTTGGGAATACCTTAACAGTGAGATAATAGAGATGAATTTGCTTCGATTCTGCGCCAGTGTGCGTTGAGCCTAACCATACTAATGTAGGAAACCGATAGCTCTCTGACCAGTCACGACACATTATGATAGGTAAATATATTTCCGGCTTAAGGCTGGCTGAAACTTCACATTGCTGGACGCGCTTTCCAAAACTACGCTCCAGGGGGCAACAATTGTCAAATTTGACATAAGTTTCAAGACATTCTGTCCAAATTGAAACTTCTCAGGGTAAAAAGTTACACTCAGAGCGTAGGTTTGGAACGCAGATTCATGTTCTCTATTATTAACCTTGACAGCAGTATATCTTTATCATACATAGGAAGAATGAAAAGGAAAGACTACTGCTATGACGTTTACAAATTGCAAATTCGAATAGGCATGCTAAAGGGTTAGGTCCCATAATATACGTCTGTAAATAGATTTTTTACCTGCGTATTAAAAAAAAAAAAGGTCCCATAATATAAATACTACTCTTTGGTTAGGGTTTAAAATTTTAGTTTAAATGATGACCCGCTTAGGTAGGATCTGGACAAATAGATCGATCTCAAAAAGACAGACAGATCTCTCATTGACGCCTTTGAGATGTGGTGCTGGAGGAGAATGTGACGAGTTCCGTGGACAGCCCACCGCACAAATGCGTCAATTCTTAAAGAAGTGCGAGTCACCGTTAGGCTATCGACAGTCTGTTTGCGAAGGATCTTCGAAATGTTCGGTCACATAGCCAGGAAGAAAAACGATAACCTGGAAGTTATCCTAGTGACAGGAAAAGTACAGGGAAGGCGACCAAAAGAAAGAAGCCCCATGCGCTGGACAGACTATATCTGCGAGTCTGCGACAACATCAAAACTGGAGTCCGCGATGCATTACATACTGCCGAAGACCGCAACAAGTGGAAAGCTATCGTCCACAAAATAAATCGTGGAGATGCAGTGCAAACAGGAGCACGGCACGACACAAGGAGGAAGTTTAAATTAAGTCATTATTAATAATAAAAATATTAGTATTTATCTTGAAATAGCTTCTGAGCTAAAACTAATTTTCTTCTATGTTAAGGGTTATGGTTTCCGCAGTTAAAGCATATGAGTAAAGAAACGTACACTTACAGTCCTGAAAATGGACTACTGTACATGTGAAAAATAGAATCTTTGTAATTTGAGCAGTTAAATAAAATTAAAGACCCACGAAACCAATACAATTTATTTCTATATCACATACGTGTTACCAGAATAAAGGACATCATAAGTATCCAAAAATAGGTAAATTTTATTTCCTTGTGTATTATATACATTTAAACACGGTGACTAGGAAGTATACCTAATTTACGATCCCGTAAAATTATTTTCTGATTTGTTTTTTCCACTACAAAAATAATAATAATTATAAATATTATTTACTAAAGAAAGACCTGCGGATAGAATAATCGAAATAAAATTTATCCAAAAATTTCGTATCATAATCATAAAAATATTTAAGCTCAGTCACACACACACATACAAACAGACACCACGATAGAGGAACTACAAAAAGTACGGCGCTTCGTGTTTGCAATATTCAAGGCACCTAATGGAGTTTTCTTCTATTACTGCCTGATCAGGAAAGTTTGGAGCTAGCAATCACTCTTTTTCTTTCTCTCTAAGGCTCATATATGTGTTCTGTGCTAAGGCTGACATAAGTGGCTTATCTATCTCTACTATGAATATTGTATCTTATCTTGTTCTATCAAAGACTGACCGCTATGCAGTGGCAGCACTATCCATTTCTTAGTTTTTTCCGCATATTGCTGTGCCGCATCGTATATTGCTGTGATCTCTTGGACGCCTGACATAAATATGATAAAATCCCCACGTTCATCGCCTGTACAGTTTGTCTATAAAGTCGTTACATTAACGTTTGAGGAACTAACATTAGTCATGTGTCTGGCAACATCAAACTTATGTACATCAGCTGTCATCGTGTTTCAGTTGAGGAACAGTTTTCCTTTTGTATTTTTTATTGTTTGGATGAAACTGTAATAAATTAAGACGAAACTACGCAGAAAGGTATAAAAATGAGTAAAGTAAATCGGAGTGGCACGCGGGAAGTGATTTTTAATGTTTTCCAGCGATGTTTCGAAGACTACCAAGCTGGACGAATTTTGTGGGATTTGGATGATGTTCATGGGCGAACAGAATCTATGACGGGTATGTAATCGTGTAACTATTTGATTGTATCTGCCTGAAGTTACAAATTTACTCTATTTACGATTTTGAGACCAAAAAAGGCATTGTTTACATTGCACATTTTTAGGTTAGATTGAGATTGTAAATAGGTAATATTGTAGTACGACCATTTCTTTTGATACGTAATAACGTAACCATAATAATGGTTCAACTCGGTCAGATTTTCTACCAATTTTGAATGAATTGCTTCATGTCAATAAGTTATTGTTTCTATTCCTTTACATATTTTTTACCTTTTTTCAGGAAAATCAGAGAGTCGGATAGTCAACGAAGGTTTTAAGAATGATGGACAGTTTGAAACTCCTGGGAAAACAGGCAAGGCCGACCAAAGAAAGAAATGGTCACATAAAGAACCATGGCCAGATGCTTTTAGTGAAGATACCTATCACTAATTTTACTAACTGCACATTTACAAATTGTTTCTCTAAATAAACTTTTTATATACTATAAAATGATTTTTAGTATTAACGGCTCTGGTCTCAATGGCACCTCAGCGGTAATCACCCACATTACACACTTTTACACTATAAAGTACTATTTTATGTATAATAATTTTATTCTGATTCAATTAAATATGTTTGGCTAACCTTTTTATAAGCATAGGTACCTACTATATATAAAACGGAAACAAAATACGACTGTATAGTGTGTATTATTAATTACCTATTTTACTTGAATGAACTGCTAGTATCAAAATCATTTTGGTCCGACTGTATAGGGTTGCTACATGCATACTAGTGGCGCCATTATTTAATGTCGCGATTGATAATGATAAAATGTCATTGTTGATGTTCGAAAAACGAATAAAATAATCTTAAGATAGGTACCTATGTAGTTGTCGACCATCTCCGCTTTCGTTTAATTTTTCTTTTCCTTGCTAAGTAGTTTTTGTATATAAAACAAGCAATTTTAATTATTTCGAATTTCATCGTCGCACATGACACTTTGATCATCAAATTGCGAATGCGAGCCGGAAACAAGTGCAACGTTGGGTTCAGAAGTTTTTGATGTGTAACATTTTTCCTCTCGCTTTCCTGCAATTTGTGGGAGTGATTTCGTTAAATGGGACGGAAGTGTGTAACAGGAAGTCGTGAAAGCGCGCGCAATTTGATTTGATTTTAGAACATAATGTTCAAGGGTTTATTTCTTGCTTTCGAAAGCAAACGAGCGTGCGGTAGTCAACTCGGAATGTCCTTTAATGGCATTAGTTGGGCTGGTGTGTACGTAGCATTAGACAAAAAATACTAATCTTATAGAGGTGACTTGTAACTATTTACCCGCTTAATCATATAATTTATTATAATTGCCGAGGGAAAATATCACTAGTATAGGGTAACACACTGAAAGTCATTATACGCGTTCAAAACTTGCAGTTATTTTTATTTAGTTTATAACTTTTATTTAAAAATAAAACGGATTATAGAAACTTATATCAAAATATTCTATTTATTTAAGACAAAGTTACTAACATATCTATAAAAACTTTAATTTTAAACTTCTTATTTTTGTTGTCTTGCGTATTAACAACGGAATGAATTTATGTGTTTTGTCGCTAATTTTGAACAGACATGTGTTATCTCTTTCATTCTTTACGTCAGTTTCTCACGTCGATGTATGTGGTGTCAAAGAGAATTAAAAATCGTGATTCTTTTACGAAAAAATTAACAAATCTTGAGATGTTTAGAGTATTTATTTGTTTTATCCATTATGTTTTTCTTTGCTAAGCTTGTGCAAGTGACGTTTAGTAGTTTTTGAAGACAACAGTGAAGAAATTTTGGTTTATCTAGTACATTATGAATTGCCACCAAGTACTAAGTGGTGCCTGTAATTCAGGAGATCAATGTTTTGCTGTTGGTTCGGTGGAAGGAATACCTTTCACAGTAAGTGTGGTAGCTATTTGTTAGTGATTAACGGGATTTGCACGGTCATGGCTAAGTCTCGTGATTAAGGAACTGAAATGTCTATGCAGCATTGCAGCAATTGAGAAGTTATGCTGACAGGAAAATCTAATTTAGCCTACTTTATTTAGCTTAACACTATTTTCGTTTATTTTCTAACCATTACACCCACCCATTAAACTTTATTCAACTGTATGTTAGCAACTTTGGCCCATATTCCTTGAGAGCACTTTCCTTGAATATTCATTGGCATTGGTAATAAAGATATTTAAATAACAATATCATCTGCCGACATTGTTTATTTTGAATAGCTTATGAACTATTGTTATTTTGTAAATATACTCATTTGCAGTAAAGTCATTTATTTAAACAGTGCAAGTCTTCAAAGTACTTATAATAATTCCTTTTCAAAAATATTATTTGATTTTTTTATTGCTATCATAGGGGTACATTACATCACATACAAAATACCCACTTTAGACAGTACATTCTCATAATGTTACAATGTTAGGCAGTATCTCATATAATTTGTAATATAGGTAAAGTTATAACTTATTAAGCATAAATAATAAAACTCATTACTTTATACCACTTTTTAATTCTATGACTAGGAACAATGTGGAAGAATTATAGATTTTGTTATATTTGGGGCATTTGCTTTTCTATTTTCAAAATATCATGCATTTTATTTTAGGCTTATGCAGCTGGGTGCAATATTGTGATATTGGCATCCAATTTTGAGAGAGTACAGATAATACCAGGAGCCATTCATGGTTATGTCCGTATTGGCTCATTAGATTGTAGCACAGACACAGGAAAGATTGCAGCAGCCTATGGTGCGGAAGTGTGCATATTTGAGCCAACACCATTGATACATACTGCTGCTACTACTCATGTAAGTACATAATATCACAGCAAAGTAGTTTTTAAATTCAATTATGAAAAAAACCTGTTAGTGGTAGCAGTGTTATATTGCAATATCAAATATTCATTACTTTCCATTATTGTTTTAAAAATAAGCATGTAATGAATATTTATTATTTTATTTGGTTTAGTTTGAAGACATAGATTTCAAATAACACCACTGATAAGATAAAATTAAAACAAATTTCAATACATTTTTTTTATCTTTATTGAGATAAAACTTACTGTCAAAGCTATGATTTATTAATGAAATATTTAGAATGCTTTATCTCTATCATTTAATTAATAGTATGAAAAAACACACGTTCCTACACAACTCATTTCGAGTTGTGTAGGAACGTGTGTTTTTTCAGTATTATTATTTCTTCAAAATAACTTTTCCTTAATAAAAATCCTTGACCAACTTGTATTTAGTTAGCACTTGCTCCAAAAGCAGAAAACATATTATTAATATTTAAGTGTTGGTTTAGTTAGCTTATCTATTATTCTTTAATTGTTAATAAACAAATCATTCTAAGTTTTTCTAAAGGCTGTAAGTAATTTTCAATATATTTTTAAAGTAAAAAAACAAATATTAAACACATACAAATATTTAAAACAAAGGGTCCTGTACCATTATCTATACAACATAAGACACAATATTATAATATCGAGCAAAAACCGCTTATGTTGTATGAGAGGCCCCCTTAAGTATTTCATTTATTTTAATAAGATTGTTATTTTTAAAGTATACTAAATATTCTGTGAATATTTCATCTTGAATTTATTAAATCTATTTAATATATTTATTTATTCTTTTTCCACTGTTAATATACATCAAAAAACTGCAACTGCAAAAAAAAACGTGTTTGTTGTATGGGAGGCCCACTCAAATATTTATTTTATTCTATTTTTAGTATAGAGGCAACAGAAATACATCATCTAGAAAAATATAAATTGCTTTGCAATCACCTTTAATAAGATACAGCCTGCTGACAGACAGACAGTGCAGTCTTAGTAAAAGGGTCCTGTTTTTATTTTTTGGGTACAGAAATCTAAAAAGTAGTTTTTTATTTAAGAAAACAATTATTTCATAAAAAAAATAATGATGTCACAGATTTTCCCATTTCATAAATCATTGTTTTTACCAAATAATACTATAATTTTTCAATAATTAATTAATTATATAAGTAAGCATAAAAAATACATACTTATTTAGAAAAAAAAAAATAATGTATTGTATTTATGGTCTAATAAATAATTATGAAGTAATAAAGCATTTTGCTTAGAATCTGGTTTTTGATAATAAATTTTGTGTCAAACATAATAGAACTGGTAGTTGTTTGGCATTTACATAGAATGTGATTTTACCCAATTGCAGATGGTATGTTCTTCGAGAGTATGTATGTCGTCTGCTATATATGACGTCCGTTTCTTTGGGGTATATTAAAATTTTAATAAATCTAAAAACAAATTAAGCGCTTTAAAAAAATGCTTATAACCATTTGGACGGGGTGTCAAAGTGGAGGGTTTTAAAAGACAATTCAGAAAAATCTAAATAAATATACTAATTTTAAAATAAAACAAAACATTTTGAGAGTAAAATGAAATTTTTAAAAAATCAAAAAACCGACCTTACAAAATACATGTTTTTTCTTTTCAGTTTTTATTTGAACTTAATTTAAAACCAGGCTACTTTATCGAGTTTTTAAATTAACTATTTTTGTTCTTTGATCAGTATTGGTTAAGAACAGTAGAGGTTAGATTTGAGATTTCACTATCCACTATGACTCCATTAAACTAAAGCAGTTGATTTTAAGTCGTCTTTCTCTAGAGTAAGAGTCTAGTCTTTCAACTAACAAACAAGGATGGGATCATACTGACCAAGGTCAATCAATTAGCATCATATTACAATTCAAGTTCAATAAATGAGGGTAACAAAGAATAAAAATAGTGGGAAAAGAAATTTAATTTTGGTGTTCAGTATCTAATCCTAAACAAAGTTACAGTTAAATTATCATAATAGGTATTTATGATTTATTGAAATTTAATGAATGAAATTCAGAATCATACTGTTGTTAAAGTTTATTTTAACGATATTATTTCGGTTACTAAAAAAGGGTTACTCAACATAATGAGAAATAACCTATTTTTCGCTAGTAGGTACATATTTAATGGGCTCCCTGTATTTATTAATTAGTTCGCCGTAATGTTGGTTTTTTAATTATTAACGATAATTCTGCAAAATTCAAAGTAAATAATACAAAGTTTTATAGGTAAATCACCCCTTCCATCACCCTACGCCTGGTATTGCGATATTATAGCTTAGAGCCAAGCCCCATCTATTTCTATAGGGAAATTCATCTTAATAGATTTAGCTAGTGGGGCGCGGAAGCGTAAAAACAAACTCACTTTCGCGTCTTTAATATTATATTATACTTACTAGTAATCCACCCAGGCATTGCACGGGCGAAATTTTTAACGGGATAAAATATTAGCCTCAGTCACTCGGATAAAATGTAGTCATACAAAAAAAACTAGAAAAAAATCCTTTCATAGAAGTTGTCAGAGTGGATTTTATTCAACTAAAAGTTTTCTTTAGATTTATAAATCGAGCAGATTAATCAACAATATTGAGATTAATGCATGAAAATATAATAATAAATAATGAGATACCTTATGATGAAAGTTTTGTTTTTTTGACAATTGACAGATTATTTGTTGCAAACATACAACTCTTGCCTCTTTATAATATAAGCATAGATAGTTAGGATAATCATATTTAATTAATGAAAAAGATTTAAAAATAAAGTAAGTAATAGGTTTATTTGATTATATTTGTAAAAGTTACTTAGCATTTATGGTAAACAGTGATTCGTTATTCAGTTATTTATACATACTTAAACTTATTTAGTCTATAGGTAGAAAAAAAAATATGGAAAATAATTGCTATGATTGCACCATTTGTAATAGCTCGGTTGAAAGGTGGAAGTACTCTTCATTCGAGCTTTACACTACTAATAAAAAGGTAGACCAGAAAGTTTGCGACCTGTAACTGGTAAACGCTTTAAAAGAGAACGACAAAGATGCAAATCTATACATTGGGTGTTAAATTGATAATAAATGGGATTGTTATGGTGCTGTACCTAACGCTATGAAAATTTTATTCTGCGTCTGAACTTTAATCAAATATTATAAACTTTGCTTTGGTGATTGCATAATTATTTAATTAAAACAATTATGTTCTCGGATAAGTTAGGATGTGGCTTTGGATTATGTTAAGGAATTATTGTAATGAAAGAATTACTAATATATGTATGCCAGGTAAATCAATAAATGACATTGTAAGTGAACTGAATCAGTATGATGCGGACAGTTTGACAAACATAGTTATTATGTGTGGTGACAGCTCTAAAATAAGAGCAAGAGATATGTATAGAAATATAGAGGTGCTACTTAACTATCAGTCTAGGTGCAAGTGTAAAATAATAATAAGCGCTTTCCCATATGCAGAAAATTTAACTAGGGAACAAAACAAGCGCATCTTTAATTTGAATTTAATAATTTATAATTTATTAAATAGTCATAGTGACAATTTTTTATATTTTGATATAAATAAATATATTAGTAAATTTAAGTTGACCACAGATACTATGTATCTTGCAAAAAAATATAAGTCTCAGATAGCTACTTTGTTAGCTTTTAATATACAAAACTCAGTTATACATGGTATAACAAAGTCTATACAACTGGATTGTTTTAGTGTCAGCACTAATAAAATTATTAATTTAGAAAATAGGGTGACCAACTCAAATTTAAACTGAGGGGTACGACAACAGCCAAATCCAACAAAATTAATATTATTTATCAGAATATTCAAGGGTTGGCTGGCAAAGATTTAGAATTAGAACTATTTGCAAAGAGCCAGGATATTCATGTTATCTGTTTATCTGAACACTGGCTTAAGTCTTCTGAGGTGTCTTTTAGCATAAACAATTTTCAAATGATAAGTGCATATGTTCGTACTGCAGCTATACATGGTGGCACATTAATTTTTGTAAATAAAAATATAAAAACTAGGGATAGGAAGGACATAGTTGCCCTCTCAGTAGAACGTATTATTGAGCTATCCTGTGTTGAATTCAGTGAATTTATTATTGTATGTGTATACAGACCCCCTCTAGGCAACATTAGTGTTTTTGAATCAGTGATGGAGAATGTTCTAAAAAAGTTAGTCTAAAAATAAGTTTTTGATTGTAGTTGGTGACTTCAATATTAACATTCTTGAAAATAATTCAATGTCAATTCGCCTAACATCACTATTCAAATGTTTTAATTTGGTACATCAATTTTTTGAGCCTACTAGAGTAACATCTCATTCAGCTACTTGTTTGGATAATATATTTACTGATTATAATCCAGTTAGTAAATCAATCATTAATTGTATCACATCAGATCATTACGGCTTAAAAATAACATATAATACAAATGACACTACTAAGCCCAAATTCATTGAATTAAGACCAGTAACAAATAAACGTTTAGAAAATTTTCAAAACAATATTGATGACAAAATGTTTCAAATGCCATGGACACATGAGGATCCTAATATTCTTTACGGCAATATGTTCACTTTGGTTAAGAAAGAATTCGATAAGGCTTTTCCGCTTAAAACTTTGAAATTAACTCAAAAGTTGAACTTCTGTGACTGGGCTACGTCTGGTATTTATAAGAGCAGAAATAAACTTTATGATTTGTACTACTTAAGGAAGTACAATCACTCTCAGGGTTTCATTGATTATGTTAAAAGGTACTCAAAAACATTCAAAAGTGTATGTGCAACAGCCAAATCCAATTACAATTACATAAAAAATAAAATCATAAAATCTAATAATAAAATTAAAACGACATGGAATGTTATTAATAGAGAAACTGGTAAAGAAAGAACCCTCGATGATGGGATCGCACTTAAAGTAGATAATATTCAAATTAAAACAAAAGAACAGATTGCCAATACTTTTAATGAATATTTCGTTAATATACCATTAATCATTAATTACTACTTCTAATTTGAATTCGACGCCAGCGGGTGCTAAGAGTTTGCTAGAGACGTGTGTGCCTCGGTGTAATGACCTGTTTACGTTTAAACATGTTGATTTTATGGATATTATAAAATGCTTTAACTCACTTAAAAAGAAAAATACGTGTGATTTGTTTGGAATGTCTATTAAAATTACTAAAAGTATAATAACAGTTATCGCTCCATATCTTGCAGATATATTCAATAAGTGTATTGATCAAGGTGATTTTCCAGACCTTATGAAATATAGTAAAGTTATCCCTCTCTTCAAAACGGCATAAGAGATGATCCCGGTAATTACAGACCTATATCAATATTACCGGTATTAAGTAAAATTTTCGAAAAAAATATTTTAGATCAATTATTATCGCATGTCAGTTTGAACAAACTGTAACATAATAATCAATTTGGCTTTACTAGGGGTAGATCAACAACGGATGCGGGTGTTGCACTTATTAGACATATAATGGAAGCCTGGGAGAAGTCGCAGAATGTTCTTGGGGTATTCTGTGACTTATCCAAGGCGTTTGACTGCGTTGAGCACCAGACGCTGGTGTTAAAATTAAATCACTATGGAATCAAAGGCGCAGCCCAAAACTTGCTACTATCGTATCTCAGTTCCAGAGTTCAAACTGTAGAGGTAAATGGTGTTAAGTCATTTGGATCTTATGTGAAAATGGGCGTTCCCCAGGGATCGATTTTAGGTCCGTTTCTATTTTTATTGTACATAAACGATTTGCCATTTGTTTGCTGATGATACTTCTTTATTATTTAAGGTTGACCGATACAAGAATAACTTTGACGATGTAAATAATGCTCTCTCACAAGTATTGCACTGGTTTAATGTAAATAACTTAAAATTAAATGCAAATAAAACCAAATTCACTTTACCTAATGTTAGAAGCGAAACCATTAGAATTAAATTAAACAATGAAAACCTAGATTTAGTTGAATCAACGATATTCTTAGGTATAACCATAGACTCGAAATTGCAATGGTATCCTCATATTTCTCTGCTAGCTGGTAAACTTAGTTCAGCAGCCTATGCCATACGTAAAATAAGACAACTTACTGATGTAGCTACTGCTAGAACTGTATACTTTAGTTACTTTCATAGTATTGTATCCTATGGTATTATTCTCTGGGTATCAGCAGCCGATATTGAAACTATATTTATCTTGCAAAAAAGAGCTATAAGGGCTATTTATCAACTTAGTTCTAGAACATCTCTTAGAGAAAAATTTAAAGAAATCGGGATTTTGACTGTTGCTTCTCAATTCATTTATAATTGCATACTTTTTATTCGAAGCAATATTAACTATTATCTAAAACACAGTGACATACATTCTTTTAATACAAGGAATAAAAATAAACTCAAGATACCAAATTACAGGTTACAGAAGGTTCATAAATCATTTATGGGTCAAGGTGTACATTTCTATAATAAGATTTCTATTGATATCCTTGATTTGCCTCCTCATAAATTTAAAATACACATTAAGAATTGTTTACTTAAGAAAGGATATTATACTGTCACTCAATATTTGAATGATAAAACGGCCTGGTTTTAATTTTACCTGTAGATAATTTTTCAAAAGTTATATTAAAACTAAGGCTCCCAGCCTTAGAAAGAGTTTTGAAGAGAACCTTGCACTTACTCCCTTTCATATACTTGTTCATTTTGTTTTGAAAATTGTTTCTTGCTATTTTGGGACTTATCTGTGACAATATCTTACGATATTGAATTTTGAATTTTTTTGAATTTTGAATTTAGCGATCTAAGGCAGTTGCCACCAGTGTACAAAACAACAGACGGGAATGATTGCTTTCGTCAACCTGCGACATTCACGTCATTGATTGGTATTGTATATAAGGTGATTAACAACATTTGAAGTTAAACTCTGGCGTCTACATATTTGGTTTCTGACAATTATGTAGGTATATCAAATTATGAGACTTAGATATGACACTGTATTTGTGTATATCATTATCTTAGAGCAGGACGTTGACATGAATACAGCTACTGCCAATTTTAGATAGTCGACGAATAAAAGTAAATGAATTTTATATTTACTTCTAAACTACTAAAAAGAACATAAGCAAAAGATGACTTTTTGAATAAGTAATAGTTAACTATAAAATTTTCATGCATTTGATATATAGGTAAGGACTTGATTTAACTTCACACATTTTTGCGAAAATTGAGCCCCATCTGTAGCCTTGACCCTGGTGATAAGGTCTTTATGTCTTAATAAATCAATCGGTTTAAAACCAGCGCAAGGTACTTAATAATTCCCGCGATATTAATTCCCTTACTGAAGTGACAAGACTGCGGTACATGTTGGCTTATAATCCTAATTAAAAAATGTGAAATAAAAACGATATATTAAAAAAAGCACAAAACCCGACTGCTGAAATATTACTTCAGATAAAAACTGAAAATAAAAAAACAAAATCCAGTAGTCTATAATTCTGTTAAGTAAGGAACAAAGCTACTTTAACAGTTGGGACCCATTATTGAAAATTTTTATCCATTCTTGAATATCTAATGTGTCCCGATCGTTAAAGTAGCTTTTTTCCTTACTTAACAGAATTATAGACTACTGGACTTGTTTTTTTATTTTCAGTTTTTATCTGAAGTAAGTAGTGATCTTTGTTAATTCACACAACCGATGTAAAAACATAGCAGACAATAAACATAGTCGGTCTCACTTAAAGTGTAAATTGCTTTTGCAAAAACCTCTTGAATTTCTAGGATATTCCTTCTTCCTGCTTTTTCGACTGATAGATACTGTGTCTTCTAACCCCGTAATATGTTCTACCATTAAACAACTGAGCTGATGCCTAATATTTCCTCGTTGCGAAGGATGAACCACTCTTGTTTCGAAGGCCGCCGATAGAAGCAAAGTAACTGTGATACAAAATTTCCAGTGTTAATACTTCATCTCGTTTGATGAACGCATAACTCAATCTGTCTGATAAACGTAATGAATAGCATTTGTAACTATCTTTACGTCATTTTACTAGTCACAGTTTCAAATTAAAGTGCTAATTGATAATTTATATGGAGCACATTGATTCCACTTAACCGCGTTTGCCTTCGTATTCGTACTATCCTTACGTAGTATATTTGTTACTTATATTACTTTAAATGACGCCAAATCATATTAAACGCTTTTCTGTCAGTTCAACCAATTGATTAAATGTTTACCTTGCTAAAGTGAGCTCTAAACACTTGCTTGGGATTCAATTCTCCGCGTCGTCATGTGACTTGTGATTGCGTTAAAGGGTATATACCCGTGGTGTGCATATTAAAAATATAGCACAGCCCTCTCTCAGGAGAGACATACTCTCCTTCCTTGAACTCCATTAAATGAGTAAGAGAATTGTGCCGACCTTGCAAGGACCCACCTATATTCGCAGATTTATCTGGGTGGGCTATTGAATTCCTCCGTATTAGAAAATTCAGATGACAATAATGTGGTACTGATGTTTACACTAGTAAGTCACGGTGTTGCTCACAATTTTGAGGATCTGTTTAACGATTTTCTGTGTACATCAGATACAGACCTGGAGAATTGATTCTATGGTAGCCATTACACCCTTCATATTTAAAGTGCAAAGTACTTTTTTATGTAAAAAGGGTGTAAAACAAGCATATGATCTGCCAGACGGTAAGCAACCGCTATAGCCCATAGATGTCCGCGATACCAGAGCATCACTCGCGCTGTTTTCTACCCTGACCCTATTCCTTACCCTGCAGATCCCTTCTACTGATATTCATAACATTTACGTAACTGCTGTAAACAAATCAATTATTAGTATGTGATTTCATGGACAGGGTCTTGAATACCGCTGGGTGCAAACTGGGAAACTCTTGGCAGATGGGCCGATAACAGCACTGTCGTGGAACCTCGAAGGGACAAGGTTGTTGACTGGCGGCAAGATCTTGCAGCTCTGGCATCAGGCGTCGCTGTATCAGGACGATAGCCAACGTAAGTAGTTTTCGGAGTAAAGTTAAATATGTAGTACATTATAATTATTGTGAAATATGTCACCGGCAATCTGTATAATTCCGGTATTCTATAATACCTAGGCAATGTATATAATGCCTGGGGCTTCTAGGCAATGTATGGAATATTATAATCCTATTCATACTTTGCGTAGGTAATGTATACAATACCTAGGGATTGTATATAGTATTATATAGTGTGTAAAATAAACAGATTTGGCCTGTATGCACTTTTGGAATCTAATTTATTAATTTCGAGAGTATACCAATGATATAAATTATTCCACAAACAAAAGGGGTCTTCAAGGTCACAAATGTTTGATTAGTTTATAATTGTAATTATCTTAATTGCATTATACAATGAAACAACTATAATACTAAAATACAACATTTCTAGAGTTCACTGATCAATTGTCGTAGAATATTATCTACAGGTAATTAAATATTTTTATTTTTTAATCAATGATGTATTTAAGTACTGTATAAGCAGAAAATAGAGCAAAAAAATACTATGACTGTAGCCAATTTCTCTATTATAAAATCTGGCACATAGAGATGAAAGTTCCTACTGATGTTCTACCAGCTTTTCTAAAATACACAATACATTGATTCCAAAAACTTCTTTTAGAAGTAAAAAACCTTGCAAATAGTTATATATTGACAATAAATAATAAGCAAGTATATTAGGGGCCATCCATATATTACGTCACTCGTTAAGGGGGAGGGAGGGATTCGACGAAGTGTGACATTGTGTGACGAGGGGTCCCAAATTTCATGCCGTCACATTTCAAAATCTATTATAATCTAATAATATATATAGAATAAAGTGGCTATAAATAATTTAAAGGAGGGGGTTCAATGTCCATGGACTTAAGATATTTAAGTTTGTATCTTTAATTTAAATATAATGCTATTAATATATTTTTTTTTCTAATTTCTTTAATTAACGTAATATAATTAATCGCTGTTTGTTTTGTTAATTGTGTGATTTCATTTTAACATTATTAAATAATAATTTAAATGGAAATAGAACTGATTTCGGAAACGCTGTTTTCATTCAATAATTTCTAAATGTAAATTTGCAAAATAAGTGACGTCACACTATCACACAAATGTGACCAGCTGCGACAAGGACGGGGGGAGGGGCAAAAAATCGTGAAATTCGTGTAACATAATTTATGGATGACCCCTTATGTATATTTCACTAGTTGAGTATCTCTTTACTCTTTTGGATGTGTTTGATTCGTAACCACTGAGTTTGGTGGTTACCTAAGATATTAGATTAATCCATTATAACACATTATAAATTACATATTTATTTTTAATCAATTGAGACAATTCTAAACTAACTAATAAAAAAACATCTGTCTGAATAACTTAAATAATAGATGTCCTAGTAAAATTAAAAATATAAATTATCAAAGCAAGTTCCGCAGATTGGAGTATATGAATTTGATTTGAGTATTGAAACTGATTGAGTTATAGCTAGCTTTAATTTTAAGATACATATGATGTTATTTCTACTAAAACAAATGTTAATTTATCATATTTAAGCATGCATGCATATACCTGCTAGATTTTAATATAAAAAAAAATCATAGAAAGCAGATTTTTTTCTAACAAATATTATATTATATGGATATGGATGGATCAGTTGAATTTGAATTTATTTGGCCAATAATCCAACTCAAAAGTATTTTTACAAAACGATGTGTAAGGTGGGCGTGCATATGTTGCTGATATCAAGTCCCCTGTTGTCATTGCCTATACCTAAATGTAGACTACCAAATTAAATAGACTATCGCATTTTGTTCCATTTTGTTACAATATTGAAATATGTTCTTATAATAAGTACCTATTGTACTACGAAGGTAGGTTAGCCCTGAATGTTTGTCCTTATTTTTACATTGCTACTATTATCGCTGTTATTACTATTCTATTTTATATCACGTACTATAATTAGGTTGATATTTTCTATTAGACGTAGACCAGTGTCTGTTTTTTATAACAAAGACTGTTTGGATAAAGTGATAACAGTCTGATGGACTGCTAAGCAGTTAAACAGCGTCCTCACACTCGAGTAATGCGTGATCAAGCGTCGACATTTCGTTTAGATATTGGAAAGAAAAAATATTTCCCTGTCTCTATTATCGTTTTATTATTTCATTAAATAAAGCACAATATAAATTGTTATTATTAATATTTTAATTAACAGTTCAGCTATTGTATTCAAATTAATAATCATGTCAAGTAGTTAAACTTTGTAAAATTCATTAAACTATCTTCTGTTTATTTTGTACAGAATATTCTTAATGATATTACTTTAATGTTTGTTTCTTATTTATAGCAAGTTCTGGAGTAACATTCCAAATAGGCGGCGACAAAGATGAAAAACCGAAACAGCAAGAAGAGGAAGACCCGGTACGTAATTAACTTTACAATATCGTAGATAAGATAAAGAGATTCAACAAAGCATCCACGCCACTTGATATTAGCCGTTTCTTTATCTATGCCATGGCTCTATGTATTGGTAAAATATTACCAAGTCCAATATGATGATATACAATATTAACATAAATAGTTTTAAAATAAATTTTGTTTCGAAATTATTAGCGAAAGAGTTATTGGTTGTGCTTTAATGTTGTCTTTGTTTTATTTTTGTATACAAATTGATGGATTTACCCTCTTTAGAACTTGGCATAAAATAAAATATCGAATCTGTTTCACTAGTTAATTTTACGGCATATGTCAACATTCAAAAATTATTTCTGGCTGCGCCGTCATCAGGGCTCGCGTGTAATTAAATGATTCCATTTAATTAATTATCTAGTTGCGTAAACACTCGATACACGAACGAATTCCCATCCCAATGACACTACAAATGTTTACTAATACATATTTTTCTCAAACATGCTTGGAAATATGCGCATTACTTTGACTACCTTCTTCGAGATAAATCGTAATTGCTGTACTGGCCACATACATGCGAGCAGCGGTCGGCATAAGTTATATGAAAATCCATATCTGTCGTGTTTTGTGGGCAAAAAAATTACATACAGTCGAACCACGATAACTTTACAGAGAATGATCTGGTCACACCAGATAAACTTGATCTGGCAGCCCTTTTAAGACGTTATATATGTCATGTCATGCAAGAATCTTTCCATTGAAGAACATTTTTTGTTTTGGAGTGAATAAAAGAGAGAAAATTTGAGTCGGAGAAGCCATTTCTTAAATAATAAGTATTTTAAAATAATTCCGCACATTCTTTGAGAAATATACTATACCATCCTTGGCCACAACTAGGCATTGATGGGCTTACGTATGACATTTACACGTTCGTCCATCAATGCCTTTTGCGGGTCGCTGCAGTAATGTACTATTGAAATGTTCATACAATTCATCAAATACTTCTAATTATATCCTAATATATGTTTATTAAAATTAAAAATTAAGAAATAACTTTGCGAGTACGGTATCGCGCGTGGTTTTACCGTCTAAAATTACAATAATATCGCCAGCTGTGAATCAGTTAAGGCATATTTATCTTTTTTCTCGGTCTATCGATCGTAAAACTAGATAATTTATTTCCACTCTGAAACAATACGTTAGCTCACAGTGGTAGGTAAGCATTACATATCTGTGATGAATCTCGTTGTGTTTAATAATACCTAATACAACTTAGAAAAGTAACATTTTAAATACACTACTTTTAGTTTTTTTATCCCAGTGACAGTTACAATGTTATGGCAATGTTATATAGGTACAATATTTGTATTTTACGCTCATGTATAAACATGGTTGCGGTAGGTACTATCAATCAATTACAAACTGATTGAAGAACGAGTCAAACTCATTGATTAAGTATTGCCCGCACCCAACTTCTGTCCGATAATAAAATCCTAAGAAATCGATAAATACATGAAGATAAAACTACTACATATTAAAATCCTGTAAGTAATTATTTACAACAGAATTTATTAAAAATTTGTTATTTTTATATTCGATAATGTTGCTACCGTATCATGACTGACTTTACAATCAATGTTTTATGTTATACTAGTGGCCCGCCGGCTTCGCTTCGGTGTTGAGCTGTAGTGTAGACTAAAATGACTCTTCATATAATTATAAAAAAAACTGAAAATGGTATATTTGCCTTTTCTAAACTTCTATTGATATCACGTCACTCAATTGTTTTGCCTTCCCGGAACCTCTCCACTAACATTTGAAAATTATAGTATGGTAAGTTCAAATTGACTCAAGTATTTATACGAATCGTTTGTATGGGAGTATAGAAAAGTGATGTTTTAGGACTTTTACGGGGATTTTTTTTAGTTCTTCTCTGCGTAAGAACCATCCTCGTACTTCAAGGAATATTCTAAAAAAAGAATTATCGAAATCGGTTCAGCTGTTCTCGAGATTAGCAACACATTCAGCGATTCATTTTTATATATGTTATATAGGAGAGATTTTGTTTAGGTGCGATTTATAAACGAATATATTTAATATCCGATTGTTAGTCGAATGAGAAGAGATCTTACGTTTTTGTTTCATTATCAGATAAGATAAATTTTACGGTGATAAGTGTGTGAATCAATAGTAAGCCTACATACATACAATTACTATAGGTTTGCATTTAATATTACATTAAAACGATTAAAGATGCCTGTTTCTGAGGTTCTGGGGTTCTGAACACCCTAAGACCTCTTGTCCATGACCGTTGTTCTTCTCATCGATGTATTGTTAGATAGATGAATCCATACAAAGATGCGGTCAAATCCAGAGTCCGAGCCGCGTAATGTTTTTGACACCCAATGCAATCACCATCTATTCGGACACAACGTCATCAGGCATCAGACAGACATCAGGATTTCCTACGTAGTAACTTCATATTTTAATGTCTTTGTTTATTTCTTGTTATGATGAAATACCATTAAAACTACGATACGTAGGCTCAGGGTCTCCATCCATTCGTGCATGAAATTCCTCCACTGCGTACCTCACGATTCGCATCCTACTTTACTATGCGAACCGTTAAGGAATGGCATTCCCTTCTCGCGTCATTGTACCTTGATTCGTATAACACAGGGGTCTTCAAAGCAAGAGTAAATAGGCATTATTTGAGTTTGCCTGCTCCGGTTTAGAACACATCGTTGCTTAACAGCAGGTGCGATTATAGTCTCATCTCGCTCTAGCTATAGTCGTAGATGCACTCAAATCTTTTGTTTAAAAAATGCACACAACATTTGGCATTGGTTGGGTGGTCTAAAGCCAGCACTTCGATTGGCCATTCGTGTTTGCTATTTGCAAACTTGACATCAGTCTGTCCTTTTCATCCTTATAAAACATACTAAGGTCAGACTGTTGTCAAATTTACAAACAGCAAATACAAAAAGCCAAGTAAAGTACCGGCATAAGATGTTTTCCGAATAATTCCAGTTTAATCTAGTGATACTTTTACTACCTGCTTGGATCGTTTTGGGTTTTAATAAGCTGAAGAGAATATAAGATTAGCCTTAATATTACGGCGAGCTGTTTTATAACTTGATACTATGTGCCTAATTTGCGTGGGGGATGGCATCAGTCCTGACATCCCAGCTCCTGCAGGAACACAGCAGATGATCAGAGACGATTTAAATTGTCGTTTATAGTTCACCGTGCTGATAATTGACAATAGCGTTAGGTACCCTCGTGAAAACAACTTGATTACTTTCTTTACTTTTAAACAAATAAAAAAACCAAAACCGTCCGTCCGTACCGTCTGTTTTATGACGGATCGGTCTGCTAGTTTTAGCTTCAATTATATTATTTTGCATATCAACGGATGGCATCAACTTCATTTCACAGAAAATCATTTGGCATACAACTGCCAGACAAACAGCGATTGCACACGCTTGTCTTGGTTGTTTGCGCCTGCTGTTTGACGATTGTTTGCCAAGCGTGTGAAGGCACCTCTACAGCGAAAGACGTTTCTAACACTTCCATTTTGTATGAGTAGGAGTCCTATCTCGGCGAGACCCGAGCTCGAGACCTCTCGAGGAGTATGTCGAAGTGGGCTTGATGGTAATGTGCCACCATAGATTAAAGTCTTTTGCGTTACTCCCAAACGAATTTCTGAGCAACAAAAGACTGCCAGATCCAATTAATAGGTTCAATATAGTATAATAAATAAATAAATGAAATAAAATATTCCATTAAGCGTGCTATATGGAATATAAGATTTAGTTATGTACTTCGGTGCTATTAAATATAAGTATGGTGTTTTTCTTGGTTATTATCAGGGCTGGATATGCGTGTGGCAGTGTCATACGGCCACACCAGCGCACCACCTAGCGTTCTCACCGGACGGCGTTCTGTTCGCCACGTCTGGCATCAACGACCGACTCGTCAAGATCTGGTACCAGAATAAAGGTAATAAAACGCATTACACACATTACGCGCCGCGAATGTTTGTTGGACATTTAAATGAATATGCCCTCGTTATTATAAATAGCGATCGGTGGTGTATCGATCACGAATGATAGACGTTTGGTGTTATTAGTAAAAATTTAAACGTATGTTTTGCAGTACTAACTACTTATACTGTTCTAATAATAATATTGAAATAATATTTATTATGTTGTGTGTTTCTTAGCTATAATTCTCTATTGGTGGTCAAATTTTTTATTTCAATTTAACCCTTCGAAGGGGACAAAAGACTTATGCACTAAAATCTGCCACCATTACAATACAGCCAAATACGCATGCATAATTTTCAAAGGTACTGTAACTAACGCCAATAGCTTCTCCATTGCAATTTACGTCCAACACGAATAGCACTTCATCGAAAGAATTATTGTCGGTTATAAACTATTGTTATTACTCATAAAAATATTAATTTCTCTTTATGTAAGCTAATAAATTAATAGCACGACAAAGAAGCGACGAATTGTAACCATAATTATTGGGTAATATTCAGACATCTAGTGTATACATATATTTCGGTTAACAAACTTGCCGTCATTTGCAAGCGTGCGACCTACTAATATTATTAATGTGAAAGTTTGTATGTTTGTTACTCACCGTAGCAAAAATTACTGAGCGGTGTAGGATGAAATTTGGTACGCATATAGTTTATGACCTGGACTGAGACGTAGGATACTTTTTACCCCGGAAAAATGTTAGGTTCCGGTGGGATTTTTAAAAAACTTAATATAATCCGGACGTAATCGCGGGCGGTCGCTAGTCGTAAATTTATTAATTTTGGGTGTTTTCATTCATTTAGATATAATATTATCATTGTTTCAGTTCTGAACCAACAAACGCACAATGATCATTCGTCGCCCGATTTGAACTACACGTTTATCTATGTGGCTCACCCGCGCGCCGTCACCCATCTCTCTTGGCGGAAGACCAGCAAATACATGCCCAAGTTAGTAAACTGCATACACTAATATGTATTATGACCTAAATGATGCTACATGCGAAATAGAATCTTAACTATAAGGAAATATGCTCCAAGTTAGTGTCCAATGTCGTCTCGGTCCGATGACCCAGTTTTAGCCTTCTCTCGAAACTTTATACTCTTGGCGAGACGCAATATTTGTCATGGTATTTATCGCTGATGCACATTGCACAGTGTCACTGTAATGAATATGCAGTGGGGTTCTAAACTGTGTGTTCTCATTCAAAATTTTAATGACATTGTGATTCAATAACAACATGTGAATGAGAACTAATGTTACTTAGTCTCCTTTTTGTCCTTTAGTCTTAGTCTTAGTTTGTCTGAGTGGTTTGTTCCCCGGGTTTCAAACTGTGGCCTGCTCTAGAGGTGCCGGGTTCGAATCCCGGTGGGGGCAGATGTTTGTGATGAATACGCAAATGCTCGTATTCATCACCCCAGTTCTAGATGTTTAATTTATATTTCTATATAAATATTCTTATATATGTATCAATCAGTTTAGTATTCTATCCGTTACCATAGTATCCCAGAACACAAGCCTACAGTTTTTACTTTAGGGCTAGGCTTGTTAGTGTGAGTGTTGGAAATATATATTTATTATTTATTAATAAAAAAATGGTGCAGTATTTCCGCTTTCACAAGCGTGTTACGTCCTTTTCGACTCGACTGATCCAAGGCCTTTTGGATCACGTAATATCGATTTTGATTTCAAATGCAGATGCCATCATTTTGTATTTTATTGTTTACACAGTCAAATAGCCGTCAATATAATCAATATAGTCGTCAAAATAAAATCAATATAATAATATAAATATAGAGTAAATAAATATATTACAACCATGGGGTTACTTTTGGGGGGTGGATTAGAAAATGTAGTGTATACTATCTGTATCGTGTTATATTTTATGTGAAATTATTATAAAAATTTGATGAAAATTGATCCCCCCTCTATCTGTGAAACAACTGCGTCAAAAAATGGAATGTAGCTCATGTTAACCGGTACCATAGCCTATGGTATAAACGCTTGCGATACTAACTCACGTCGTTGCCTACCCATCTCCTACCCCCCGTGGCACCCCTGAAACCTTACTCACCGACAGAAACCCACCACCGCCAATAGGAAGTGTTAATTTACTGTGATCCTCTGTAAAGTGGAGATTACTCCCCCCAAGGTGGACATTCCAACTCCAGCGGAAAGTCCGCTATGCTGTTCTTTTCCCGAATTTGCTACTCTTGGCGTTCAATCTTATTATTTTGTACTTCTTTTACTTTTCTATGTCACTATTTGACACTATTTATGTTTGATTGACCTGTCTTTTTATAACTATGTTTCTTATTTTTTTTTCTTATAACGTACAACTATTTTGTGAACACGATATACTTATTTACTGCTACATGTCTTTTTACTACAATTAATCCCATTTACTTTTATTACGGTCCACCGCTCCATAACAACTACTGTGTTTAACATATTAAAATAACTCCTTATTGAGAGTAGTTATATAACTTAACAGGGGTAGCGTGGGCAACGTGCTGGTGACGTCGTGCGTGGACAACATATGCCGTGTTTGGGCGGAGACGCTTCTGCCCGAGGACGAGTGGGGCGGCTGTGTGCCCGCACACGCGCGCTCTCCGCCGCGCAGGCAGCGCGCCACGCACCGCCACAAGCACCGGTTCATGCAGCGGCTCAAGCACATGAAGTATGTATCACGCGCGCCCCACGTCAGCACACGCACACGCTGCTGCCCGAGGACGAGTGGGGCGGCTGTGTGCCCGCGCACGCGCGCTCTCTGCCGCGCAGGCAGCGCGCCACGCACCGCCACAAGCACCGGTTCATGCAGCGGCTCAAGCACATGAAGTATGTATCACGCGCGCCCCACGTCAGCACACGCACACGCTGCTGCCCGAGGACGAGTGGGGCGGCTGTGTGCCCGCGCACGCGCGCTCCGCCGCGCAGGCAGCGCGCCACGCACCGCCACAAGCACCGGTTCATGCAGCGGCTCAAGCACATGAAGTATGTATCACGCGCGCCCCACGTCAGCACACGCACACGCTGCTGCCCGAGGACGAGTGGGGCGGCTGTGTGCCCGCGCACGCGCGCTCTCTGCCGCGCAGGCAGCGCGCCACGCACCGCCACAAGCACCGGTTCATGCAGCGGCTCAAGCACATGAAGTATGTATCACGCGCGCCCCACGTCAGCACACGCACACGCTGCTGCCCGAGGACGAGTGGGGCGGCTGTGTGCCCGCGCACGCGCGCTCTCTGCCGCGCAGGCAGCGCGCCACGCACCGCCACAAGCACCGGTTCATGCAGCGGCTCAAGCACATGAAGTATGTATCACGCGCGCCCCACGTCAGCACACGCACACGCTGCTGCCCGAGGACGAGTGGGGCGGCTGTGTGCCCGCGCACGCGCGCTCTCTGCCGCGCAGGCAGCGCGCCACGCACCGCCACAAGCACCGGTTCATGCAGCGGCTCAAGCACATGAAGTATGTATCACGCGCGCCCCACGTCAGCACACGCACACGCTGCTGCCCGAGGACGAGTGGGGCGGCTGTGTGCCCGCGCACGCGCGCTCCGCCGCGCAGGCAGCGCGCCACGCACCGCCACAAGCACCGGTTCATGCAGCGGCTCAAGCACATGAAGTATGTATCACGCGCGCCCCACGTCAGCACACGCACACGCTGCTGCCCGAGGACGAGTGGGGCGGCTGTGTGCCCGCGCACGCGCGCTCTCTGCCGCGCAGGCAGCGCGCCACGCACCGCCACAAGCACCGGTTCATGCAGCGGCTCAAGCACATGAAGTATGTATCACGCGCGCCCCACGTCAGCACACGCACACGCTGCTGCCCGAGGACGAGTGGGGCGGCTGCGTGCCCGTACATTACCTACCCATGATCATACTAATTAATAATAATAACAAAAAAAGTAGGTCAAGATCTGGATTTATAAATTAGAGAGTAAGATAAATTTTATTTGCAAACTATAGTTCTACCATTTTTTAGGTAAATGTTGACATTTATTGTTCCAAACTTTCATGGTCACTAACATTATAGTATAGTAATTTTTAACACCGTACACAACCGTACGCCGAAAATCTACTACGACTCTGTGTAGATGCCCCATAATTAAGCGGATCATCCAACATTTTATTCTTGATAAAAAAGTTTTGGCAACATTGGTTTATTTGTTTACCTTTTGGCTCAAAGGAAGTTGGATAGAGTATAGAGCTCGAAGAAATGAGCAGGGCTCTACCCAGTAAAAACCAGATGCATCGTTACGTATTTTGAGGACCGAAGTCTCCACAGTGCGCATTGGGAGTGAAGAGCGTGCTTATGTGACCTGCGTTTAACACTTATATTTCATATTCCAGAACATGTTTCCATATCAGACGGAACGCACAATCGTCGAAGCAGCCCGGCGCGCCTATTCCCACTCTTCCCTCCACTTACAGCGCGCACGACTTCCATAATCCTTACCACTCCAGTTCTTACACAGGAGGTAAGTTTAACAACGCATAAAAATAAATTTTTATTATATTGATATTTACACTATCATTGCTTGCGTGACTCAGAGAAAGAAAAAAGGACCAGTGATATAAATGAAGATGAATCAGTCATATTAACTTTAAATCCCATTTGGTATAATTTTCATAAATTCAATACTCTGTTAACAGAAACAAGACAGTGTAGTGTTTTCATTATCACGCTTTTGCTAACAATAGACAAGAATAGAAAACTGTGTCACACGAAATAGGAATAATATTTTAATTTATTCAGACGTATCAGATTCTTCATACAAACTGGACTTATCGTCAGATGTGTCCTTGCAATTGATTATTGTTTTCATCGCGACTAACTTCTCATTTCGTCTGGTGCTTGAACTGGTTAAGCAATATTACCTACATTACTTTTATTCAGAGGTACATTTTCGGGTAAGAATATGCCATAGACAGACTGTAACGACTTTATTTTAACCATAGAAATTCCTCTAACTGTTAAGTTAAAACTGGATAGATTAATGTGACAAAGACAAAGCGATTGAGCTACCCGTACTTCATATATGTATTAGTTGTTTTTTATATATCTCTACAGAATTGACATTTTCATATGAGTTCCGTTCCGTTCATTCAATATATCTACGATTTTACGACACAAACAGGTCTGCACTTCCACTTGGCCGCATCAATTAACGCAGAGACAGACATTCCTCTGGTGCCGTCATTGGCCGGCGGCGGGCGGTTCATATTACACTGGCTTCACAATAAAGAGATGCACTTCACCAGTCAAGCGGAAGCTATATTACACGACCTTACAAAAAAGGTATAATTATTTGTTTTGAACTGCTAGATGTTTTATTAGATTATTATTATTATAAAGCGAAGGGTGCGGGTTCGAGTCCCGTCTGCTGCCTGGTCCGCGTATTTTTTTTTTAGTAAACTTTTCTTTAGATTTAAACAAAATAAAAACATAACTATAATTGCTATTTCTTCTTTCAAATGTTTAATACTTGTAAAAGTATTCATTTGACATTGTGGCTTATCTACAATGCGAAGAGATGGCGCTGCCTTGCAGTCTAAGGCTAGAGAAAATTCGACACGGCCGTTAGGGCCGCGGTAGCATAATGGTCAGTGCATTCGCCCGGATAGCGAAGGGTGCGGGTTCGAATCCTGTCTGCTGCCTGGTCCCCGTGGATTTTCTTCTAGTAAACTGTTCTTTAGATTTAAAGGTATAATTTATGTTTGATAAGTTTTGACAGCAGCGTATTTATCTTTTGGCACCCATTTGTTTATATCTAAGACGCCTAAAAACGGCGCCAACGGAGTCTATTATTTTTTTCTCCCTTTGTTTTCCCTTTTCATTCGTTTTAGACTTGAGGATGAACAGAAAAAATGTTCTGCTTATAGACTTTCTTTAAACGTCTGAATAATAATTTATTTATCATTCAAATCCGACTGCATTGTGATTCAATACTATAAATACTTTTGCTGTTTACGTTGTAGATATTGGATAAAGAAGAGTCTGACGAAGCCGGGTCCGGTTCCGACCACACTAATCATCCTGATGGCGAAAATGAGACAAGTACGTATTACAATTCTTTAAGAATTTGCTTTTAAGATTGAACAAAATATACCTACCTACCTATATAGCTTATCTAATTTTTTTGTGAAAGCTGTCTGTATCTTTTATTAGTGTAACTTAAAGCAAAAGCTTTCAATTACTTTTGCAAAATTATATGCATTATTATTGTTCTCATGAAAATAATATAATTTGTATTTAGCAGTATATTTGTGATCGATTCAGTTTAAATCAGTTCCCTTATTTAAAGGCGATCGCAAAATATTCGAAAATTTAATGTTGTTCATACCAATTGAAGAATGTTGATAATGATGGCAACTTATTTGTAAACTTGACCACAGTCTGTACTATACAGTATAAGGAATGAAAAGGACAGACTGATGCCAAGTTTACTGTAATCAAAACGCGCGCGTTTTCTCTTGAAAAATATGTGGCACAAACAACCTGTCAATGCCGCAGTCAAAAGACACTATATAACAATTCTATGCTTTTTTCTGTCATTTGGTTGATACTTGAAAAAGTTAAAGCATAGATATCGTCGTAGATAATTCAGTTTCCGATCGTTTTTGATAAAAGGGATCAGTTTTCGGCGTTTCATTAGCGTAACGCGAACAATATAATCCAGCTTCTTTGCTCCTCCCATGCCGCTATATAGGACATAGGCGACCTAGTCAACATTTGACTAAAGCTCAGTCTGAAGACAACAGCAATAGCGACGAACAACCAGGTACCGTTTAACGAGCCTGTGAACAAATTTAATTTACTCCACATTATACATGTGCTTCTTAGTTAATTGCATTTGCTTAGTGACATTTGTTAATGATTCTCTTATTCAGTAACGAGCAAAGCTAATTTCTGAAAAATGTATACAAGGATATATTTATGTAGAACTGTGAATTAAATATATCTTTAGAAATTGTCTATATCGAATGGAGATAAATTCTCTCCCCATACCCATTTGAGAACGTCTGTAAGCTTATGCCATTATAAATATGTTGACCTACCTAGGAACGGTAAATAAAAATAACAGGTATGCATCCGAAAATGACCTTTATTTCCTTTGAATAATATTATATTTATTCAACATAGATCTGTTGACAAAAATTGTCAAAAAGAAAGTTTTTATAAAATTTTAAAAAGCCCTTTTATTTTTGCTGTCAGTTTAAGCTCATTATTACTCTACATACACACAATTACACCACTTGAAACTTTTCTAGAGGTTCCCTGTCACGATGAATAAAGCGTTATTAATTATTTAAAACATTTTTTGAACGGGTAAAGGTTCGGGCAACCATAGTCATCCGAGTCTATCGAACACTACGTCGATAAACTCGATAGCGACGGACGTAACCTGCACTCATTTACCGGACTCGTTGGACGCGAAGATCGAATCGCTTCTGCGCGACTGGCACCAGAGTCCGGACCTACTCTTCTCCATACATCCCGTCGATGGCAGCTTTCTTATATGGTAAGCTTCATACTCGAGTTTGATTTTGTTAAGTAAGATATTTTATGCATTCCGTGTTATGTATAATCACGTTCTTTTGTTTGGGATCCACATAAGGTCGAACAAACAGACATCATAAAAGCATATTTTTTTGACTAATTACGTTGCTATGAAAACATAATAATTAAGAACTGTTTATAATAGGCTATGACTTTGGCTTTTTTTTTTAAGCATTTAACTGCTAAATGTTTAAATAAAAGAAAATTTTATTAGAAATCATGAAATAGAAAATAATTTTTAATTTATTTTCATGTGACCTAAAATGCCTAGGATTGGCGGAGCCTAAAATGCATAGAGCAACACGGCCGACGCGGCCAGGAAGGGAGTAGGGATTGACAGCTTTCCTCTCTGCCGATTTTCCACCGCTATTGGGCTTGGATTGGGCCAGCTGCTGCTCTAGTAACAAAACTAGTTGCCCTCGGATATTTCAATAGTCTGAGTTAAGTCGCGCCAGAAGACTATGTTGGCAGTTTTATCGATGTTTGAAACTTTATTCCGAATATTAAAGTTTTATTTTACTTCGATTTTAATATGAATGTTTTAGTTGCTAATATGTTTACCAATCCACAATACATTCCATCCACCTTATTGTGGTAATGGTAAATTCAACTCTGTTGCGGTGTCAATAAATTGGAGTCACGCCCTTTTGACGTAAAGAACGTGTCAAAATGTGAGCTGTGACAATATGTACACAAAAAAAAAATTAAATGAATGCAGGATTTGGCGATGTATTGTGTAAGTTTTTTGCGAATGTATGTTTGTGCATATTCCTTCTCCAGCAAAAAGTTGCAGAATGATTTCAGTAGATTATGTCACTATGACTGCTATACGGCCAGGAGGGGCCGCGTCGATCGTGTTGCTTTATGCTAAAATGACGTCACCTGCTAGTAAACATACTGTCGAAGTGACATAACTTTGCACTGTTTGATGTTATGATAAGAGCATGTGTGACGTCACCTGCCTGTAAACACGCCATTTTATTTTGTCAATCAACCAATAAATTACAAAGATAAAGCGCCTCATAATTTGGGAGCGCCGGCTCGTGACGTCACTTCTAAGTAAAAATTCTACGAAGCCATGACATCATGCGACATTTCAAATCAATATTATCTCTGTAACGTTTGGATTTTGTTAAAGAATAAAAAAAAACGTGCCCAATACTATTCGATGTTCTAACTGATATTCGTAGGAACAAAAGTTAGTCTTGATGGCCCTATTCAGGGGAAAACAATCAAAGTTATAAAATCCACAAAATTTATAAGTGAGATTTAAATTACAACACATTCATTTCCGTATATTTATTTCTCCCGTAGAATAATTTTATACCAATTCTAGAAATCTCGACTGTTTTTTCGAATTGAAAATTGACTTTATAAACAAACGTAGCAAAGTCCAAGTGAGTTGGGTTTGAATTTGCGTAAAGGCCTTTTCGACCAATATGAAGGCTCCATTGCCTCCATTTCACTGACAGCTGTCATGGCCGCCTTTGATGCTGTAATGCTCTTATGTTGTGTTAGTTAACTTACTAAAGTCCAAAACTTGGTAACAAAACTGGGAAAGTCCATCTTATACTTAAGGTTTTACTCAAAAGTATTGAACTGAACGTGATGAACAATTGTATTTCCATAATGTATTACATTCTGCATATAAATAATGTTTAACATTAGAATAGTTAGTTACCTGTAATTAATTATGTTCGAAAACGATAAAAACGATTATTTTAAAATCGTTTTTATCGTTTGCTGAACATTTTGACAATGTGAACTTTACCAACTTTGGTAACCCTTCAATTTGTTATCAGGGTGTGCGAATGGCTGGACGAGTTGCAAGCGGGTGCGATCCGCCAAGCTCAAGTTTCGTTCTCAGCGCGCATTCCTTCCGCCTTCCCGTTGGGTGATGCAACCACTATGTGCACTCCCGCTGCGTTATACCACGCCGCTGCCCAACCATTATATGTGCGCCATCGCACCAAACCCGTTACCGCCGGTAAGCCTAAATATGCAATGTATATATGTAATAATGTAATATATATATATATAATATATATATATATATAAATGTATATATAATCCTCTTATTTTATTTTAATTACATCCTTAAGCTTTCCAAAATGATAACATAATTTAAAAAAAATCTAAACATATTTTGGATACGTGTGGTACGAGACTGTTTCTTTTTGTATAAATAAAATTAATAGTGGGTGACTGTTATTGGCCTTACATGTAACTGTAAACCAAAAATATTAAACTTAATTGATGGCTGTTGTTATCCCAAATAAATAACAGTGAGTACGTAGTGTTTTGACAATTTTCATTTACTGGCAATTAACAAATCGTACGATCCAAAAAATCAACTTTCGTTTATTATTCGCAGGACAGTCGCAGCAACAGCCGGAAGTGGTCACAACGCCGTTAGCTAGTGTTCAAGAAGAGAAAGACGAGAACGAGTGGCCTCAAAACGAAGACTGCGGAGATAATGAACAAAATGGTATTTTTTTATGTTTATGAAACTCGAACTTAACATTTGAGAGAATAAGGTTCAAATAAGAAAAATAGAAGAATATGTTAGTATTTTCTTAATTCAATATGAAACAGTTTTTAATAAAACTTCATTTCTTTCAACTGCGGCTTTGAAAGTGTTCATTTTAATGTGTTGCAACATTATTATTTTTTCCGGTTTTATGGGCAAAAGTGTGTGTTTAAATCCAAACGAATTATTTAGGTGGCCGAGAAGAGAACAACAACGAAATGCAAAGGAAAGCGAGTGTCGCCGCTGAAGAGTTAGGTGACAACCAGGAGGGAGATGTATTAGACTCGGCACCGGTCATTTCCATGGTCACAAATCATACCAACGGCACGCTAAACTTGTGGCAGCTAACTTTCGACGACAAATCTAAGTTTTCACAGGTTATTATATATTATTTTTAATTAATATACACATTAAAAGTGTTAAAACAAGTAAATTTGCTGGCTGTAATTTTTTATCCAATCATCATTTACCAAATACAGTCTTCCAGATTTGGTTTTTAATTTAATTTCTGTTTATAAGTAAATAACATTCGCCTATACGTAAAAATAAAAATAAATTGCAGGTTTTGTAAATTATGTGTAACTGCGATGTTAATTATGTACAAGCGTAAAGACCCTAGACACCTTCGTTGCATATAGTTTGACTTAAGTCTCACATAAATAAAGTATGTGGAAAATTATAATTCAAATATTTTTTCAGGTATTATCAATAGGGCACGCCTCCAGAGCGTCCGGCCATAGATTTAGAGTGAATGACATCACATGCCATCCAGTATTACCATTATTACTTACAACTAGCCATCATAACATATCAGGTTAGTTGTTGGGGTTAAAGCGATAATGATATTATAAAGACTTAAGCCGCCTTATTCCAAAACGTGCGTATTTGAGCTAACAATTGTTTTTAGAAAGGGTCTATTTTAGTTAAACAAGCATGTAGCCCTCCTGATGGAAAGCGGCCACCATAGCCTATAAACGCTTGCGACACTAAAAATTTCTCAAACTGTGTCCTACCCTGACCCAATCCCCTACCCCTGGAGCCCTGGAAACTTACTCACCGACAGAAACGCAACACCACCGAAAGGTTGTGTTATTTTACTGTGGTCTTCTGCAAGGTGGAGGTTACATCCCCAGACAAGCAACCCAATTCGAGCGGCAATTAGTTAACGTTTTGTAATAAACCGATATAAGCGATGAATATTCAAATCCAATTTGAAAATATTGTCTGTCCCTATGAGAGCAAAGTTAAATACGCTATATAATATAAACAATATAAACTCGCAATATAATTAGTGGGTAGTGTGAGTCATTAAATTGTAAATGTACTAAATTAATTAATTTGTCTGGATTATATTTAATTATTTTATTGTGTGTAAGAATTCTATTATCTAAATTGTACTTGAGGGACTAGTAAAAAATTGACATTTTAAATGTTACTTAACATTGAATCGACTAAGCTTTGAATGATAACTAACTAAACAAATTGACATTGCAATTAATATATTTACTATTAATAATTGAATTCATATTTATATAACTAACCACAAAAAATTGACGATGGGTAGGCTTAAAACCAGCTGCGCTGTGCCAGCTGAAATAAAGCAATTGTATTGTATTATTTATTTGTATTTTGATACATATTTTTATATTTGTGGTGTTTTAGATAGCGATAGAGACACACAGAAAGGGGATGAAAGTTGCGAAGCGGGTGGTTTGTGTTCTGAATTAATAATGTGGCGAGTAGAATGTGTTGGACCGTTGGGCAAGTCAGGTGGAGTTTCAGAACTGGCAAGAGTCAACTCGCCACATCTATCCGCCTTCAGCAACGTCGCATGGCTGCCTACGTTGTTGCCTAGGTGAGTTATAGACATAGAGGTATAAGAATAGAGTGGGGAAGGCGGCACTAAAAGTGTCCGTCTAGTAGAAAGAGAAAGAAGATGAGAGACCGCTAGCTATCTCTCTCTCTTGGGACGCATGCGCAGTCGTCTGTCCAATAGTTGGTCCAAGCATCACATCGAAATAGTAAGATGCTTACGGGTGCCAATGCGCATGCGCGATTAGAGAGAGAAAGCTAGCGATCTCTCATCATCTTTCTCTTTCTATTAGAGGGACACTTCCACTTGTAGTAGAGTCTATATCTCCCCTACTCTATTCTTATACCTCTATGGTTATAGAATAGAAAATAAAGAGTAATTTTCATAGACACATCATCACACATTGTTTATTATGAAAATAGATGCATAGTTGGAGTTCTGAGAGTTTTTACAAGATTTTGGATAAATTGATGCAGAAATTTCTTTGAACTCAATTAAAATAAAAGCATTCATAGATTCATCTGTTAGTTTTGTATTTCTATTACTAAAACTAGATAGGGTTTCCTCTTAGGTCTTAGTAGATATTTTGACTCTTGCACTTCAAAATAATATAACAAATTATACTCTGCTCACGGAAACATGTCAGTGAAGAGCTTTCTTTATTACAAATGACTTACAAAAAACAAGGATAAATAAACTGTATCACACGAAAACGACTTTTATCATTGGCTGGATTAACTGCAACTTTATAAACCGTACAATACTAGAAAAGCCTATCTTTCGTCGATACTCTAAGCTCGTTTCCGTGAATGGATAAATATAAATATACAAACAAAAGCTTATGCCAACTCCATCTTAAGATTTCTTTTTAAACTTAAATATCGCTGGAACTTCAACGATATCATACTTTAAAATTACAGTATAGTGTACAAAAACTAGTGCCCAACACAAATCTGTGATTGTACTTGTTTTAACATTAACTGAACTTCGAATTGTAGTGATTATGTATACGTATACAAGACCATAAAATTTGTTTATATCTTTTAAATTTCTTACCGTTTCGCTATAGCACAACGTTAGGCAACTTGTCAAACTCGCCGTCAGCGTGTTTCGTTGCAAGCGACGGCGAGAGCTTACGAGTGTTTCAAGCGGTTATCGACGCTCGGACGCTCCTCGCCGAGATCGCCACTTCGGAGAGACGCCACACAGATGTCATGGTAAGTTATTAACTATCTGATATACTGTTGAATCAATCATTTACGGCCAGTTTCAATATTGAAACTTCAGTAGGAGGTAGGCCTACTTGAGCTTTGTTGCTATGATATATTCATTATTATAATAATATTTACCTTTAACTGGAGGTTGGCTATTGAAACTGGCCATTAAAGTACACTTTTACAGCACTTTGTCTTATGAGATGTTTTTTAACAAAAAGATTTGTCTTGCTTTAATTTATTATTTATTTATTTTAATTTATTGATCAGTAATTTATTTGTGTCGTAATTATTTAAAAATTTTAAATAATATTTTATAACATCCAATACTTTTCATTCTCAAATTTAAATACTTAGGTACCTTATTTCTTTTACCTACATTTACATAGTTAGGTGCTATAAATATTGGGTTTTAGTAAGTACAGTTCCATTGATAGATAGATAGATAAGTTCTATAACATACTTTATCTACAGTCATGTCGAAATATTCGAATAACGAATGTAATGATGGTTTTAGAAAAAAGAACTTTATAAACGCACATACTCGTACATAAAATTAAAGTACTTCTAGCTGTATCGTAAAATAACTTTTTAATCATTGTAGTACACTTTTATTTTTTAAATTTATTCTATTAGGCCGTGATATTACGCTGAATCTGAAAAACAGAGCATTTCGAAGTTTGAATTTAATTTCTCGCGGTTCCAATAGAGCAACACGACCGACGTGACCAGGAGATCTACTCTATTTCAAGGAAAAACGATTTTCAAATTTTGGGTTAAAAATTGATTTAATAGAAATCATAGGTTAATAATTCTACTTATTTGTGAAATTTAACATCATCCTTTTAAAAGTTTGATATTCAAGATATGTTTTACAGCAAAACATTTTGGCATTTTTATCTCTTAACATACACTCGCGCGACTTGTGTCAGTCGAGTGAAATTTTTGAGCGCAACTAGTTTTGTTCGTGAGCTGGCCCAATAGCAGGGTAAAAATCTCCTGGCCGCGTCGGCTGTGTTGCTCTATGTTCCCATACAATTTTCTGCCGGTTGGGTTTTGTTTACGGGATTTTAAAAAAGTTTTGAAAAATATTTGTGACCTAGCTACAGTCGGACCACGATAAGTCTGCAGTGGACTGAAAGTAGTAATAATTTAAAATTTGCACATGGCAGTACTGATTATAGTTTAATAAACTATACCTGATACTTTATTTTTAATCGACTTAAAAAAGGAGGTATAAATTATTATTTCTATATATTGTTTTTCTCACATTTATGAGTGTGTAGGGTTCCGTACTCAAAAGATAAAAACGGAGTCCTATTGCTGATATTCTGTTGTCTGTCTCTCTGTCCGTATGCCACGGGTCTCTAGATCATAAACGGAATGAGTCACAGAATTGAAATTTTGGCATATTATGTAGTATACTTGCCCGAAACCGAATTTATAGTTCAAAATTCAAATTTCTTTATTTTTCATCGGATGTCTCATACATGTGATACGTCATTGTCGTCATCATTGCTCGTTGAGTAGGATATGAATATTGTTACGTGTCGGGATGGGGTTCGAAATTATAATGCCAGTTCATACTTGACAATTCTTTATTCACTACACAGTACACACAGTAAACCCTAAATATTAGTTACAATGTATTCACTGTATATTATATAAGTCCTTAAGCACACGAACACTTTACTTGCACTTTTATTTTTTTATGAACTTATTTTTTTTTATAAAATAAATGCTACAAAGCAAGTGTTCGTCCAAAATTAAAACAATAGTTTATTATTTCATTTCATTTATTCATTTATTGCATTCTTGCTGTTTACATGCTGTTACAAAAATATATATTATCATTCCAAACAAGAACCCAGTTAGGGTATTGCAATAATCCTAAACTAAATAGATCTCAAATTATGCATAAATGTCATCTGATTCCATTTGTTTAACAATATAACTTACTCAATTGATCTTATTAACAGTAGAAATATAATAGAAATGGAAATTCATTTATAAAATTAAATTAAATTTGTCAGTAATTAAAATTAATAAATATGTCAATAAAATAAAATTAAAATAAAATAATAAAATCGCCTCATTAGTATTATTTTGTTGTAAAGTGTTCATTATATATATTAAAAAGTATATTTAAAAGCATTTATCTAATAAATATATTTTCTTTTTAACTTTGTGCATTCATATATTAAATTATTATCTATTTGTAATTTAAATATTCATCCACAGAATAGAAGCATTTATCAATTAGAAAATTTTTAAATTTTGTATTAAATGTGGTAATAGATTTTTGGTTTTTTATAGAATGTGGTAATTTATTAAATATCTTAACTGCCATGTAGTAGGGGCTATTGCTAAGCATGGTTAGTCTTGAAGGGGGATGATTTAATCTATTTTTATGGCGGGTATTAATATTATGGGTTTGGCTAACTTTATTAAACGCGTTAGAATTTTTAAATACAAAACCACATACAATTCAATTCTCGTGGATCACGCGCCAGCGTTGGACGTGTCAACAAGTACGTTTAAAAAATATCTTAAGTGATAAGGACACCGCTATACGCAAAACAAGGATCGGTGCATTGTGCATACGGTTACTCATAGGCAGCTCCACCCCTGCGCCGCTAGCGCAGGTAAACAGACCGCCCACAAAACTGAGAGTGAGACAACATAATGCATCGGACGCCAGAAAAAAATAAGGCATATGGATCGGAGCCTAACATTCCGTCCATTCGAGACAAATGCCAATCTAAGCTGGATCAGTGGACAAATAAGAAAAAACGTAGGTACGATGGGGACACGGACAGTGATTCTAGTATATCACATGATCAAAACCGTAGAAAAATATCAGGGAACGAGATCAGTACTATAAATGTAAACTTAATTGCTTTTGGAAAACAAATGGAATCTATGAATCTATTGTTAAATTCTTTAAAAGAGGACCAAAATACTCGCTTTTTGCACTTGCAAAATGATATGTCAGAAATAAAGCAGCAATTTAGTGATATCAAAAAGGTTCAAGACGAAATGGAAAAATCAGTGGACTTTTTGGGGGCTCGGTATGGAGAATTAAAGAAGACTGATAAGGAAATTATAGAAGAGGCCAGAAAACAAGATAATAGAATTAAAGACCTATACCAGAAAAATATATACATTGAAAAATGTAACCGTGCTTTAGAAGAGCGTCTATTAAGAATTGAACAGAAGGAGCTAGAAATGCAAATCGAACTTATTAATGTTCAAAAACTTGAAAATGAAAGTATAATAGAAATCATAAATAAAATTGCACAAGAGTTAAAGCTTGACAGTGGAAGCATAGAAAAGGCTTGGAGAATCCCTGGTGACAATAGTCGACGCCCACGCCCAATAATTATCCGACTGCGGTCGAAGGAAGCTCGTGCGGAGTGGTTAAAGTGCCGCAAAACTCCACTAACTAACAAGTCTATATCTGTATCTGACGATGAAACCCGTATATTCATTAATGAACATATAACGTACCAGATGCGGCAACTTTTCTATGATGTTAAGGCGAAACTGAAAAATTCATTTCAATACATATGGATACAGAATGGTAGAATCCTCGTTAAAAAAAATGAAACTGATAAAAAAATTTATAGAATTAACAATGAGAGAGATTTAACATCTATCCTTGAACAAATAATAGAAACAAATACCGTATAGATTGCATTACATATATTACACAACTATGTCCTATGAAAATAATTTACAAGAAATTATATACTCGAAATACAAAAATATACCAGAATGGGAACAGTTTTTGCATGAAAATGTGAATAGAATAAATATTATACATTTAAACATATGTTCGTTAAGAAAAAATTTTATTACTCTCAAAGTAATACTGAAAAACTGTTTTAACAAAATACATATTATCTGTTTATCGGAAATAAATATAAAGGAAAATGAAGTATCCCAATACGAGCTAGAAGACTATAATTATTACTATATTACTAGAAAAGAAAAGAGAGGTGGTGGTTTGATTATTTACGTAAAAAAATATATAAAATTCCTACCAAGAAATGAATTCATTGGCAAATCATATGAATTAATACATGGCCAGATTATGTTGCCAAATACTTACGCAATAGATATTTTAGCCGTATACAGACCGCCGCACACAAATAAGATGGAATTTACATCATCGTTGAAGGAAGTCATAAAATCTATACCTACAGGAAATAACGTTGTTCTCATTGGTGACTCTAATATTAACATTTTACAAGGGGAAACGGACGTGTATGCGAATAAGTACCTAAACATGTTATATGAACTAGGCTTTGAATGCGGCATTTATGACGTGACGCGCGAGGTGATAATAGCGGAGCGAAGAGTAACGTCTTGCATCGACCACGTCTTCCTGCGGAGTGCGAAACCTACCGGCGAGCTGTATGCATACGTGTTAATGACGAAAGTATCTGATCACTACCTAGCGGGACTTTCAATAGAAACTGATAACGAATGCGCTGTGACTCAAAATAGAATAATATTATGCGATAAGACAGTTAAAGAAAAATTGTGTTTGGTTGATTGGGTGAATTTGTTGCAGTGTGATGATCCCTTAGTGTTGTATAATCATCTCTGTGTGATTTTTGGTAGCATATATAACAACTCAAAAAAAGTTATATACACAAAGAATCGGCAAACAAGTACATGGATAGATGATAAATTATTAAATATGATAACCTATAAAGACGTGTTATTTAGGAAATGGAAAAGTAATACTAAAGATGCGGTATTGCGTTTAGAATATACGAGATATAGGAATAAAACTAATAAGGCTATCTATGCTGCCAAGAACGCACACAGGAGAAAAAATATTGAGCAATGTGACGGGGACATAAGAAAAATTTGGAGTTCTGTGAATAAGTGGCTTGGTAAGTCAACTTTAAGTATAGACGCGATAGTAAAAAAGTATTTACTAAAGGAAAACCAAACAATGTTAGAAATATGTGATAATTTTTGTAATGTTTTCACTTACGAAATTGTAGCATTAAAACAAAATCATAAATGTAATAATCTTTTTTTCGATAGGCAATCTTACATTAGAGAAAGTGTTGTTAGTTTTAGGTTTATGTACGCAACTGTACAAGATGTTTACAAAATTATAAGCCAGTTGAATTGCAGTAAGGCCCCTGGTTCAGATGGTATCAGAGTCAAGGACTTAAAATATATTAAAAAGGAGTTATGTGGAGTCATTGCATATTTTATTAATAATTGTATTAAAAAAGCAGTATACCCGACAGAATTGAAACTAGCTATAATCAGACCAATTTTTAAACAAGGAAATCATAAGGAATATTCAAATTATAGGCCCATTGCAATATTAAATACAATAAATAAAATCTTTGAGAAATTATTAGTTAAACAAATTTCGGATTTTTTAGAAAATAAAAATATTTTAACAGACACACAACATGGATTTAGGCCTAATAAGAGTACGACAACAATTTTACAAAAAATTTCAGATGATATTAACTGTGCATTAGATAGAAAGGAAATTGTTATTGTTGTTTTTATAGACTTCAGGAAAGCCTTTGATACCCTAGACCATGGGGGTTTGCTGCAGGCAATGGACGAGTGTGGCATCAGAGGCCCAGTTAAAAAATGGTTTAAGATTTACCTCCAGAGCAGGCAGTTGAGAGTTAGAATAAATGGAATTGATAGCGTGGAAGGCGAAATTAAATATGGTGTCCCAATTGGATCAGTTTTTGGGCCAATAGGCTACATTATGCACGTCAACAGTATGGTTAACCTGATAAAATACTGTAAAACATACAGCTATGCTGATGACACTTGTCTAATGTACAGCGGTTACGATTGTGATAGAATACAATCGATAGTGCAATATGATCTTGATAATGTTTTTAAATGGGCGCATGATAACGGCTTGATAATTAATGTAAAAAAAACTAAATCCATGCTTATTACATCTCCATATAATAAGGTTGCAAAAAATTTCGATGTAAAATTAATAGGTCATTCCTATGACTGCCTACATAAGACCAGTGCTGATTGCCAGTGTCAAATAATTGAGTGTGTACCCTCTTTCAAATACCTTGGCTTGATAATAGACAGTCGCTTCGCTTGGGATTTGCATATTGAAAGTGTTTGTAAAAAGCTAAGAACAATACTAGGTAAATTATACAACTTGAAACATGCTGTAAGTAGAAAAGTATCTTATATTTTTTATATTATCTCCTTGCGGATGCAATTATAAACTATGGCTTGGGTTCTTATGGACTTACGTTCCCAGTGTATTTAAATAAAATTAAAGATTTGCAGTTGAGGTTATTAAAGACACTTATAAATAAAAAGGAAAAGGATTTATTAAAGGGTGAATATAATAAGCTATTTAAAATGTGTTAAATTGTCCCAGTAGAATATAAAGTAAAAATGATAATTATACTTGAACAATACGTATTTGGAGAAAATAAAATAGAAAATGTCTATAGGAACCCAACCCGTCAGGTAGCTTGTAAACATAAATATAAAGTACCAACATACACTAATTATTACGGTAAACGTATGAGAAAATGGCTTACTCCAACCTTTTTAAATCAACTACCAGAAACCATCCTCAATAAATGTTTAAAAGAAACAACAAAACATCAGCTAAAAAAAATCTTACGAAAACATTACCTTGCATTGTGTCCGTAGCTTGTATAGGTGTGTATTTCTGTGTGTATGTACGCGTGTGTGTGTGATTAAAAAAAGTATAAAAGGAAAAAAAAAAAATGTAGTGATAAGTCTCATTCCAGCGGCACTATTCTGTAAAGATCCACGCATGGGGTTTTACAGAATAGCACTGCTGATCATAGATCATAAACTGTATGAGTGCCGGTTTTTATCTAAATCTGTTCAGCCATTTTTGCGTGATTGAATAACAAATAGTAAAAACTAGTTTTATGAGAATATCACAGAAGTCTTATATAATTAATATATAAATATAACTATTGTTTTTGTTTTGTAAGTAATCGTTATCCACGGGAACTCTGCCGATAAACTATTATAATAGTTTGGCAGATATTTTCATGTCTAAACAATGTATGTACTTAGAAAAATAAATTAAAACATATGTCGTGTATGTATATGCTTGGAAGAGTAAGTATTTTATATTTTTTAAAGAAAGGTTTGCAGCTCACTGTATTGTCTATTTGTGCAAGGATACGAATACACTTCTTCTGCACAACAAAAAGATCATGTGAATTCACACTATTACCCCACAGCATAGAGCCGTACCGCAACCAGGAATAGGCATATGCATAATATGTAGATAGAGCTGTTTCTAAGTTAGTACTCTGTTTAATTTCAAAGAGTGCGTATATAAATTTATAATTATATAATTTAGTTTTAACATAATCAATATGACTTTTCCAGTTTAAATTACTATCTATAGTTATACCGAGTAATTTAAATGTATCTACTAATTCGATATTTATATTTTTGTAAGCAACTGTAACATTTAATGGTGGGGTTTTATATGTTCTGAATTGTATAGCTTTCGTTTTCTTATAGTTAATCTCTTAATTATGGTTCTCGAGCCAAGTTGTTACAGTATCTAAAGTTTTTTCTATTAGTGCATTTGGATCAGTTCCCTTCTGAAATTTTAGCAATATTGATATGTCATCCGCAAAAAGAACTGGTAGTGCTTATCTAACCTTATATGTAAACAATTTTATAGTTATGAGTATATATAGAATGTAACTGGTGAAATGGAAATAAAAATAGAAATACAAAAACAAAATAGTAGCAAGAAATTGATTGAAACTCGTTGACGTTAAGATTTCTTCATATAATTTTAAAGTATTGCTCTTTTTGGATGAGCACCGACTCCATTTGTTCTTTAGCAGATATTTGTCTGTCGGGTTGTGTCGTGACGCGTCAGAGAGGTATCGGTTTTATATATTTTGTCGACCTATCGCGATAGATTGCGACCCATTAATATAATTGTAACCGTACTAAATGAATGAAACCAATACCTCTCAGACGCATTACGACACAACAAGAAAGACAGTAATATTTTTCCAGCTTTAAGATTTTTCTAGCCTTTCGTTCATACTAAACGGTGTTTGATATTGACCTACATTCAAACTTGTCGCAGCACAACGACACCATGTCAATGTCCACGTCATCGGAGTCGACACTGGAAGAAGGCGGAGGCATTCCTCTACACGATCGCATCAAGATAGTGTCGCAACAATCTACGGCTCGACCCGGTGCTATCATCCAGCTGCACGCCATCGCCGACGCCACCCACGACTGGCACAACACGCAGCTGCTGCACGTGTTCCAGGAGCAACTCATCACAGGTGCGTGCCTCGGAAAGTGAGATTATAACTTTATGGTGGTTGTGAAGTTAGCAACGAATGTCGCATGGGTTGGCAGTGGCCAACCAAATAACCTCTTAATTACTTGCAGATATTTCTATAAACGCATAATTTTATCATTGATATATTAATATTTTAGAAGACAAAGAAGCAAGCATCTCACCCACAGACCTAGATCTCGATCTATGTCACGGGTACCATAAAACTAACTTCAGTATTTGCGAACAACGACCAACGTAATGTTAAGCTTAACCCACATAAAACAAAAAATAAACAAAGACGCGTACTTCTATCAACATTATGGACAATCATATTTTTTACCTTAGGGGAGCGCACATCACCCGACACAGATAACGCCGACTCAGGTATAGAAGGATCTGAAGTAAACACCATAACAGAAGCCGGCCTAGAAGCAATCGTAGATTTGCGAAAGGCGGCCGTATTTAACGAACCGTTCTACATAGTGGTGCTGGAGAGGACTGACGGAGGCTCCACTGTCCACATGTGGAGGCTTACGGTGTCATCTCAGGCTGATCCTAATGGTGAGTTTAACCATTTTAAGATTTAAAAAAATTGCACTGACGTACAAATTTTTTTTGTGGCTTAGCCGCAGATCAACGCCATCATTAGGGCCTGCGGTGCGTTAAGCGGGAGCACGGAGCGGACATCCGCTACGCGTGCAGTTTCATGTTATTGCATAGAGCAGCGCTGCGTGAGGTGAGTCTCCCGTCGCAGCGCTACTCTATGAAATGACATGAAACTGCACCCTAAGCGGACATCCGCCACCCCCGCTTAACGCAGCGCAGGCTTTTAGACTTAAAAGTGGTCTGAACTAAAGAAATTAGAAATTGTTTCTTTTTTTATTCTTTGTTACACATTAAAGGTTAAGCCGGCTAGAAATTGTTAATATGAATAAAACTGGTTTAGTGCGTGTTTCGACGTAATTTTTCTTGATTAGGACTGATTATATTGTTATTAGTGGGCGGGAAATACAGTCGTTTTTTTTTCTAAAAATTGTCAATGCCAATGGTATTACAAAAAAATATGATAACTATTTTTAAGAGATCACGGTTCAATCAATACTATGAAGATCATATTCCTACTGTTTTGTGTATCAGTATCGCCACGCCTATATTTAATTCATTTCTTACAGAAAAGTTACTTCTCTACGTAAAATCGATATGATAAAATAAAAGTCGAGAAAACAATGTCTGCTAGCAGAAATCATCATTTTGTACAGAGGTCTTCTAACCTTTTTATTTTACTACACACACCAATTAGCCTAGCTCCAAAGTAAACACTGTAAGGCTTGTGTTATGGGATACTAGGGTAACGGATAGAATACTTCTATTGTACATATATAAGTATATTTATATAGATATACATATTAAACATCCATGGCTGGAGTACAAAAGCTCGTATTCATCACACAAACATCTGCCCCCACCGGGATTCGAACCCGGGACCTCTCGAGTCGGCGACACGAAACCCGGCACATAAAGCACTCTGCAACGGATGTCGTTAACGTTATGATTACTGTTTTTTAGATGACTTCACGAACAGTATGATGTACGTTCCGGATAGTGCGCTTGTTCAAGAAGAAGAGGGAGAATCGAGAAAGAACTCCGTCTCAATGGATCATGATAGGGCGCCACCCCCCGCACCATCGCTATCACACCTTGCAATATCTACCAAAAAGGTAAAAACAATTTGAATTTTGGATTCAATTTAATTCAAAAGTCATTTATTAAGTTATGTCGAAAACTAAGCCACCGGTACGCAAAACTACGGCGGGAGACCTTATACTGAGAAGAACCGGCAAGAAACTGAGCAAGGGCTGCTTTTTTCTCTCTGTTTTATTTCATACAGATTAAGAGCTTTTGTCCGCTGTCATGACAGACATCGAATCAAACTAACAAGTACTTAACTACCAATTTGAATAAATGCTCAGTAGGTAAGTTGAGCGTTTAATTTTCATAAAGCGTGTACCCTAAATTCGACGAAGTCACGGGCATCCACTAGTAATAAATAAATTCGAGGTAAGAGAGTTTGAATTAGATTTAATTTCTTACTTACCGAAAAGTACTTAACAAGACCTTCTTTCTGTGAAGATGTGATAAGGTAGCAACATGTTCCAAAATGAGGCAGCAATTCATTATTTTAATATACAAATGTGGTAAGGAGTGGGAAAATGATAGGAGCAGCTTGGTGTTTCCTTCGTACTTGTAGCGCTTTTGGAAATGACGTTATACTTAAAAGGCAGGCACTTCTAGTTATTTTGACATTTTCCACTTTCACCAAATTAAGAACCTTTGAAACTTATCTAATTCTGAGCATTCTAGATATTGCTTTCTAATTTAAGTCGAATGCAATACAATTATTTTTGAAGTTATACTTCTTTAGCCGCGTTATGAAAAAATTATGAGAGTGAAATTTTAAGATGCGCGCGCATCACTGTAACACAAAAGTAACATAATGAAGTTAGCCGCGGGCGCGTTATGAAAAAATGATGAGAGTGAAATTTTAAGATGCGCGCGCAACACTGTAACAGAAAAGTAACACCATGAAGTCGGCCGCTAAACCGCACATTACTCGTAAGTCTCGAAAAAAAGCTTCCAACAAAATAGTAATAGGATCTCTTAGTCGCACATGTTGGGACGCTCGTCGCCTCTGATCACTGTTCTCATATTTATAATATTTATTATTTAATAAAACTGTAAGAATGTGCGGGAGGGCGAAGGTGGAGTGTGAGAAGACTGACGTCAAATAAAGATAGGCGTAGGTAGAAAATACTTATATTGTGATTACTATTCAATATTTGTAGGAGAAATGGCATTACTGTATCCCACAAGGGTGGAAGTACATGTATACTATTATAAAGACATTAAGACGTCCCACGTGGTGGAAGCGTATAGCGTGCAAGACAATAGGCCCTACCTACGAAGCGATGACTTGGTCAATTTCCCAAGAACACCTTATACAAGTGATGTCAGTATTGTATAGCACGATTCACATGCGTACAGCGCCATCTAGTAGCGGTCGGCGTGATGATATTTACAGCCACACAATCGGTGTCGGTATAGGATAGCGCGATTCACATGCGTACAGCGCCATCTAGTAACGGGCGGCGTGATGATATTTAATACTATGGTGTTACAAAACTTATTTACTTAGATTAAATGAGAAAAACCATCAGTATATTGTTTTAAACTTTCATGGTCACTAACCATCATGAATCATCAAATCAAACCATCAGATTTTTATTAATTACTAGCTGACCCAGCGAACTTCGTACCGCCATAAAAAAATTAATTAAAAAAAGATTGTCCAGCGGACAAAATTGTGAATCTAAACCATTCTCAGATCCCCTTGAACACACACAAAAAATTTCATCAAATTGGTCCAGTCGTTTAAGAGAAGTTCAGTGACATACACACTCACAGAAGAATTATATATATAAAGATTTGCATGCAATTAAAAATATTTTTAATGATGCTAAAGAAGTATAACTTCTCACGCGCGTACATAAGTTACACGCATCCATTTTTTTATTAATAAAAATCAGTTAATCAAGCTTGAGCTCATAATATTAAAAATATGTTTGGATTATTACCCCTCATTTACACCAAGGTATAGTACATGTATTTAAGAATTTTTATACAATGTCTTATTTTTTTGTTCACACATTATAAAACATATAGTATACAATACTTGCATCAAACTTTTTGATGTAAATTTGATTTATATTTTTACCCCTCGTTTACACAATGGTATAATACATGTATTTATCAAATTTGTTACAATGTCTTAATTTTTTGTTCACACATACATAGATATACATGTATAAAATATGTAGCATACAATACTTGCATCAAACTTGTTTGATTTATCAAAATATATGAAGTAAATAGTGATTATACTCGTAAAGATATACTAATTGTCTATGCATTGTAAACGAAAGAAATTTTTGGATAGTCATAACAAGTAATCTACAAGTATTGTGTAAAACTACTATATGACTCGTTTCTTGGTGTAAACAATGGGTTACAAATATCCATCCCGCAATCAAGTTCCTCTTTTTTAGTTAGCCAGATTTGACCCTGTGTTGAACAGGAGACAATCATTGCAGAAATCAGTTGTGTAATAAATGTATTCTCTTGTGTGCAGGTTTGTGAATGCCCTCTATCTCTTCCTGATGGTGTTGATGTAATACACGCGACACCTGCAGCCGGTCATCTTAGCTCGGCTTCCATTTACCCCGCCTGTTTGGCACCCTACATATTAGCTACGGCATGCTCCGACAGCACGCTAAGGTTATATTTAATAATAAAAAAAACTATTTCAAAATTAAGTAATAACGAATTTGTATACCAAATACTCGTGTCATCATTTTAGGTTCTGGAAATGTAGTGTCACTAAGAAAGATGAAAATGAATTCGATTACGCGTGGAAAGAATGGGAAATGATGAACAAGGATCAAGAGTCTACCATAGATATACCAGGTAAAGTAAGCCAACGAAGTTTATAAAATTATTAGTCCTTAAGCTTATCTACCTCACTACCTTTCAGTAGCTTTTGTTTGGTAGACCTAATTACATTACTTCTCATTTTCTCAATTGACCTACCTTTTTATTCTTTATACTCAGCATAGATTAGTTTCGAGATGCGTACTTTTTAACAACCTTTTTTGTATTTCTCTTTCGACATTATAATCTTGGGTAACTTTTATCTGAAACAAAAGTTTTTCTAGCAGTTCAAACCTATTTCATAAACAGGGCAACCGCTCCACATAAGCGCGGCGTACTCCGGTCGTATTGCGTGCGCGTATAAGTGCGGGCGTTCGTTCACGCGTCCAAAGGGCGGGAATACCACAAATTCTACAGACGCGCGATTCGTTAACCTCTGCGTTTGCGTTTATGAGTGCGAAAGCACTGGGGGCGCGGAATGGCTTCTAGAAGACACTATACCATTGAGAAATGTCAGCTTACCGCGCGTCGGAGTCTGCGCAGACACGCAAATTGATCTTTCATATCTACACGATACGTCATTCATGCAGAAGAAACAGAGATTAACGCAAGTGAGTTTATTTCGTTTTCAGAGGTTTGTTTTGATATATAGAAATTTTGAACTGATTTATTTTTGTCACTGTCTTTCATAAATAATAAAATGATGGGTAACTTCTTAATTTAATTTTTATTTATAGGTGGTTTTTAAACTCCCACACAGCTTATATACAGAGCTCTTCAATTCATAACTATTAATAAAATCATTTAAATTGTTCATTAACTTCATTTAAAATATTTTATATTACCAAGATATAACACAATTAGATACATTTTGTGTTATACACACACTCAGAACATAAAACGAAATTTCTCTTAACTCACTCAGCCAAATCTTTTAGGTCCTCCAAACGTTGTCATCTGAAGAACGCACAAATCGGAACGGGGAAGCGGACACGGGTAAATCCGCGGGCTTGCTCGCAGTGCCTTCGTTCAGCACTCTGCAGTCACTGCGCAGGAGTATAATGGAGAATGGGAACACCTGCCCGCTCACACAGAAACATTTAGTGCAGCTGGACTGGGTGTCCAAGGAAGACGGCTCCCATATACTCACCGTTGCCGTTGGCTCCAGGGTGCTGTTATTCACGCCCGTGTCGAGCGACCTCGCTCAAGCTAATTTGAAGGTACTTCATTCATTCTTTAGCTCCTTTTGTTCCTTTAACTTGCCATCGAAGTGTGAACGGCAACGTAATACCCGCTCATGCAGAAACTTAGTGCAGCTGGACTGGGTGCCTAAGGAAGACGGCTCCCATATACTCACCGTCGCCGTTGGCTCCAGGGTGCTGTTATCCATGCCTGTGTCAAGCGACCTCGCTCAAGCTTATTTTCTTTCTTTTTCTTTTTTATCTCGGCTCTAGTTAGCCGTTGTTGTGGGGGGCAGGGAAAAACGCCCAGGTACGTACCTGTACCTAGTATAGCGTGTCGTATGTAGACCGAGCCTCGCACTTCGTATCCTACGGGTGCGGTGTCTGCCTAATGCTAAGCTAATGTGCAAGTATGCTAGCTGTGTAGTGTTTGTGGCCTGTGTGGGAGGTGTCGGAGGCGGAAATCACCCGCGCCAACGCGCGCAACACACGATTTTGCAGCGTTTGTAAAGATTTAAGACGCGACGGAGGTACGTGGGCGAAGTAAACACTCGTGTAGGTCATATGCAAATTTTTTAAATTGTCAACTTGCCTAATGCCTAAGTGACATTTTACTACGCTTCCCTATGAGGTGGAATAGTCTGCCGCGAATGAATGTTGCGCGGTCGCGAATTATCTTAAGATGAGATGCAAACGTTAATCGGTTATCTAACGTAACTCCCAAGTACTTAACCCGGTCCTCCCAGGGGATGACCCGGTCAAATAATTGGATGCTCCGAAGAGGCAAGCTTATTTGAAGGTGTGTAGTGCATTTTATAGTTCAGCTCCCATTTCTTCTGTAACCTGACATTGAAGTGTATGTATAGACAATATGAAAGTATGTTATTTGTACGGTATGTGTTTGAAATTGATCTGACGACGTTGGCTGAAGATATTAAAGAAAAATGAATACTATGTTTGCTCGTTTAAATACATTTATGCCTGTACTCAGCAACGTAAATTAAGTTATAACTGCGATTAAACTAAGTGATCTCTTATTTTGAGCGATGAAATCAGAATAGATCAGTGTATGACTTTACATTAAATTTATATCTCTATGTGTGCAGTCATTAGTGTAGTTACCCTAATAAGTTTCATTAAAGGGGTCACTATAATCATAAGTTGTTTTCGCCCACAGGCAATGAAGGAGTCCATAAACAACAATCGGCCTATATTGCGGAAAGCGTCTTCACTAGCGGCGCCGTTGTTCGTAGAGGAGATACGATGGATGCAACTCCGGCGCATACAACTTAAAACGGCGGATGGCTTACCGCCTCTGCCGATGCAAATATCGTGGGTGCGCGACGGCATATTGGTAGTGGGAATGGACTCTGAGATGCACGTGTACTCGCAATGGAAACCGGAAACGGCGCAGACAAGTTCCGGATACGGCAGCGTACCGGTACGTTACTTCTACTATTAAAATTAGATTATACTTTATTCAAATTGACTTACGGAAAGCTCTTTCCATTCATCCAATATTTTTTCACGACATTTTTTAGCTTTCGGGAAGAATTGGCACAAGAAACTCATCAACATTTAACAGAAATAGCAACATTACATAAAATCATATCGTACCAATACTATACTTACTCATAGTTTGAATTTCTCAAATTAAATAAAACTAGTTTTTCACGGGTTAATGCACGAAACTTTATTTATTTATTGACGTTTCGCAGCCTTTACAGGCTGCTTCGTCGGAATGATTTTTTATTTAATTTTGTTGAGCTACCTTCGAAAGACTTTTATTGAGTGTTCGGTTATTTCATTGTTCGATTTTTAAAGTTTTATTGTCTATGTATGAATTTATTACTTAATTAAGTTAATAAAGTACTTTATTTAAAATTGTTTTTTGTAATTTTGAGTTTATTTATTTGACCCTAAGTATCGTAAACTTGCATAATTGGGCCTCTCTTGAGATGCATAATTTAACATTAGAAGGAGATAGAAAGCCTCTCTTGAGTTTGTTTCGCCGGTTCTTCTCAGAAAGGTCTCCCAATTTAGGAACCGGTGGTAGTTAGGGTCAAATAAATAAACTCAAAATTACAAAAAAGAATTTTTAATAAAGTACTTTATTAACTAAATGAAGTAATAAATGCATACATAGACAGTAAAACTTTAAGCAATAATATCAAGACGAATCTCGGTTATTGAACATTCAGTGACGGGAAACGACAGACTCCACCAGGTAGGAGATATTTATTTCAACGCATCAGCCCTGCCACGCTCTATCTAGAGGGTAAATAATGAAAAGTTTTTCATTGGCTTTCAAATATAATAATCATAAATTGCCTCAAAACTTCTTGGGTTATAAAGCAGGCCAGATATTTAATAAAATTCATCACAATCTTATAGAAGGTATTAATCTTATTATACCCATATTAATATATAATCTTCGTCTATGTAATCGATCAAAATTAATATTAGCTATCTATATACAGGATGTTTCTTTTAAGGTGTCAAGCCGGTGCTAGGTGATAGCTGAGTAACATATCTATCGATTTGACCCCTATGTATGTTCCGCGATTTTTTGTAGTTTTAGAGTTATATTTTTTTTCATTATTTTTTAAGATTTAACGACTGAACGGCTTTAAAAATTTATAACTTTTTTTGAGTAAACATTTCTTAGTAATTTATTTTTTAAATACAATGCCGATTGGTTGTAGTTTAATCACTAAAATAATCTCCTTCCATACTTTAATACAAGATACATTTTTTTAACTATAGTAAAAAATTGGAAAAAGCTAGATTAAATGGAAATTTAAACTTTAAAAATAAATTAAATAAAGATTTTCCTTTAAAAACTGCCTAAGCTTTCATAATAATATAAAAAAGGATGTACTTTATGGGACATTTTTCACTGAAATCAGTCTCTGAGAGTGGTAAATTGGTTATCTTGTAATTTTCATATTTTATAATTTGTTATTATCTTTGCATATTTTTGTCATTCTTAAGATTAATTATCCATTTAACTTTAAGATGAGCTCCGTTTATGGGAAAAACAGCAATTTTATCACACTATTACTATTCAATAACCACTATGTGTACATACCATTGAGGTAATTTAAGGTCTTTATCATTAAAGGAGGAAGCAAAAATAAAACACAAATGGCAAATTATGACCGGATTTTATTTATTATTACCTACACATACATAGTTTCAATTTGATAGTAATATTTTAAAATACTGGCAGCCAACACAATCGGGACCGCCACAAAAATACTCCATAAATTCCTGTTGTGATTGTTATGATTTTGCGCATAACTAATAATGTCATAAATGAGCGTCTTCAGACAATTATGTTACTATGACCCAACGCAGATACCGGAAGGGTCGATGTTAGGGAGAGACAGAACTAAACGAACAATACCCCGGGAGGTGGATAGGTCGCGGTGGACCAATAGCTTGGCCACCTAGATCACCCGACCTAAACCCCATGGATTTTTTTGTGAGGGGCTTTTACAAAGAGTTGGTATACTGCACAGAATATGAAAATATTCAACAATTAAAAATCAAGTTGACAGAAGCGCAAAATCACATAAGATCGCAACATGAAGCCTTTTCAAATTTAAGAAGAAATTTTTTGCGAAGGTGTCGATTGTGCATATCCGTTGGTGGCCAGCATTTCGAACACTTATTGTAAAAATAAAAAAAAATATAAACAAAATATGATCGCAATGTGAGTTATATTAATGTACCCCTTATAAATTATAATTATTTATTTAAAGGATAGTAGGGTATGATAAAATAACTGTTTTTCATTAACTTATATTACTTATATAACTTAAGTTAAATGGATAAATTAATCTTAAGAATGCCAAAAATTATGCAAAAATAATAAAAAATATAAAATATGAAAATTTTGATTGAAAAAAAATATAACCCGAAAACTACAAAAAATCGCGGAACGTACATGGGGTCAAATCGATAGGTATGGTACTCAGCTATCACCTAACACCGGCTTGACACCTTAAAAGAAACACCCTGTATATAAAACTCAAAGGTGACTGACTGACTGACATAGTGACCTATCAACGCACAGCCCAAACCACTGGACGGATCGGGCTGAAATTTGGCATGCAGGTAGATGTTATGACGTAGGCATCCACTAAGAAAGGATTTTGATCAATTCTACCCCCAAGGGGATAAAATAGGGAAGGAAAGTTTGTATGAAACTTTTTCAATTTTAAACCGATCTTACTGAGACTTTGCATGCAGGTATAAGAAGTATCATAGATGAATGTCATTGTGTATAATACAAGCCTAAGAACAAAAAACAGCTCTACACCGAAGCGAAGCGAGGGCGGGCCGCTAGTAAAAAATATTCCTGAAGAGCATAATCCATGTCTTATTATTAAACTATTATATTTTGTCTAGTCACTACCCATTTCATTTATAAAAATAAAAATACATTTAGGAATTGGAGGAATGCAGTGAAAATAGGGCTCTGCGTGACTCTGATCTGCGCATATCTGCGCCTCACCTTCAGCGAGTTTCCTCGATTAACTTACAACTACTTGAGCGCGATGCGAGAAGGAGGAACAAAGCTCAGCCTGACCAGCCTCAGGTAAGTGAGAATTTCCTTAACACAAAGGCCTACTTGTAGCAATTTTGCCAAATCTCGATTAACTAGATTTAGCCCATACAAGAATATCAAACTTTTAAATCTAGATTAATAAATTTAGTCCTTTTTTGTATGGCTTAAACTAGTTTTATTTAAATCAACATTAGCTAATTTGCTACAAGTAGACCTTAAACTTTTCTTTAAAACACTTCATTTTACAATACATTACAAACTACAAACTATTTTTTTTGTAGCCACTTCTGGACTACATGCCTGATTACGGGCTGTTTGAAGCATCACAAATGGCGTGCCCAGTGCTTCCGCAATATCATCCCAAACAACTTATGGAGTTGCTAAACAGTGGCAAAATAAGATGGGTCAAAGCTATTTTGGCACATTTAGTCAGGTAAAATCTTTATATTATATAACGTTTCATAACGCAAAATGTAATATTAAATAAGCTGTCTAAAAAGTAATTTACAATCTATAGTATGATATTGTTTTATATTCAGATGTATTGGCGGCACCTACACGGGTCGCACATCACAAGGCGATGAAGACAGTCTTTCGAGACAGGTAAAGAACCAATTCTGTTCAAAAAGTATTTTTCCTGAAGAAGTAAGTAATTTCACACTAAATTAACGTCTACGCAATATTACAATTTAAAAATATATAGAAATGCAAAAATTGCTTTGTTAGCAAAGTGCTATATGCTCAAATAAACTTATTTGAATCCTTCTTTTCTTAGTTATGCACTAAATTTATTCTGAACTTTCTTATGAGCATGATCATAGCAAGATGTGAAGAGATAAATTGACAGCTCCTATTTTAAACACTTGCTTTAAAATAATGTTTAGCACATTTCTTCATATTCATTAGACTGACACCCCCATACAAAACAGTGAATGGTGATCGAATAATTTGCTTTTTATAACGAGCAAACCTTATATTCAAATTGAATTTCTAAGTTCAGAATTATTTTATACAAACAATGTGATATTTAAATAACAGTTTTATCGTGCTATTTTCTGTGTAAAGCTTCGGTCAGAAATCATATCTTTCACTTATAAACTTCAACAACTATGTTTTTATATGTAACTGACCGTAGCCGGAATGTTGTTCGTATTAAGGTCTTTCTTAAATTTATCCATTTCTGGTGGGGCCATGCAAACATTTCCCGTATCAAACGTTACTAATTTTTTGCAGAAACCTTGCCTTTTTCGATCATCTTCAAATAATGAAGAAGAATGTTTTCTGTGCATGCCCCCATATGCAGCATGCATGCAGCATACATCGGAACACACAGTGAAATAGAAAGACACAGAATCGGACCTATGTAAACTAACTGAACACAAAAACCAGGGACCGATAAGTAATGATTAGTTGGGAAGAGATAATAAAATAAAAAAATATGATAATTAATAAAATAATTTTTAAACGGGTATAAAAAGCGTTTTTTGTTATTCGTGATATTTCGGATCCCTTACAAGTGGTCCGTGGTCGCAAGATGGTCAATATGTTATGTTTGATGTACCCTTAGCACGACTTAATATCGAATTCGTTACGTTTGCGAGTGCGAATCGTCAACGAGAAATTTTGTATGGAAACTTGAACAGCACCACAACGGACGTAACGAAAATTAAAAATGAGTTGCACGAACTTCTTGACATTCGACGCGTATCGTGATTGAATTCGATGGACGATGGTGATATGTTATGTCACATGCTAATGTGGCTAATTTGTTTAGAGTTTATGGAGGAAGCCAAATAAAACAATTTTAAAACGGATTTAAAAAGCTGTTTGTAATGTTTTTTTACGTAACTCGATGTTTCGCATCCTTTTCAGGATGCATTATCTGAGAGTATGATTTTTAATTACTTTTGACAAGCTACCTCCTAAAGCTAAAGTTTTTTTTATATATAGCTAGGTAGGCAAATGACTCCACCTCACCTGATGTTAACTAGTGATAAAGTCCAAACACGGATAGAGTTGGTACAGCAGTTATAAAGTTTGGCAGGTAAAGTTAGGCAGACCCCCTATTCTGATCGGATTTACAATTTTTTCATAATAATTCGGATCGATAGTATGCGATTATGTGTCTTTCTACGTTTACGAGTGTATTTGCGAATCGCCATGCGTGTCCGTTGTGTAGCATGCGCACGTATGTTACAGCGCGGCTGGTCGCGCTCGCGCACGCTCTCCGTGTCGTTCGCCGCCGGCGCCGGCTCGCCGCTAGATGGCGTTGGACAGGTAATTATATACTCTTTTAGCAATAGGATATCTTGGAGGTAAATTTTACAAGCTTCGTGAGGTTGACAGCTTTTGTTGTTGGGTTTATTGTTCGAAGAAGACGAGTAGTTTTGATATAAATTATGCTTGTAATCTGCTTAAAGTTTTTCGTAAAAATGGAGCTGCTAAGGATTTTAGTTAAAAGGATCAGCAATCGTTTCCATCGACTATGGCCGCAGACCCAGTGTTGTGTAGTGTATGAGTGGAGCCCTATGTCCTTTACGATAATCAAAAAAAGTATGTTAATGAATTGATATGGAACTCGATGACATAGGCGCTCTATAATATTTTTTTTATAATTTAATATCTTTATTATCGTTTTTTCGTATTTTTCTATGAACTGTCAAGGGCAAAGGCATCTTCAGTTTGTAAATCTACGACTGAAGACCAGAGGTTGGAGGTTCGGAACCATGACGCTTTACAGTCATCTGATCCCAAGCTGACTTGTACTCTAAAGATGAGTAACTGACTGACTTGATTAAAACAGAGTCTGCAATCTTTGTAATTAAGATCCCGAATGTCACTTGTTTAATGCCGTTTGTTAGTAAACCGAAAAAATAGTGCTCTTTTTTGTCATCGGAATGAATTATAATAGAATTTAAGAATATGATAAAAATCACGGTGATATACAGGGTGTAAAAAAACCTTTAACGAAGTCGAAGGCCACGTATTTTCCACATCATGACGATCATTTTTTTCTTCTGGACCATACCTGCGTAGTTTGAGTCTTTGTCATAGGTTTTTTACAACCTGTATATTCAACAAGTTTATCTAAATCTTATTGTAATATTATTACAGTATTTAGTCAGTTTTAGTTTTTCTTATTACAGTTTTAGTGTGCTATTCAGGCTATTTATTTATTTGAAAGTACTGTTTTATTAATATATATTTATATTATTGCATTATTATTTTTAAGCATCTCACTACTACATGTTTAAATCTGAAGAAACTTTTACTAAAAAAAATCCACTCAGTCCAGGTTTCAGACAGGATTCGAACCTGCATCTTCGCTTTCTCGGCGGAAAAAACTAATTATGCTACCAAGACCTTTAATGACCGTGTTAATTTTTTTCTAGTATATCTTAGGCTTCAAGGCCGCAATTATATAATGTATTCTGATGTTTTGCTAGCTAACCTGTTCTTGTTATATATTGTGCAAAGAATGGAACAATTGAAGTATATAATGTAAGCATCTCATTGCGACCTAATGTGCACTTACATCTACATCCGCCACATAATTAATTATCGAAATAAATTAGCTCAGTTTGACAAGTACTTGCACTTAAATTACTAACAGCCTTCTTGTTATATTCAGTACTAATTTTATTTGTTCTATGCGCTTGATTTTTGTTAAACAAACAACCACAGATTATCTAAAGCTGTCAAATATTTCCATTTATCTTTTAGCTTTGTACTACCCTAAAATAATTTTTACAGTCGATTGCGAAATTTTTTATTTATTTTTATTTATTTATACTTTATTGCACAAAAGTATGTACAAGTAGCGGACTTAATGCCATTAGGCATTCTCTACCAGTCAACCGGAGAATTTTAGCAAAAATCTTAAGGTAGTGCAAAAAGAATTCATCAAATTACTTATTATATTTTTATATCTATGGAAACAAGATACTATATATATACTACATAAAATAAATATCTATAAAAATACATAAATAATATATATATATATATATATATATATATATATATATATATATTTAGAATATACATACAAATATATATCATATCAGGAGGATGCGGAGGAGGAATCTAATAAATGATGACGTACGGAGCGTTTAAAAGCCAGTTTGTTCGGAGCATCTTGAATATGAGGAGGCAGTGCGTTCCAGAGTCGTATAGCTTGAAGAGAAAATGAGTTGGAAACAAAACCAGTATGGTGAGAGGGAAAAGCTAGAGTTTGTTTGCTGCTAGACCGAAGATTCAGATTATGGAAACTGCCAAGATACCGAAATTTACATTTCAAATATCCAGGAGCACATGGATCATTAATGATTGAATATAGGGTGGAAAGAATTCTGAGATTTCGACGTTGGCGGATTGTTAACCAATTTAACTTCTTCCGAAAGGCAGAAACGTGATCGTATTTACGGAGACAAAAAATAAAACGAATGCAGTTGTTGAGCAATCGATCCAATTTGTTAAGAAGTTCTTGAGATATGTCAGCGTAACACACATCAGCATAATCTATAATGGGCAAAATTACGGATTGAACCAAGAGAATTTTAGAAGATATTGGGAGAAAATTTTTGAATTGATAGAATGACCGAAGTATACCGATCACCTTACAGCTTATAGCGTCTACTTGTGCTATCCAATTGAGAGAATGGTCAATCTGTATACCCAGGTCTACAACTTCAGGAGAAAACTTTATTGGGGTTCCTTCAAAATAGAGAGACGCAACAGAGCTCATGTCCACCCTCGCCAGAAGACGAGCGCTGCCCAGGATAATGGCCTGGCATTTATTCGGATTGACTTTAATACCGAAATTGCGAGACCAGTCCGAAATTCGCTGAAGATCATCATTTATAGACCTAATGGCAACTTCCAGGTCATTCACCCCAATTTGAGCGTAAACTTGTAAGTCGTCTGCGTAGAGATGGTAAGAGTTGCGAAGAATGGAGGTAATGAGATTGATAAAGACTGAAAATAGCAGAGGAGAGAGAATACCGCCTTGTGGGACGCCAGCCGATAAATCGCACCAATCCGATAAATCACCGCCAGCTCGAACTGCTTGCTGACGTCCAAGAAGATAAGATGAAAACCAATCTAGTTCCGGAGACGAGATTCGCAAGTGGGATAGTATAGCAAGGAGAATGTCATGATCAACGGCATTAAAGGCATTAGAGAAATCAATGAGAACCAGAACCGTTAACCGTGACATCTCCATGCCATCACGAACGTCCTCAGTGACTTTTAGTAAGGCAGTTGTGGTGCAATGACCCGGTCGAAAACCAGACTGGTATTGGTTTAGCACGTGATTTTTAGCTATGAAAGCAGATAGTTGACTATGGACAGTAGCCTCCAAGACTTTCGACAAAAATGGCAAAATAGAAATTGGTCTTAAATGACTAGGAGTTGTGGGATTACTTATTTTGGGAAGTGGCAAAATATGAGCCTTGCGCCATGAGTCTGGAAATTCACCTGAGGAAATTGATTTATTAATTATGTATGTGATGATAGGGAGAATACTATCTAATATACTAAGGACCATGTGCCTACTTATACCATCGTACCCAATGGCCTTAGATTTGAGGGACATAATGGTTTTACGAACCTCGGACTCCGTCACTTGAGAAAATTGGAAAATATTTGTAGGTTGTTCAATTAGAGAAGAAAGATCTGCGAGAGCATTGGATATATTTCCTAAAGAATGAGAAGAAGTTTCTGAGAAATGTCGGTTGATATCATTGAGAGAAAAAGAGTGAGGAAGAGAAACATTTCTTGACTTAATCAACCCAAGAGACCGAAGAAATTTCCAAATATTTGCAGGAGATGAGCGAAGAATATTTTCATGGAAATAGCGGCGTTTAGCAGCTCTTACCATCTGATTACAGCGGTTCCTCTTGGTCTTGAAACAAACCCAGTTTTCTTCTGTCCTACACTTCTTGAATTTACTAAAAGCTCTGTCACGTCTCTTCATCGCAATTTCAAATTTTGACTCTTTATAATAACTTGATCTATTGCTAACTGTTCTATCTATCTCTCAATTATTATTTTTATATTTATTAATGTATCTATCGAATATATTTTTGTAGGATCGGTTGATGCAAGTAAAGGCATTTATTTGTTATATTAATATATTATGTTATTTATTCAACTTCATACGGCCTCTGCTAAGTTAAAACCTATTTAAGGGTTCCGTAGTCCTGACAAGAAACCATTATAGTTTCGTCATGTCCGTCTGTCCGTCCCCGGTGTTGTTTGGAGACTATTAGCACTAGAGAACTGTAATTTCGTGGAGATATGTATATCGATCACGCCGACGAAATAGTAAAATAAAATTTAGAAAAATATTTTTTCTTAGGCTAGCTGCCCTACTGGTATCCTGCCTGGGGATGTTTTTTTTTATCATCTACCCCATCGTGTGGTATATCGTACGATATCTGCGCCATCGAAGTTTTACTTCAGCAACAGCCTATATTTTTTTTCCTACTGGATGTGTACAACTACAAACCTTTGTTCTTACAGCGGTTAAGCTATAATTGTTCCTCTTCTTATTGCATAAACGACTTGTAATATCAGTATCTATAATGATTGTTCTACTTTACATAGATTACGGAGGATGTGCAGTTGGACTACGCGGAGATAACGTCTGTGCCACCATTGCCGCTTTGGACTCTTCTCGTAGCCGACAAAGAGTCGCCTCACCATCCTTCGACCATACAAGAAGCTAAGGTGTGTTTTAAAAACAATTGCAATATTCTACGGATTCTAACCGCGAACTTGCAAAATTATATCCGCTTTATTCCAAAACGCGTACTAAAGTTAGCCTTGGCTTAAACCTAATGTTGTCTCTGTCTTCTTTTTAAGAAACAAAGATGGCAGCATCAGTTTTAGTCCAGGTTTAACTTTATTCAACATTTAGTAAGGCGGAATATGTCCATGTAGAATTTATGTTAAGGTATATTAAACTTCAGGATTACAATGAACTGTTCGACGGAACTATGGATACAGACGAAGACCTTGACGCTCTGTTATTGGGCGAAGAAGAAGGCGTCGACCGACGGCCGTCTATGCCGGAACGCCAACCGTTGTCGCATTTTGGACCCAGACAAGGTTTCTATTATGCTTACGTTCATTTTGTTTCCCCACTTTGATTGGATGACTACTTTATCAAAGACCACACAGCTCTTTGACAATTCTATAATCGTATCGCATCGTCAAAGTTTTTGTGAAAGCTAAGCAGCGCTTCTACCAGACGTTAGAAGAAACTTGCTCCTTCCATACACATTTTGACAATGACGATACGAGTATTAGAGCTTTAATCGTGCTTGGGAGTCGGGCGTCGTCGGTTGCGAATACGGATCGATGAATTTTAAAAATAAGTATCTGTGTGTTGTCTCAATTGGGTTCGGGATTATTATTTTGTTGTTTATGATTTTTTACTCTTCTACTTCAGCTATTCTGATATAGAACAGTTTTTAATGTTATTTACTTTTGATAGAAATTAGTAGTCTTGAATATATGATTATTCAAATATAATTTATGCTATTAAAATCATACCTTTAACATTTTTTCTTTTTTTATTGGAAACTAGGCCGCTCCGGCCGCTCATGACTTTGTCCGCTTTAACTTTAAAAATTCCACAGGAACCTTAATTTTTTCCGGGATAAAAAGTATGTTATGTCTCAAGCTTTCCTTTCTGGAAATATTAGCATTACCAAACTCAGACGCAGCAAAGTCGATGTTTTAATATGGTTTTCGGTTGTAAGAATAGCTCGTCTTCTCCAATGTTGTAAATTAAATAAGTTGTGTATGTTTTAGTTAGGGTACGATGAGGCTGGCATATACGTTGAATGAAAGCCTCTAAATAAAAATAGAAAAAATGTCTCAAGCTAGGTAATAACAAATTTCATCTGAATCTGGTCAGCCGTTTTTACGTCATTAAGTAACAAACATAGAAAGATTGACATTTGTTATATTGTAGTTCGTTAGTATATATGTATGATGATGTATATGTATGATGAAATGTATTTCTCAAAATGTAAAATGTATTTTTTCCATTAGGACGTATTCTTTCCCGCCTTTTGACGCACACGCATCTGCCCGGACTGAGTTCCCTGGACCAAATGCACTTGTTAGCTCTCGCCGATACCGTGTCTACGTGCGACGCGGACTTCGCGGAAAGATTTGCCGCAAACGCCCGTGTCGATGTCGCACAAGCCAGTAGCCAGGAAATATTACCAGGTAATTATTATCATCATCATCAGCCTATTAATGTTCCCTACTGCTGGGGTACAGGCCCTCCCCCTTCCCTACTGCTGGCGTTAGCCGCGGCCCACCACGCGAGACCAGTGCAGATTTGTGAGTGCTAACGACTGCAGATGCAGCCGGGACCAACATGGAGTGGACTTTTTTCTAGTAAAATTTTCTATAGGTTTAAACATCTAGCAGTTACATAAATGCCTAAAATAAAATATAGTTATTTAAAAAAAAATATACCTAAAATAAAATATAGTTATTTAAAAAAACTATGCCTAAAATAAAATATAGTTAATTAAAAAAAATGTTAAGAATTTTTGGGGTGGGGTATGAAAAATTTTTAGTTCCTATTCTCAAACCTACCGTATATACATACACATAGAATTTCATAAGAATCGGCCAAGCTGTTCCATAGGAGTTTTTTTACAAACACTGACACCAGAATTTTATATATAACATAGATATCGTCTCTTTCACAGACTCCTTAGATGACTGCGGTCTCAGATTCGTGCTCGCGATGAAACATTACGGTTACTTGCTGCGTTGTCTCCCGATAGCACAGCGCGCAACTCAGCAGCGCAACGGAGTCGGCACTTGCAACCTCGTTTGGGCTTTCCATTCGGAAACGCACGAACAACTGTTAGCCTTGATTCCCGGATACGCAAAGGGTCAGCCAAAATGGGCCACCATGAGGGAGTTGGGTGAGTTTAATATGAGTAACGACTGACTTCTTGTTTAGTACTAAACACTATAGCCTTATCATCAAACAAAGACCTGTTTAGCTGTTAGATAAAAAAAATGTGGAGGATTCAAAAGAGTTGTATTAAACTTCCAAGTTGAATAAAGAATTTTAGAATTTTGTTTGTTTCTATTATTAAATGTAAAAGTACGACTGAAAAATGTGACGTTCTCCCTTGTTTCTTTTTACATGTTCCTGAATTAGAAATAGTACGACAAGGCCTACTTACTGGTTTTATAAACTGTACCCTAAGCACGAACCAATATCGAATAGTTAGAAATCGAATAGTTTGCGAGTGCGAAATGTCATTGTCAAAATTTGTATGGAAACTTGAACAGCAGCGCCATAACGGGCGTAACGAGAACTAAAAATTAGTACACTATTGACAATGACATTTCACACTCGCTAACTATTCGATTTCGATATGGGTTCGTGGTTCGAAATTATAATTATTATTAAATTGTGTTTTTATTTAGGCGTTGGGTGGTGGGTGAGGGGAGATCTTCTCAGGACCTGCATAGAGAAGTTAGCGCGTGCATCGTACATGCAGAAGCAAGACCCTATGGACGCAGCGCTCTACTACCTCGCCATGAAGAAGAGAATGCTGCTTTGGGGTCTATTTAGATCGAACCACAACGAAAAAATGACTGCGGTATGACCTTATGAGTAGAGTTTTTTTTTTGAATAGCAATTATTACATTTTTCTGACGATGATGATGATGTGATATATAGATTGATGTACACAATTTAATCTCTCACGGAGTTCACAAAGTAGAAGTAGATGTGCTATCATGAAACAGATACCGTAAGTGAGGGTTACTTTAGCTCGGGCGGGTAACTTTGTCCCAAATCAGAAAAAATATTGAACTTGCCGCCCCATCAGTATCTCTTGGGTGACCGTAATAGTTCCAGTTGAAAATCACAGATAGCCATATAGGCGCGTAGTGTGGTGTTGTTTTACCGACATAGCTCCTTTTTTTTTGCGTGTGGAAATGCTGTATCAAGTTGTCATTGTAACGCGGGATTTTTTGTAATCGCAAGTTCATGCGCCAACTTTCTCAAAACTGTGGTTTTCCGTAAGTTTACTAAAGTTATATTTTTTATTTAACTTAATTATTTTTGGGCAAAAACATCCATTTGTGTATTCAGTATGCTAATGGTGATCTGTTATAAGTAGGGATGCAAAGTCTTTTGAAATATCGATATTTATATCGATATATAATCGAAGTCAGGAAAATATCGATATCCGATATATCGACAATTTTATCTCGATATTATCGATATATCGATATTTTTTCTTTTTTTTTTTGCTTTGTATTAAGTTTGCAAAGCAAAAACCTATAATTAAGGAAGCAAAGGTTTCCGAAATATCGATATTTATAATGTGGGCAGGTAAATATCGATATCCGATCCGATATATCAGCCATTCCAACATTTCCAACACGATATTTTCTATATTTTTATAGCGCTGTATGAAGTATCAAATCAAAAGCAATTTCGAATCAAAGATATTTATTTTGTTTAAAATGTTTGCACGCAGCCAAAATCAGAATAGATAATCATATGAAAAACAATTGTTATGTATTAGTAAAATCTACACATCAGGGGCGTGCCCATGGCTTCAGAATAGGGTAAGCCCAAAGCTTCCAAAATTACTATACCTATCTTACTCTCTTGACTTGGTGAGTTTGAAAAATTTACGATTTGTATAAGATTCTTAATTTTATTTTGTGTTATATTACAATGATATTAAATTTCAATTAATCAGTAGTTGACAATTATTTAGAAAGAGAGGCAAGGAATTTATTTAAGTGCATGAGTTACCATTAGGTATACGATTATACCTATATACGTTGGTGTCGATTCTGGCATGATTATCTAAACTTAAAACTGAATTTAACATAAGTCTCTCCTTTTCATTCTGTATAGAGAATGACAAGGATACACTGTTGTCAAAATTAATTTTAGATTTAGAGAATCATGCCAGAATCCACACAAGTTTAGTATATTTCTTTGGGTTCAAGATTTTTTTAATACATCTATAAGCTTTTGCGATTTCAAAGCAATAGTTATTTCGATATTATTCAATTTAGATAGTCATAGAAGGTAAATTAATTGATATTATTGTGTTCAAATTTAGTCTACGAAATATCGATATTTTGGAATTTCCGATATCGATATTATCGATATCAGTGAATTTTAAATATCGATATAAATATCGATATTTTGGTCTCGATATTATCGATATTCCGATATATCGTTGCAACCCTAGTTATAAGGGTTACTTAACCCCAACATGGCTTAAAATGAGTTTTTTTCACAGAGAAAACTCAACGAGCTAAAGTAACCCTCTTTAAAGCCAACTTTGGCCCAAAATTTAAAAAATATATATAAACCCTTAAATATTATTTTTTCCTATTTTCGTATGATAACTTTGTAACTTATACTTTAAAGTTGAGAATGGAAAAATATAAACGCGACATATTCATCACAAAGAGAAGCTACAATTTTATTTGAAAAAAAAGTGCACATTTTAGGTCAAAGTAACCCGCAGTTACTCATTAAATGAATATTCACATCCCAGAATCGCCTTAAAAACGCCACTTTTAGTTGACTCTATTTAGTGCATGGAAACAATAACGTTACTACAATCCTGTTATTACTAAGCTTTTTACATAGCCCTGCACAATAATATATCATGTCCGTTGATATGCTTTTTACATTTTTCTCGGAAAGTTGAAAATCTAATGTATTTCTTTCACACCTTGTGCAACATAGGATGTAAAAGGGCTTGAATATGTCGTAGGATGATTTGATAAATCGAATTTTCACGAAACACCTAGGGATTTGGCCAAAACGCGGTTAATTAAACAATGCTGATGATATTGCTAAATCTTACTGTTAACGAAATTTTATCTGGCGCTCGCTCGGCTTGCTCGGCTCACGCGTCATGGTCACAACATTAACCTAACCTAGTGTGAACCCAAAACGCCAAGAATATTTGTAAAAAGCCAACTTTTGTTTTCCAAATCTTACTGAGGATCCTATCTTCTTTCAGCAATATTGAAAAATGTCATTGGCATTGTCTAATTATCTACGTTTTCGCAAAATCCGTAAAAGTTTCGCAAAAATTGGATTTATCGAATCATCCTACGATAAATATATTACAATAATGTTTATATAAATGATTACAGTTCTTCGCGAACGACTTTACTGAAGATCGCTGGCGAAAAGCGGCATTGAAGAATGCTTTTGTGCTCCTCGGCAAACAACGCTTCGAACATGCAGCGGCCTTTTTCCTTCTAGGCGGTGCTTTGAAAGATGCTTTAGAGGTAACATTTATTTGATTTTTGGAACGTTTGAAGCATGGATCACTTATTAAATTAAAAAAAAACAATAACAGCCATTTAATTGTGGAGGTTCCACATATATTGCTAAGAAGGCAAATATATCCGGTTTTATATTATTATTATATTTTTCGTAATAATTTTTACGAGTTTGTTTATTTTAGGTACTATTAACGCGCTTAGGGGATTTACAGTTAGCGATGGTAGTCGCTCGCCTTTATGAATGCGACACAACGTTACCACCAAGCTTGAAAAAATTATTAATGGATGAAATTTTAGGGTAAGTTAGAATTTGCCAATGTTAATTTCGTAAAAAATATGTATTATTAGGTATATTGTCAACGCATTGAAGATACGATTGTTTATTGTCTTATAGACGTGAATAATCAACTGGTTTCTTGGTATTATTTCCCACACTTACATAAACTCGCTATAGGCGGTAAGAACACAAGAAGTTTTAGTCGGTATTAGTTATTTTTCAGAGAAAATCGTGTCAGTTACTAACATATCATTAATAATACCCGTAATTGCGCTTTATTTTTGTAGATTCACTATTTGCATATTATATAAGAAGTCAGTAATTTTTATTCGGCCAAGATCAAAAACCATTGAATGATTTTGTATATCTTAATAAAATAAACATAGTGATTTTGGGGTTTTAATGTAATTCGGTTTAAATTAACCTTATATTCCAGTGGTGAGGCGGATTCGGACGATGTTGATCTAGAGCGAGCTCACCCAGATCCGTTTGTTCGTTCCATGGCACTATGGGAATTGAAGCGGTACGGAGAGGCATTAGACACGCTGCTAAGTCCCGCGGGAAGATTACACTCAGCACGGGACAATGAACCGATGCCTAGTGTTTTTAACTTCTACGTGTATTTACGTACTCATCCGCGCCTCAAACGACATAGTATGCCTTGCCAAGTAAGTTCTTTTTAAAAATTAGAGAGTAAAAGGCGCGGCATAGTTTATTCTATATTTTACTAACTTAGTTTTTAAGGCACATTGTTACTAACATTCTGTGGACTGTATAATATTGTTTGAAAATAAATATTATTATTATTCTAAGCAGCAACTACACAATATTTACACTTATAGAGATCTGTCTTTTATATTATTATATAATCTTTTTTCCGCAGGGTGGCACTCTAGCACTTCTACATTCGGAACCAGAAGAGAGTATAACTCGTCTAGAGCGTCGTCTCTACTTCCAAACTGCGCATGGGCATTTCAAGGCGGGCTGTCCAGCTTTAGCTCTGGAAGTTTTATCGAAATTGCCTGCGAGAGTTCGTGACGAGAAACCGAGACATCCGGTATCTGTGCCTTCTATTGATGACGCTGTAATTCACACGGGTCAGCTAGTCGTAAATACTGAAGGCAAAAGTAAGATTTTTTTATGTTCTCCTACAGTACAGTGCGACCAAAATCTTGTGGCTTCAATGACATTGTCAGGAAGGCGCTGCTGGTGAATAAGTGGCGAAGTGAGGATCGCTAATTACGTAGAATTTCATCACTAAAGAGAACGTTATAATTTGCAATAACTCGGAAAGAATAATAGGAAATATAAAAGGTTTAATTACACCTTCCTCTATAAATTAAATTCCTAATTTTACCTTTCTAATATTGTTTCCGATTTCGGCCACGCGCCACGAGATCTTGGCCCCACTGTATATAATCAGAAATCTATTTTTTCATTGTAACCGGAAATCATAAAGTTATGTAAAATGAAAACATAGCATTGCATTCACATATTATTATTTTCTTTGGAACTATTGAAACTGGGTATGATAAATAATGATTGTTAGCCTTACATCAAGTAAACAATATGTAAAATTTTCTTTACGAATTGTAAATCATATACTCAAGCATTACAATGATCAAAGTATGTTCTTAGGTAACTTGACCTGGGCCTATTTGTCCCTGCACATTTTGTGAATATTATTTTTTTAAATTCAGAAGAAGAAGAAAACAATATGGAATGGAGTTCAACGACAGTAGACTGGGGAGCACCAGTCAGCACGGCCAAGTCGGACGAGCTCGTCCTCAGTTGGGATGACGATGATGATGACAAGGGGTGAGTGTTTATATGAAGGAAGATTTCTAAGTTGGCACAGAATCAAAGGCCTATTTATAGCTTAAAAATACTCCCATGTACCTCAATAACACCAAACACAATATTTTAAATCCGTAGCCTTAGCACGAACCAATATCGAATTCGATCTCGATACGCGTCAAATATCAAGAAATTTTGTATAGAAGATTTTTAATCCTCGTTCCGTCCGTTGTTCAAATTTCCAATTTATTTTCCTTTAAAATAAATTAGGCGTCGTCCTAATTGGAAACAATCGTGCGGTAGCGCGATGCGATTTCACCGTGCGATGAAAATAATGGCTATATAATAATCTAGGCTAATTGGTGTGTGTTGGAAATATTTATTTTTATTATTATTTCTGAAGTAATCTTTATGTTTGAAAACCATTGCAAGACGAGAACGTATCGTGTCGTCGTGCGGTCTGTTATAGATAGTATATGCATCCCCTTTGCAAGCTCTTAATTATCTACTCATAGCCGCCAGTCACATCCATACGATCCTCAATCTCGATCCAACATCCTAACTAGACGCCTGTCCTACCCAATAAATAAAGTTGTTATTGTGTAAAAGCTAATCTTCCAGAGGTTTATTGATCGTTGCCATGAGAACGACGCCTAATACTTTCTTTGAAATATTATGCTTACGTTATTACCTCTAGATCCGGTGGTTCCGGTGCATCGACACCTCCTTTAGAAATGAAGATGGACAAGCAGCAAGAGGAACAGCCAGTGAACGGTGCGAACAACGAGGCGAAGGAGGAGGAACCGCCCACGGTTGACATCATGGCGCAGCAGCTCAAGTTCGTTGCCTGCCTCAAGATTCTCATGGAGGAACTGAGCACCCTCGCCACTGGCTTTGAAGTTGACGGTACGTGCATACGTTTGTTTTTTTTTAGTTTTTTTTGTCTTTTTTATATATAGCTAGGTAGGCAAATGACTGTACCCCACCTTTTTTTATACGCAGGCAAAAAATACAGTTTACAGACGACGGCGCCTTTAAGAGGCACACCGCCGAACGGACCTCACACCTGGCTCCCGCAAGCCTTACAAGCTCCAGCAGTGGCTACCCACCGAGGACCCCGTCACTCTTACGGGCGCTTTACGGAATAATATACGCTAAAAACCCCTGCGAATACCCTATTAGCGCGAAGCCGCGGGTTCCCCGTTTAGGGATTCTACCGTGTGACTGTACCTCACCTGATGTTAAGTGGTGATAAAGTCCAAACGCGAAGATAGCTAGTACAGTCGGCATGCAAAAATGCTTCTTCACGCCTCTTAAAGGACCCCAGATTGTAGGAAGGAGGTAACACGTGCGCGGGAAAAGAATTCCACTGATGAATGCGATGAAATGGATCACCAAATTTCTTTGTTCGTGTAGGAATAGTGGCCACAGTAAGTCGGTTGGTTTTGACACACTTTGAGTAAGCAGGAGCACCGTGATATGATATAGAGTTCGTTTTTATCACGATTAATTGTCAAATTACTATGGAGTTTGACAGTTAGTTTTAGTGTGAATTGTGGTCCTCATGCTACGGGGACTGGAGAACAATATTTTTTGATATGTTTTTTTAACTATTACCTATTTTGTTGTCTCAACAGTTACGCCGGTACTTCACATGGCTATTTGTATTTGGTATTTGTAAATTTGACTCCCTCCCCTCCGTTTCGATTAGGACAACCTGCTGTCAAAATCGCAAATAGGAAACTTGAATAGCTATGTGCAGTGCCAGCATTGTTCATTGATGTTTCTGTTTGACCATTTTTGGCGTCTTTTCCTAATCAAAAATACTTTGTTAATGCGATATTGACATTTTTCAACTCAATCTTATCTAAATAAGCTTGTATCTTCGGGGATGTAATTCGACTTCGACTGCGCCTTATTTCTTAAATAAATAACGAACAGTTTATTGAAAAAGTAGCTAATCAAATAGAAATAGAAAACAACTTGAAAATTATTTCTGATACGTCAAGAAATACATAAAAAAAAACGAGCGAGCCTTACAATAGTCGCGTATGATATGTAACATTTGAAACATCACCTTATATTAGTAACCTACTACCAAAGGAATAAGCCATTTGAACATTATGTTCTAAAATCAAATCAAATAGCGCGCGCTTCCCAAACTTCCTGTTACACACTTCCGTCCCACTTCACGTAATCACTCCCACAAATTGCACGAAAGTGAGAGGAGAGATTTTACACATTTATAAATTAATCACACTTCATAACCGCCTAAAAGTGCTTAATTAAAATCTGAATTAACTTTCAGGCGGTCACCTCCGCTACCAGCTGTATATATGGTTGGAACGTGAAGTAGAAGCGTTGCGAAGACTGTGCGGGTACGCGAGCGCAGCGGGCGCGGCCCCGGGCGGAGAACTGATATGCGCTGATGCTGAGCCCCCGCCTTTACCCGACAAACCTACCTTACACCAACTGTTGATACGAGAGAAAGCAGACTTTGAAGCTAAAGTACAGAGAGCTGTCCGAAGAAAGAAGTGGCTAAAAGGTAATGTATACATATAATAAAGATTTGCATAATAATGTGAAGTTTAGTAGGCGTCACTATCGCGGCGAATTTAATAGATATGCGCTGACGCCGAGCCTCTACTTTACCCGACAAACCTACGTTACACCAACGATTGATACGGGAGAAGGCGGACTTTGAGGCTGACCTACAGAGGTCTGTCCGAAGAAAGAAGTGGCTCAAAGGTAATGTATACATATACATAATAAAGATTTGAATAATAATGTGAAGTTTAGTAGGCGTCACTATCGCTGCGAATTTAATAGATATACGCTGACGACGAGCCCCTACTTTACCCGACAAACTTACCTTACACCAACTGTTGATACGAGAGAAGGCGGACTTTGAAGCTAAAGTACAGAGGGCTGTCCGAAGAAAGAAGTAGCTAAAAGGTAATATATACATAAACTAAAGATTTGGATAATAATGTGAAGTTTAGTAGGCGTCAATATCGCGGCGAATTTAATAGATATTTCAATACATGTAGAAAAACGTGCACGAACGCAGAAACGTGAACGAAATGTATGCATTTCTATGCATAAGTGAAGTTTCGTACACGCTTCTCAGAGGCTGAACCGATATAATATGTTGACATTAAGCCCTTGGAACCAACAAACCTTCCTACTCCTTAAACGAGTTACTGATAAGAGAAAAGACTTCGAGGCTTAAGTAGCGCTCGTTGAAAGGCTTGTAGGTAGAATCTTGACGGCCGCATTCAGAGAAGTCAATCAACTTCTAAGTTTGACTGAAGTTGGTACTGTGACTTTGTTGTGCGTTAACAATAGAATAAGACAACACGTAACTTAAGAAGCATAAAATTAATTGGACGTTTCTGATTACGGCAATTAGTGATGCACAAAATAAAATTGTTAATAGGTGGCGTTATTATCAAGCCTTTTTTCATGTATTTTAATTTGTGTAGTCTTGTCTTTAATTAGTAATCACAGTATGTTTACGTAGTATTTATAAAACTACTAATCAGAAATACTCTTAAACTACACGTTTCAACATTTGAAATGAGTCTATATATTTATTTCTTATGTTTTCACGCAGACCACTCATTAAATAAAACTACTTTTTCGCACCGAAAGGGATGTGAATCGTTGAGTTATGTAAAAAAAAGTATTAAAAAAACGCATTTCAAACTCGTTAAAAAGTAGTTTTATTTAAGAACTCTGTATTTCAACCATTACTGAGCAAACATTAGAATGTGCTTGTCCCAGCAAACGAAACGTTACTCCGAACGCTGCTATCGTACTGTTCGCTCCACGGGGCCGGCGGAGGTGGGTTGGCTTCAGTCAGAATGGAGCTGGTGCTTCTGCTACAAGAGCTGGGTCAAGATAAACAGCATCAGCAGTTACTGTCGCCGTTGCCCTTCCCCACTACGCTGCCGCTGTTGGCTGCTGCCGTCGCGACAAATAACACTGTGGTCGCGGATCCTGTGCGGCATCTACAGGTCAGTCAATAGTTATTCAAAATTACTAAAATTTCTCAGATTCATTCATCATAATTATCAGGCTATTAATGTCCACACTGCTGGGGCACAGGCCTTCCCTATAGATAGAATAGGGAGAATGGGCCATGACCCACCACGCGGGTCCAGAGCGGATTGGTGGACACTTACAAGTGCAGATGCAGCCGGGATCAACGGCTTAACGTACTTTCCAAAGCACGGAGGAGCTCGAGATAGTAAATTTTTAGTCACCCATCCAATGACCGACCACTGCAAAATTTGCTTTACTTCAACGATCGCAGCCGAACGAGCTAACCACTTGCGTTATCTAGCTCCTCAATTCTTTGCCTTCATTCATACATTTCAAATGATTAGCTTTTTCTACAATGAAGTAAAGGCACTTATGCCCTTTATTTTAGTGAAAGGCCACAGACTAAATTGTTGTTCAAAAGGAAACTTACAATGTTGCATTTCAAATTTATTTTTGGTCTGTTAAAACATTATTTAAGATTCGTTTATTCTTGAGTTGTGTCATTATCATGGCAACACTTCACATGGCTGTTCGCTTTTGTCATTTTGACAGCAGGTTGTTCTCATCGAATTCTATAGAGAATGAGAAGCAGAGACTATTTTCAAGTTTACAAATTGCAAATACAAATAGCCCCGAAGTGCTGTTAAAAGTTGGCCTGTTAAATTTAAAAAATTATCGGTGTTACTACAAGTTTTTTAAACACTGTTTAAAGTTGCAAAAGATTTAGACAACCTTAGTCAAAAAAAAAATTATCTTTAGACAGTGTTTAAGAAACTTGTATGCAGATAGAGACGGCATAATTTTTAAACAATGTTAAAAACTTGTGATTATACCGTATAAGTTCATGAACCCCTGGTCTGTGTAGCCTTCCACTGTGTTTTTCACGGCCGGAAAATAAATAAAAATAAGGCTGATTTTCCTCTTATTATTCGAGTTCTACGTACACCCAGGCTTCATTTATGTCTTAAATCAATCCTGAATAGTTTCTCTACAACCTTATCTATGTATTAGATGTGTAAACTAAAAACCATTACTAAAGATGATAAAAAACTCGTGGCGGAAATCATCCATTTACACAGACGAGGGGTTTTAATACTGATAAAAGGTTGTACTCCCCAGTCGGTAGCTCACGATATGCTGGGTACTATCGGCGAATTGGGCATCCCTGGCGGCTCTGCCACCCGCCTCTTGCACACGCTACGGGAATTGGCCGTCGCTCTGTCCGCCTGCATCTACCAGAGCCTTTGCGACTCTGACACTTTCAGTATGAAACATACGCACATTCACCACGATGGGTTAGTTGATTTTCTACCTTTTTTCTAATTGTTACTTGTTAATTTGTATCTTATTTCCGTTTACAATTTTTGAATTGTTAAGTTTACTTCCCAAAGAAGTTGTCAAATAAATTATCACGTAAATACTTTATATAATTGATAACCGTGTATTTCAATTTTCTTTAGCAGTATTTTACTATAAAGTTAAAACTTTAAAGTGCAGCTTTCATGTTCTAAAAACATGTTACAAGATGTAGTGAATGCTTAGTGTTACTTACTTACTTTGTTTGTCATAGTATGATCGCGGAAACTCCTGGCACGAGCCATTTAATAGCGCGGCCACGACGTCACTCCATCGAGGAACTCACTGTGACCACAACACCCAACAAATGGCCAGGTTGGTAAATATTTATCCTACTACTATTATTAATGTGAAAGTCTGTACGTTTGTAAGTATTATTACTCAACCACGCAAAAACTACTGAACGGATTTGGATGAAATTTGGCACGCATATTATTTATGGACCTAGACATAGAATACTTTTTATTCCGGAAAAATGTTAGGTTTCTATGGAATTCTCCAAAAACCAATGTTAACGCAGACGATTTCGCGGCAGCCGCGGTAAATAATAATAAATATTAAAAAAAATATACAGCATTTTGTCTTCTTGTTTATCTGTGATATTAGTATATTGAAAATTAAGTATAGTTACTTCATTTTTAACTTTATTTTAGTACGCGATTTTATCTCGATCCCTTTCGTTCGATGTGAACTGTTAATCGAAAGGGCAAGGGACAATCAGGGTTGAGACACATTTTGTGAATTTTCCAAATTTTACCTTTTTTTAAATTTAGCTTCAGAATTTAGATCCTCCTGCTCTGAACCGCTGTTTTATGATCTCTTTTTAGGTAGTAGTTGTAAGTGCATTTAACTATAAGCAAATGCAGTTTTGATTTTTCATTGTTAAGTACAATATGCTGTAACTTAATGACGGTGTTTAGGAAAATTCAGGCCACTAGTTAGCGCTACTGTGACGTGAGGTCTTTTTTATGAAGTTTTTGGCAGGAATTAATGGAATAAGCATTTTAAATGATCCCATAGATTATGACGACATATGTGATTTGACGAATATATAGATCTTTCGCCTCAGTGATGCCACCTAGTGCATGTCATTTCAGAAAACTATTCTATTACTTACCTTTATAAATTAATAAATAATATTAAAAAAAAACGAGCGAGCCTTACAGTAGTCGCGTATGATGTGTAACATTTGAAACCTCACCTTATATTAGTAAAAAAAGAAATAAAACCTACTACAAAAGGAATAAGCCATATGAACATTATGTTCTAAAATCACATCAAATAGCGCGGGCTTCCCAAACTTCCTGTTACACGTTTCCGTCCCACTTCACGTAATCACTCCCACAAATTGCACTAAAGCGAGAGGAAAGATGTTACACATCAATAACATTGCCCTTGGCGAACTAAAGCAGAATTTTGGCAGTGTTTGAATGTAAATGTGACATAATAAGGATTGTCAGGTTATACACCCTTGCAAACATCTTGAGCATCGACCATTGACAAGGAAGCCTGCGCAGTAGCTTTTTTACATAAAATCACGTCAGCTGTGCAAGTTAATTTATCGGTGGTTTTGCTCAAGATATTTGCCGAGCCTTTATGAATGTGGCGAAAACTGGCACTAACGCCGTCGTCTTTGTAAACGTCATATATGTTGATAGTAGCGCCCTTCTTGAACTGTCACTTACATGCATGAAGATCCTTGTTGTACTGTACCTTTACAGTAGAACACTGATAATCCGAATTAATTGGGATCGAGGTCGATTCGGATAATCGAAAATACGGATAATCGGACATAGACTGGTAATAAAGAAAAACAAACTGTCACACATAAAATAAACTTTATTAAGCTTAACAAACACAGTTCTACAATACTAGATACAATAATAGAGGTACATAGTAGCAAAAGAATAACAAAAATAAGAACAGTAAAACATGCAGTGTCTTGCCTCTAGCTTTCAACCTTAACAGTTGAAATATATCTGGAGTCCAGCGAGTTTCAACTTGTTACAACAAAACAAAAATGAATTGGTTTTAATTTTTTATATTACGCTTAGGACCGATTCGGTTAATCGGCGTTCTACTGTATTTGCTTTTGCAGGCGTGTCCGCATTACGCGGGCTAGCGTCCCGCGCGGCGGAGGAGGAGGACGCGCCCCGACTGGCCGTGCTGCTGGCGGAGGCGTTCTGCGCCGTGTACCTGGCGCTGCTGGGCTGGGCGCTGGCCGCGCGCGACGCGCACCTGCTGTACCGGCTGGCGGCGCACGCGCCCGACACGCGCGCGCACTCGCAGCTGTTCGGCGGCGGCGTGCGCCGGCTGCTGACCACCGCGCCCGCACCTCCCCCGGTGACTATATGCGCGCCGCGTTTAGTGTACACACCGATGATTAATAGATCAGGGATGGCTAACCAATGGCACGCGTGCTCTGAATCGCAAGCGACACAATATTTTGGGCACGTCACTGATCACAAATTTCATTATGCACGACGTAATATGTTTTCGGAACTGCCCCTCCTTTTCACCCCCTTAAAGAATGATGGTTTATGAAATAAAAACTATCCTAGTTATGTTCTTACTCGGGACTCAAACTATCTACATTTATACTTAATTTCATCTAATTCGGTTCTACGGTTAAAGCGTGAAAGGTATACAGACAGACACGCTTTCTCATTTATTAATATTGGATGAATAATGGAAGATTGTATTTTTATTTCCCTAATAATCACAAAGTCAAAATTATTTGATGGCACATCTATGACCACAACAATCATTTTACATTTCTTTGGAAAAGTATCACGTGGATATGTAAACCTGCCCTAGATATACCACGTGCGCTCAAAATGTGTACCAATCGAGAAGTGCTTGAACACCACTCAAGCACTTTTTGGTTCACAGTCGCGCGCGGACCGTTGAGAAGTTAACTTGCAGTGGGGCTCCGTGAAAAATTTCGAAAAAAATACTTATAGTACTTAGTGTCGTTTTTACGACAGGCATCTAATCAATGTTTGTTAATTTAACGCATTTGAAGCAAATTTTGTAATAATATTTACTATAAACTGATTTAATAGAAAATATTTGTGTTATACAAATGCATAGTCGATAGCCGTTTTTCCTTACGCTTCGTTCTTACTATATTGCTAACAGCGCATTAAGAATTACGCATAGAACCAAAGAAATAAAGTCTATATTCTTCGGCCTATAGCAAGAAGTCGTAAAATTTTACGAACTTGCATTACGACTGTCATAACTCTTTGACGCATGCGTATAATTTAAGACCTTATATACTATGCATTAAAGGTGACTTTGAATGTTTAAATAATGCCTTATATTATTTTTGACTACGCAATCATCTTACGGAGCTCCGTGGTTCGTGCAATCTACCTTTTGGACAGGTTTTGGGCCATGATTTATTTCGTTCTGTTATATTTATCTAGAGTATTAAATATCGTTGAGTGTAATAAATATAATAAATAAACCCAATACACAGCCAATATACTAATAATAGATAAATATACCTAACAGCACATCTTACTCAGAATCAGATATATATAATATATAAATCAGAGAAATAATCCTGCAGGGAAATATTCAATCAATGGCGTCGATTCCGGTATGATTGTCTAATTTTAATATCAGTCTCTCTTTTTCATTCTGTATAGAAAATGGCAATGATAGACTGGTGTCAAATTTAATTTTAGATTAAGAGAATCATGCCAGAATCGTCACCAGTGTGGACCACTTTCGTGACGTTTACACGCGTTCGGAATGCAAAAAAATGTGAAAAAAATGTCCTAATGCCTACGTGTACCATCATCATATAATGTACTAACATTATTACTTTGTATTAGCTAATCAGGGCCGAGCCAATCAAGGCTGAAGATGATGATGATGAATGTACTAACTTCCCCCTCAAGTTCTAGTGATCTAGAGGCTCCAGACGGAGAGAAGACTCCCCCCGTGGGGAGATAACCTGCGCCTGGAATACCTCTAGAGGCACTCGCCAATTTTTGGCTTGAGGTCCCCTAAGGATCTCGCCGTCCCCAAACTCGGCGACGCTGTAAAGGTCATCTGCGATCAACAGCATACATACTAAAAAAAAGATGTACTAACTAGACGTTTTGTGTTCTAGCCCAAACTTGTGGAGCGCACCGAAGGCACATCTGTTTGGTCATCGCTACGCGGGAAAAGGGCACTATTAAACATGCGCCTGTTAGGTTTGGGCCCTGCAGCTACTCACAAAAACATTCAAGAAGGTCGCCCTACGTACCGCGAGCAATTCGTGCCGCCTCACTGCAGTATACTTAGCTATTTGCTCACGAAGGTCAGTGATCTAATACATTAGAACATTTAGAAGTATGTTGTTCAGATTACCACTGATCAAGTTCTTACTGAGGAACTAGATGGCACTAGTGTTTAGCGCGTTCGGATGCGATCATTGAAGTTAAGCACTTTCGCAGTGGTCGGTCATTGGATGAGATTTACTATCTCGAGCTCCTCCATGCTTCGGATGGCACGTTACGCCGTTGGTCCCGGCTGCATTTGCAGTCGTTAGCACCCACCAATCCACACTGGGCCGACGTGGTGGGGCATGGCCCAATCTCCCTATTCCATCCATAGGGAAGACCTGTGCCCTAGCAGTGAGGACATTAATAGGCTTTTGATGATGAAGTTCTTAATGAATCCGTTCCAAAACTATATTATCCAAAATTTCTTAAAATTAATTTTAGCTTTGCATTGCTTGAAATAAGATTTATAATTGATTGAAAATATTAAAAAGAATGTGTAACATGATTTGATGTCTTGCTGACTGTACATTGTCATTTCGTAAGGGTAGCATAGAAACTATAACCAGACTGGTTAAATGCTGGCACTCATACTAAATAGGCTAAGGTTATCTTAGGCGTTGAGCAGACGACGGGGTGGGGCGAGCATTTTTTCCGCGAAGCAATAAAGACCGCGTCTGCCGGTCAATGTCCGCGGCTGCCCGCGCCGCGTACACAAAGCACACGACGGGCAGAGGCGGTCAGTTTAGGACGTTCGTTCAAGTGAATAGTCCATCACTAATAAGCGCGTGGCGCAGATTGAGCTGACCGCCCCGCGCCGCCGTCTGCGTTACTGCATATAAACTGGTTTGTATGATCCACGTAGGGCAGCCGCGGACATGCTGCGCCGCCACTGCCCGCCGGGCACCTGCGGCTCATTTCACTTTGTGCTATTATTCGCAGCGAAATTGACCGGCCGGCCCTGCCCCGTCGTCTGCAAAGTGCCTTATTGTTCGTATATTAATAAGGAGGCGAGAGTTATATCTGTGTATTTGCAACGTACCCGCATTCCACCAGCCTGGAAATAGGTTTTTATGCTAACCTTATGAAATGAACATTAGTTCAGCTGCTTAGGCGTGAAAGCGTAAAATACATACTTTCTCATTGATACTACCCTATTTCCTACTAATATTATAAATGTGAAAATTTGTATGTTTGTCTGTTTGAAACTGAATCACACAAAAACTACAAAATGAATTTAGATGATATTTGGTACGCATATAGTTTAGACGTAGATTGAGACATAGGATACTTTTATCCGGAATAAATATCAGGAACCTCGCAAGGATCCTAAGGAATACTCGAAACACTAAAGTTAACGCGGACGAACTCGCGAGCCGTCGCTAGTTATTAATAGATTGCCATATAAACAACAATATAGCAACAAAACAATCCTCTCTTGCAGCCTACACTGGATCTAGACTCGGAGGATACATATGACTACGATTCCGCGGAATCCGGTGCGGAAGACGCCGAGGACAGCGGCAGTGACCCAGACGATGACGACATCTTTGATACGTCTAACACAAAGTGAGTGTACCCTAACCTAATATTATTAATAGTGCGTAGTTAAAGCAACCCCATTGATCTAATTTCAACTCTCGTAAAATAATATTATATTATAATATATATTATATTGTGTTATACTCTTGCTCTTATCAAATATGACATTTTATTTATTTGCTGCAAGTGGGCCTACTTGCAGCAAATTTATTAAATCTCGATTCCATTAAAACTAGATATTTCCAATGGAAAATGCCATAACGTCAATGCCAATTTGACGTCACTGTATGGACTAAATTTAGTTTTACTTAAATTGAGATTTAGAAAAATTGTTGCAAGTAGACCTAAATCTGCAAGTTGAGTTCGAATTATCTGAATATATTTCAAATACAAACTACAAATGGAAAAATTTAATGATTTTTTAAACTCAATTTAATTAAGCTTGAAGTATGTAAATATCGACCAGTGAAAATAGTTGTTATTAGACAATTACTAGTAAGTTTTAAAGTTATTAAAAAAAACTGTAATAGAATTTTAACCGTATTGTGTTTAAAATTAAAAAAAAGACTACATTAAATTTAGGAAAAAATAAGGTAACTTTAACTTCAAGTAATACAAAAACTTCACCTTAATATACTTATAGTCATAAAAAATACCAAATTTCTTGGTTGATCTATGGATACTGCACATAAGTTATATTTTGTAATTCGACTTTAGAACAGCGGAAAAACGACGAAAGTTAACGAACAACGAGCACTCCGACCCTGACTCGTACTCTTGGTACTTGATGCGTGTAGCAGTACTGCGACTCGCACAACAGAAACTGCAACACTTTCTGCAACTTTGCGGCATCGAAATGTCCGGTATGTATGCGTTACACATTTCCATTAGCCCGACTATGCCAAGGAATAAAAGACATATATCTTTAACTTAGTTTATTTGCCATAATTTAAAGATTTTAAGCCCTAGTAAATCGTTAGGGCGATTGCAAAAATTGAAGGACAAACTGTTTTATAAAATTTATTTGGTTTAAAGTAGTGCGTACCCTTATATCTTATTTAACACATAAGATCTAATTCTCTGACCTTACAATTTAACAGCAGTTCCTCTATTTCATTTCTTCTGTATGAGCATGATAAGAATATGCTGCTGTCAAACGCTCCGGTTTATTAATCTCGTCAGAAATCAGGCCCAATACATACATTGTTAAACCTACCAGCATTTCTCATATCGATATAACACGTGAACAGAGCTGGCGACCACCAGTCCCACGGTGCACGGCGCGTTGCGTCGCGTGGACCAGTGGCAGCAGCAGTTAACGGAGACTCTGGAGGCTCGAGCACCACCGCCTGATTATATCCCCGGCTGCTTCCCCGACAGTCAGCTACCGGGCCCGCCTATCAATAAGTACAGGTGACGACAAATCCACAGTCACAGGGGATCAGTGGCAGCAGCAGTTAACAGAGACTGGAGGCTCGAGCACCGCCGCCTGATTATAATATCTCCGGCTGCTTCCTCGACAGTCAGCTGGCAGGCCCGCGCATCAACAATTACAGGTGATGACGCGTCCACAGTCACAGGGGATCAGTGGCAGCACCAGTTAACAGAGACTGGAGGCTCGAGCACCGCCGCCTGATTATAATATCTCCGGCTGCTTCCTCGACAGTCAGCTGGCAGGCCCGCGCATCAACAATTACAGGTGATGACGCGTCCACAGTCACAGGGGATCAGTGGCAGTAGCAGTTAACAGAGACTGGAGGCTCGAGCACCGCCGCCTGATTTTAATAGCTCCGGCTGCTTCCTCGACAGTCAGCTGGCAGGCCCGCGCATCAACAATTACAGGTGATGACGCGTCCACAGTCACAGGGGATCAGTGGCAGCAGCAGTTAACAGAGACTGGAGGCTCGAGCACCGCCGCCTGATTATAATATCTCCGGCTGCTTCCTCGACAGTCAGCTGACAGGCCCGCGCATCAACAATTACAGGTGATGACGCGTCCACAGTCACAGGGGATCAGTGGCAGCAGCAGTTAACAGACTGGAGGCTCGAGCACCGCCGCCTGATTATATCCCCACTGGGGTAGGGGGGCATATACAATCAGGATTGATGTTGAAAACTGTCAACCTTATAGAATTGAACGTATGAGCGTTTCTCAAGCGAGAACGGTGTTTATTTAATATTTTGAACCAAAACACGAACCAGTAGTTCAACACATCTCTTCAAATTTGGATATTTCTCGTTGGAAACGAACGCCCAGAAATCTAGACCTGAGGATGACCTTGCTTTTAGAAATATGACCCAGCGCAGAATAATTATTACATTTGGTCGATTTGAAATGTATCTGCAAATTTTGTAGCCATGTCATAGATATCACTATAGAAGAGAGGATGAAGATGACGCGTACAGCTGTTACTGATTACAATGCGCAGCCTGTTCTACGCATAGGTTCTACGTAGTTATATTTTTTGCCTTGTCACGATTGACTGAACTAATAGTCACGATCGACTAGTTGGCCACTCGTGCTATAGACGCTTGCGATACAAAAATATATCACTCGTTGCCTACCCTGACCCAATCCCCTACCCTGTGGAACCCCAAAGCTCCAGTATCTTACTCACCCAAAGAAACACAACACCACCAATAGGTAGTGTTATTTTACTGTGGTCTTCTGTAAGGTAGATGTTACTTCCCCATACGGGCGCTTCTATTCGGGCAGAAAATACGCTATTTCCTACCTCTCTTCAAATCAAAAATAGTTGAAACTACCTTTGTTATGTTATCAAAGAAGCAAATTGTATTTTAGTTAAAATTATAAGTAATATTACCCTAACTTTTCTCTATTTATATACGTAGTGCCTTCCATCTCTGCTATAAGCTTATCCAAGATGAACGTTGTTATCCACATGTTCCAGTACTACATAATCAAATACATCGTTTATCTTTCGAAAACAATACCAGTGAGCATAAACGTATCTATTTTATTTTTATGCAATCTGGAATCGTAGTTCAGTGGATAACAAAAAAAAAGTTCTTTACAAAAGTTATGAAAATAACTTTTTTCGTTTTAGATGCCTGTTAGAGAAACACAACACACCCTTTAATTCATCACTGTTCAGCTCCGCTCCGGCGAGGCGGTTATGGAGTTACTTAGTTCGTCAAGAACCAGTTCAGGTAATATAATACAATATGGAATCAAACTCCTTGTTTAAAAATCAAATCTTTCATTACAACCACTGCGAAGAAGCCCTTTCCATGTTATTGCGTAGATCTTTCCCAAATCTTAAATTTCCTAGTTAGTATATTATATGCTACTATTGCTATCCTGCGCACTACTAAAGATCGATGTCGAGATTCATTATGACAAAGTTCGGGCCACATCAGAAAAAGACGAAACGAACTTAATTTCGTTTATATTGATGCTGCATCTCATACTAGTTCTTTCTACAAATAATCGCTTCGACCCCAATAATATGGCATGAGCCAATCTAATTTCGCTCCCTGTGTTAAGACATAGGCGTTTATTAAAACATAATTATTCTTATTTCGGTACAGGAGTTATTCATCCGCGCCGTGTTTTCCCGTCGCCGCACCCAGTCGATGTGTACAACCGGAACGGGTGGGGGAACAGGCGGAGAATCCCGCGTAGGATGTGTACCCAACCAGAGGCGAGACGACGATATGTACAGCCCCGTGCGGATCATACACAAGGAGCAAGACTCCATAGCCGCCTTCTGCCTCAACAGGGTGAGTCGCTCTATACTTCCTTTACAGAGCGAGACGACGATATGCACAACCCCGTGCGGATCATACACAAGGAGCAAGACTCCATAGCCACCTTCTGCTTCAACGCTCGACGCTCTATATTTCCTTCATTCTCTGTAAAACGAATTTCAGCTTTATTCAAAGACGAATGTGAACTGAACTGACGAAAGAGTGAGCACTGAATTGGTTGCAAAGTAGTAATTTGAATGAAAAAACGAAAGCGTAATTATAAGTTGGTTATGTTGCCAATAGGGTACAGTTTGTCTATAAAGTCGTGACATTAAATGATGGCGCCACTAGTATGCATGTAGCAACCCGTATAGTTGGACCAAAATGATTTTGATACTAGCAATTCATTCAAGTAAAATAGGTAATTAATAAGACACACTATACAGTCGTATTTTGTTTCTGTTTTATATATAGTAGGTGCCTATGCTTATAAAAAGTTTAGCCAAGCATATTTAATTGAATCAGAATAAAATTATTATAGATAAAATAGTACTTTATAGTGTAAAAGTGTGTAATGATAGTGATTACCGCTGAGGTGCCGTTGAGACCAGAGCCGTTAGGTAATCATCAATACACACAAGTATCATCATACGACGTTTTTTAACACACTTGTTAAGAAAATAATTCTAAAAATCATTTTATAGTATATAAAGAGTTTATTTAGAGAAACAATTTGTAAATGTGCAGTTAGTAAAATTAGTGATAGGTATCTTCACTATCAAAGCATATAAAAAGCATCTGGCCATGGTTCTTTGTGTGACCATTTCTTACTTTGGTCGGCCTTGCCTGTTTTCCCAGGAGTTTCAAACTTTCCATCATTCTTAAAACCTTCGTTTACTATCCGAATCTCTGATTTTCCTGAAAAAAGGTAAAAAAATATGTAACGGAATAGAAACAATAACTTATTGACATGAAGCAATTAATTCAAAATTGGTAGAAAACCTGACCGAGTTGAACCATAATAACGTATCAAAAGAAATGGTCGTACTACAATATTACTTATTTACAATGTCAATCTAACCTAAAAATGTGCAATGTAAATAATGCCTTTTTTGGTCTCAAAATCGTAAATTGAGTAAATTTGTAACTTCAGGCAGATTACAAACAAATAGTTACACGATTACATACCCGTCATAGATGCTGTTCGCCCATGAACATAATCCAAATCCCACAAAATTCGTCCAGCTTGGTAGTCTTCGAAACATCGCTGGAAAACTTTAAAAATCACTTCCCGCGTGCCACTCCGATTTACTTTACTCATTTTTATACTTTTCTGCGTAGTTTCGTCTTAATTTATTACAGTTTAATCCAAACAATAAAAAACACAAGGAAAACTGTTCCGCAACTGAAACTCGATGACAGCTGATGTACATAAGTTTGGTGTTGCCAGACACATGAATAATGTTAGTTCCTCAAACATTCATGTCACGACTTTATAGACAAACTGTATTTGACAGTATTAAAAATAAAGTGCCAATTGTTAGCATCTGTGTATAGAATGAATATTGGCAGGGGTTTTTACTAGTTTTACAAAAAAAAAAATCATAATTTTACTAAAAACCCACGAAAAAGGTAATAGTTTTCTTATCTATTGTCACGTGGCCTCAACACGCTTGGGATTGGCGGAGCCTATAATGATGTCACACGCAAGTAAACTTCCGGTTAAAGTGACATTACATTGTATCGTTTGACGTTTTAATAACAGGCGTGTGACGACACACACTAGTAAGACGCCATATTGTGCAGAAAAACGTTTTCGTGGCAACTAGTAGAAAATAGAGTTTTTGATTAGGTTATTTTTACTGAAATACACAACAGAATGATGAATATCCACTTTTTTGGACTCCATAAACATTAGTCGATAAAGTGAGAGGTAAAACTTGTCAAATACCCTTTTTAATTACGCTTTCGTTTTTACAGAGATGAGAGAATTCCGGCGTTAATCTATAAAGGCCCGTGCGATTCCCGTCTCGTGGTGTTCTAATATGAGTTGACTTCGCGAGAGGAATGTCCTTATATTGTATAGATTACCTTATTGTAAAATTTAACAAATACTTAAAAGAAATGCCTACATTATGCAATATTGTAACAGCTTAAACGTAAATTCTAAAATAGATAAAGGATGTAAACTTTCACGGATTTATTACGATTCCGCCCGTCCGTAATATAGGAATAGACAATTGATTAAGCGACTCTTAATCAATTGATTAAGCACGCAATACACAGAAGATCTTCGTGCCGCTCGATCGTTTCGTTTCTCTTACGCCTATTTTTACTTAACTTTATTGTTTTACATTATTAGTTATATTACCCAGTTTTACTTTATTGTTGGTTAGGGAATGCTCAGTCTATTCAATTTATATATAGACTGTGAGTATGGTGGCTATTACCCCTGATTCCACCAATGTGTCCTCCTGGTGGGTCCCGGGTATTATACCACTCGGTGGGATCATGATGAAAATAAATTACCCGTAGAACCACTAGCAAACATTGTTTGGAACGGTAGGACAAGGGATAAAATAAAATACTCGGGACCCACCGGGGGAACATGTTGGTGGGACCAGGGGTAATAACCCCGCTGGTGTCATAATTAATTTACTAGTAATAAAAAAAAATATTATCAGGTCGGTGGTGGATTACTAGCGGTGGCGACAGCTCGCGAGGTCCAAGAAATGGACGTTTCCCTTCTACTGCGGGGAGGCGTCAGTTGGTCCGAGGACGAATGCGACGTGGATCTTATGGGGCTGGCCACTGACCCCGCTACACTACCCGACACCGGCTTCCTGCTGATCCAGCACCAGGACAGGTATGTAGCATCATCAGCCCGTATGAGAGGTAGGGTATAGTGGATTTCCCGCTCGAATTGGAGCGCCCATCGGGGGAAGTAACCTCCACATTACAGAAGATCACAGTAAAATAACAGTACCTTTTAGGTGGTATTGTGTTTCTGTCAGAGAGTAAGGTTTCAATGTTCCATGGCGCGAGGGATTTATTTATTAAGCATCACCAGTGAATGATACAAAGAATAGTTAACACCAAACACTATTTCACAAAACAAGAAACAGTGTACATTCTATTTAAGGCGACCACAACATGCAATATATGAGCAGACATGATTTTTTAAAATTACATTGATTCATCTTAATCAATAAAAATATAGTATAAATTAAAACTAAATTGAATTTACACAAATATCTTTTGTATCGCAATGGTAAGCGGCCACCATAGCCTAAAGACCAGTGTTTTCTTAACCGGTGGTCTGCAAAGCCATTTGGAAAAATATTAATAAGTAAGGACCCTGATTGATTAACAAATTCTAGGGGTGCAAATCCGTAAGTGGTGGTCCATGCCAAGACAGAAATTTTGACAAATGGTCCCTCATCACTAAAGGTAAGAACCACTGCTATAGGCGATAGGCTATGGTGGCCGTTTACCATTTGGCGGGCCATTAGTTTGTTTGCCACCCTTTCAACATATAAAAATCAACCTGTAATGTGTCCACTGCTGGGGTACAAGCCTTCTCTATGGATGGAATAGGGAGATTGGGCCATAACCTACCACGCAAACATAGTGCGCATTAGTGAGCTAGGAATACGAAGTGGAGGAGCTTACAATAATATCCTTTAGTTGCTTTAGTTCCACGCGCTTATAATGTTCATAGATGTGTTTATCTACAAATAGCAAAAGTAAGATCAAAGAAGAGATGGGGAGACTAGATGATATATATAAGAGAAAGTACTTTATGTATGGATGAATAAAACATAGCAACAACGCACGTACAGGGCAGGCAAATAATGATGCAATGGTAAACAAAACTGAATGGAACATCAGCTATTTATCTCTCTCTCGCACTTTTATATAGGTATCTCTGTTTCCAAACAAACAATACTACTATTAATATCTTCCTGCAACTCTAAAATATTATGTTTTCAGGCCCAACAATGGTTCAGTACCAGGCACCGGGAACAGTTCGCCGCTGAACCCACACGGACCTCAAGTGCCTATCGGCATGGCCAGTCAAACGGGTCGCGGGGCCAGCGTTGTAAGTAACATTGTCATGTTTGTTCCTAGTAATGACATTTAAGCCAACCAAAATATAATATGCTTGCCATTCCTGATTACTTCCTTTAAATAATACTTAAAGAAGATTTGGAGCTGTCGCTGAAGAAGAAGTGTTATATTATCCATATGCTTATCATAGAATTGAGTTGAACATCTTTGACCACCTTATTTCATATACAGAAATATTTATGGTGTCTATTTACTAATATTTATCTGAAATCATTATTTTTAATATGGCCACTTGACTAATGAAATATTGTGTCAAGCTATACTTATATATATTTGAAGGTGTTAGGTGTTATAACACAACCTTAATCCGTTATAAAAAAAAAACAGTTTATATGGAAACTGCTGTGACTAACGTTGTCGTAAATGTAAAATAAAACCACATCCACAGCTGGAGCAGCGGGCGAGCCATGTTCGCTCGATACCCACCGGGCACGAAGTCTATGTCGTCACAGTACGTCAATGAACTCACTAACGAATTAATTGCGCGCATCTGAATGAATCAATGTAGAATTTTATAATTACAAACTGTTCTTTCTAAAAAAGCCTTAAAAATAGTTTGTCAGTAGTAATTGTGACGTAATTAGAATTAATACTTCGAAAGATGAACTAACATAGGGAACAATTAAAAAAAATCTGCCATACTCCATGCCTCAGATTAGGCAAAATAATATTCGACTAGACGGAAGGGTCCTGAATTGAATTGTGTGGTTATAAAACAAAATTCAGAACGGTGCGCGGTGGCCTGAAGAACTCCGTCGATAAACGTTAGTGGCGCTTCCATACTTTATGCGTGTATGTTGATCGACCAAACCAGCCCTTCGATGACCCACTGCGTTAAGTATTCACCTTGATAGGATATATTGATAAATAAATAACGTAGACGAACGAAGTTATTGCCTTCTTTGTTTTCGGGTATCCGTTAATCGTAATCGCAATTGCAGTGTAAAGTAACGATAACGTATATTTTTCTGTTTGATGAAAAAATGCCTCTTTTACGAGTCTCGCTTGCTCTCTCGGCGTTTACTTTAATATAACCGTAGTGCCGTTTATCTTTTGTCATTTGATGTTTTCTCCTTTTTTTAACTTGGTTGAATATCCTGCAACTTTAAATTAAACTGTTTTCTTTTCAAACTACTACATGATTTATCAGGGGTTAACCGTCAGATGGAAATGCATTCAAAACTAAATATTAAATCTTTCCTTCTTTCTACACTTGACCATTGCTCTGAACAGGACTGTGAGCAAGCATCAATGTTTGTTACTTTAATGAGCATAATCTAGAAATGTAGCTAAGAATCACATTTATTCATTCAGACGTGCTGGGTACGACGGTGTTGATATTGTGTACGTTGTTTCATGTTGCGTGCGTGGTCGCCTCGCTGCGCTTCCTTGGCTCTAACTCTACTAACATCCTGCTTATGTTATGCGTGCCAGATACAGTTACATGACATCAAATGATGCGTTTTAACAATAGTTAAATTGTATAATAGAAATTCCCAATGACCATGTTTGAACATATTTTCACACTACAGAAGTATTAACTCCCATTTGGGAGATGAACTAATGTTCATATAATTGTATTTTATATGATCTGCTCTAGTACATAATATTTCGGTAATTTGTGTTTAATAATATCATGTGTATTTCGATTACCGTTAACTGTGAATATTTCCTCCAAGCTTTTTAACATTTTTATCTAATAAGAATTGTACTTGAAAAAGGTCCACAAGGTCAAGGTTTCAGGCAGGATTCGAACCTGCGCTTTCCGCTATCTTATATCGTTATTTTTTATCGATTATTTGATGCCAGAAGAAGTCCAGAATTACTTACCTATATGTAAACACCAAACTTAATGTTACTTAAAATAATGTCTTGCCATTTTCAACTTTACAACTGTATTCGTTACATGTAATGAAATCATAAACCTAATAAGCATCTTTTGTAACGTATGCTTAAAACACTTCTTAAAAAAATATATGTATATTTATACAATGTTGATTTATGGGTACAAAATACTTTGTGTGAGGTATCTGGGTTATTTAGGAAAAATGTTTTACGTCTTGAACGATTTTCAGTGCCGACATCGTAAAAAGTAGGGTAAAAAGTTTACTATTTAGTAGGACTATAAGATTTTATTAGAAGGTTTGTGTTCCGTTGTACGCGATATAAATCAGAGTAACGATATTATATTTCATACAGAGGTCTAACGAAGCCCAATATATAAGGCAATAAATAGTACGGAGTGCTTTAGAGAGTTGTGGCAACATTTATCAGTAAATTAAAGGCCTCCTGCATTAATGATTCCTTATGCTGTTATATAACGGAGTGTTGGCCGCAGGTGAAGGGCCTGCAGTTCCCGGGTTGCCACGACCCGAAGTACTGTCGGCTGGTGCTGCATCGCTCCAAACTTCTTATGAAACCGGTCAGTGACCCCAGAGCCCGCCAGTTTAATGTCACGAAACCAGTGATTCGCACCCCTTTTATTTTCAGCTCGATGTTTCCGTTTTATTTACATTCCACGTTTATGTCAGTAGTAGACTGTCGTTTCTTTTTATTTTAGCGTTTGTCGTTTTTTCTTGTATAGAAACAAGACGTTCTTTTATTTCACTAGGCACATTGTTTAGATGTTACTATTGGATTCTCTCTTCATTAGCCGGTTCCAATCAAACCAGGGTATAGATGTTTTTTATTGTAGGATTTATGTTTTTAGGTCTAAGTTATAACTGCGCTCATAATCTTTTTGCTACATTGTACGTTTGTGTTACGTCTCGTGGAGCATGTTCTGTTAATTGTTTTTATTTACTTTATGTACGGCACCTCCTGTAGATTTAGGTCTGGTTTTCTTTTACACCTGTATTTTGTCACTAGTACTATGTGTGTCGAACAAATAACTAAACCTTTGTCTATGTGCAGGTGTTGAAACACAAAATCGACAACATCAAACGTATGGCAGCACATCCGTCTCAACCACTATGTAAGTATTATTTATATATATATTCGAAAAAAAATCATACATACGTTTATTAGTTCTTCTGTAAAATCCCTCGTCGTTTATACTTCGTATTAATTATAGGCAGACGCTTAACTGAGCCCCCCCCCCTCCCGACACCCTTTACCCCGCAGGCGAGGATTCAGTTAAGGGGTCATCCATAAATTACGTCACATAAATTTCATGATTTTATACCCCTTCCTCCGTCCTTGCCACAGCTGATCACATTTGTGAGACTCCCCCGGGTCCCTAGTGTGACGTCACATATTTTGCAAATTTACATTTAGAAATTATTGAATGAAAACAGCGGTTATGAAATCAGTTTTATTTCCATTTAAATTGTTTTTTAATATTATTAAAATCAAAAACAAAACAAAAAACGATTAATTATATTAATTAAAGAAATTACCAAACAAAAAACTATTGACTATTAAAATTAAAGAAATTAACAAAACAAAAAAAAATAATGGCATTATAATTAAATTAAAGATACAAACTTAATAGTCCAAGTCCATGGGCATTTAATTTATCTGTAACTGGCATAGCACCCCTTTTTTCTCGTTTGGTTGTTAATGTTTTCGTAAAGTCATTAAGAGCATGCGCACATTGAGCCACTAATCGCGGCCACTAAACGCGACCACTTGTGGTTCAGTCAAGCTTCAAGCCGTCAGACTGCCACTAAGCTACTATATTTTCGATTGGTGGGTGCGTCTAGTAGAATGACTGAGCCACATAGTACAGTCAATCTGTCGAAAAAAATATCGTTTCAGTGAAAAAAGAACCTAAAGGGTAAGTCTTGTTTTTTCTGTTGCCAAATGACGTCAGTAAGCCACCTTGGCGATGGGCATGTTCATCTCGTAGGCGTTTTTTGAAAAACTCAAAAAAACCCTCAAAAATTTTTTGAAACGCATTTTTCTTGTTTTGTATGCATTTTAGAAATTTTTTTTCGACCATAATTGTAGAGGGCGTTTAGTACTACAATTTATGTCATTGTTGCAATCTAGTACAACAAAAAATGCGCATTGTAAGTGGCGCTAAAGTCTCAAAAAAGTGTTTTTTCACTTTTTCATCCTGAAAATATCATTTTAATGGAAACCTTTAAATGGAAAAGTTGTTTCGTACATAATTACCAACAATTTTTGTATAAACATTTTTTTTGTATTACTTACCGTTTTCAAGTTATAAATTGCGCAGGTATGAAAATCCAATACAGTGGTTTTGGGCAGTTCAAGTACACATTTGCAGTGCGCATTTCAATGTACGTTTTACTATTTTTCTTTTTTTTTTCATGATTGAAAAACAAAAAAAAATGAAAAAAAAAATAGTTTTATTTTTATTTATTTTTATGATTGAAAAAAAAAAAATAGTAAAAACGTACATTGAAATGTGCACTGCAAATGTGTACTTGAACTGCCCAAAACCGCTCTATTGGATTTTTCATACCTGCGCAATTTATAACTTGAAAACGGTAAGTAATACAAAAAAATGTTTATACAAAAGTTGTTGGTAATTATGTACTGAACAACTTTTCCATTTAAAGTTTTCCATTAAAATGATATTTTCAGGGTGAAAAAGTAAAAAAAACACTTTTTTTGAGACTTTAGCGCCACCTACAATGCGCATTTTTTGTTGTACGAGATTGCAACAATGACATAAATTGTAGTACTCAATGCCCTCTACAATTATGGTCGAAAAAAAGTTTCTAAAATGCATACAAAACAAGAAAAATGCGTTTTAAAATTTTTTGAGGGTTTTTTTTGAGTTTTTCAGAAAACGCCTACGAGTTGAACATGCCCATCGCCAAGGTGGCTTACTGACGTCATTTGGCAACAGAAAAAACAAGACTTACCCTTTAGGTTTTTTTTTCACCACTCAACCTACAGATTGACTGTACTAACAAGTGGTCGCGTTTAGTGGCTCAATGTGCGCTTGCTCTAAGTTTGAATACTTTATAACTGTTCAGACTTAACGGGTGGCGCGGACGGCTCCGTGCAACTGTGGGAGTGGGGTCACGGGTCGTGCGTGTGGTCGCCGCGCGCTCCGGGTGCGTTCGCGAAGGTGACGCGCGTGCGGTTCTCTGACTACGGCAACAAGTTCGCGGCCGCCGACGCGGACGGCAACCTGGCCATGTGGCAGCTGCACCCGCCGGCCAATCAGCACGCGACGCAGGCGCACGCCCCGCCCCGGCCGTTCTTTGTGAGTGTTAATCGAAACTAAAACGTTCGCGAAGGTGGACGCGCGTGCGGTTCTCCGACTACGGCAACAAGTTCGCGGCCGCCGACGCGGACGGCAACCTGGCCATGTGGCAGCTGCACCCGCCGGCCAATCAGCACGCGGCGCAGGCGTTTGTTGATCGAAACTAAAACGTTCTCGAAGGTCGTCACCTTCACCGTAGTCGGAGAAGCGCACACGCGTCCGTGTGCGCTTCTCCGACTACGGCAACAACTTAAAAACATAAAATACACCTTTTGTGAAAATTTCAACTGTCTAGCTATCACGGTTCATGAGACACAACGTGGTGACAGACAGACGGACAGCGAAGTATTAGTAATAGGATCACATTTTTACGCTTTGGGCACGGAGCCGATGATAGACTTTAAGAAAGTTAAGGACTGTTCTCAGATTAAGTAAACATACATGTATCCTGAAAATAATAAGGGGTTTATTATCAAAAATTATAAAATAAAATTAAAAACCTAAATATGGGAAAAAATAGTTAAAAAATGATTGTTTCATGCTATAGGATACAATTTCATAATCTTTCAACGTACCCTTGTTAAAAATTACCCCTAAAAATATTGAAAATATTTTTTTCGAAAAAAATAATTGATCCGTTTTTTAAGCATAGCTTCATTTTAGTTTTTTTTTTCAGAAACGATTTTGTAGAGCTTTTCAGGAGCTATAAGACTATGTGAATTAAATTACTTAAGATGCCTTAATTTTTAAATGGGGAGTCTTTAAAGCGCTTGAATAAGGTGATGTTTTATCGTAAATGTAGGTGTTAAACGGCTATATCTCGCCGAATATTCATTGTACAAAAACAGGTAAAATTTTTGCGGTACCGATATTATTATGATCATAAATCGGTCAATTTTCATGCTAGAGATATTGTTTTTATTTGTTTGAAAGCTCTAATAAAAAACTTTAAAAAAGATTCTATGAGCTTTCTTCGAATAATGCAAATTATTCTCGTTATTTTGCTGTAAATTTTCCAATTTATTTATGCATTTGACGAAAAAAGCTAAGCATTAATTTACTGTATCGTTCATATTTGTGCCAAGATGCTTCATTACCTGGACTACTAAGGGTATAAAAAAAAGGGGATGATTGATTTATTCACTCACTAATTGTGATGTATACACACATAAATTTTTACAGAGTAGTCTGATTTTGATAATTCTTTTATTTTTAAAGGGCATAACCCCGAAGTTGGTCCCTTATGAATTTGAAAAAAAAACATCCAACCCTAAGGGTAGGAAAACAGGGGATGATTGATTGTTCACTCACGGATTTTGATGCAGAGTTGTATATTACAAAAATTATAGCCACAAAGAATTGTAAAATAAAAACTTTTTAACAAAAAATTTAAAACAGCCAAAAAATAAAAAATAATTATTATAATAATTTTATCTTTAGCCAATTAATATTTGAAGTCGGTACCGTGCAGGCCTGTATATCTGAGTTCCCATTTACTACTTGGTAACCCAAGCAGGCACTGGCTCGGCTGAAGTTGATACGGTGACGATCCCTTTCCTAGTTGATATGTGTGCTAACCTTTAATTTTATTTAAATTGAATAATCCATGTAAGCGAAGATATTTATGAGTACTCTGGACACTTAGATACCTATGAACAGTTACGTACATATTAAAGGTCATTGGAATGGTGAATATGTATTTGGAGACTGTTGATCGGAAGAAAATTCAGTTTATTATATAACTTTTGTTAAGTTAGAGACTGCTCGCAAATTACCCACCTTATTATCGTACCTTTAAATAAACAAAATATTAACATAGAATCCACAATGATCAATTCCATAGACCAATATTAGAAGTTAATAAATCATAAGTAAATTTGATAGTAAATAAGGAAGAATATAATTATGTAATCATTTATGGAATGTAAGTGAATTTCACTGAATATAAATCACATAATATTTTATTTACAGACGCATCAATGTCACAGTAAAGGAATTAGTGATTTTGTATTCCTTGGTTCCTGCAGTTTGGTAGCTACAGGTTAGTGAGAAAAAATAAATTTCAAGGAGTACATCAGTATTTCTGGAAGTGTTTCATTAATAAATTATAAAACTTTTTGTTACAGCCGGACATAGTTCAGAAAGTAAAAACGTCGCTATTTGGGATACATTAATGCCTATCAAGAAAGCGTTAGTAGTTTGTGAGTATCATTTGTAATCATGATTGAACTGTTTATTCCTTTGTTCGTTTTTGTTAATTTATTTTATTTCATAGGAAAAATTAAGCTAGTTTATATTTAATTTTACATACTTGACATCTTCGTTAACTACTTAAAACGTCATTTATAAAAATAAATGGACTAACGATACGACGGACGGGTCCTAACTTAGGTTCATATGATTTAAGAGTATTAAATATGTATTACGTCTGTAGCGTGGACGTGCCATGAGGGTGGCGCGGCTTGCGTGGCTTTCGCCGGGTCGGCAGGCGTGCTGGTGTCGTGCGGGCGGCGCGGCGACGTGCTGGTGTGGGACCTGCGCGCGCGCGCCCAGCGCCACAAGCTGCACGCGCACCACGCGCCCATCAAGTGCGTGGCGCTCTCCCCGCGCGAGGACACCTACGCCATCGGCGCCGCGGACGGGGACATCAAGGTATGACGTGCTGGTATGGGACTTGCGCGCGCGCGCCCAGTGCCACAAGCTGCACGCGCACCACGCGCCCATCAAGTGCGTGGCGCTCTCCCCGCACGAGGACACCTACGCCATCGGCGCCGCGGACGGGGACATCAAGGTATGACGTGCTGGTGTGGGACTTGCGCGCGCGCGCCCAGCGCCACAAGCTGCACGCGCACCACGCGCCCATCAAGTGCGTGGCGCTCTCCCCGCGCGAGGACACCTACGCCATCGGCGCCGCGGACGGGGACATCAAGGTATGACGTGCTGGTGTGGGACCTGCGCGCGCGCACCCAGCGCCACAAGCTGCACGCGCACCACGCGCCCATCAAGTGCGTGGCGCTCTCCCCGCGCGAGGACACTACGCCATCGGCGCCGCGGACGGGGACATCAAGGTATGACGTGCTGGTGTGGGACCTGCGCGCGCGCACCCAGCGCCACAAGCTGCACGCGCACCACGCGCCCATCAAGTGCGTGGCGCTCTCCCCGCGCGAGGACACCTACGCCATCGGCGCCGCGGACGGGGACATCAAGGTATGACGTGCTGGTGTGGGACCTGCGCGCGCGCGCCCAGCGCCACAAGCTGCACGCGCACCACGCGCCCATCAAGTGCGTGGCGCTCTCCCCGCGCGAGGACACCTACGCCATCGGCGCCGCGGACGGGGACATCAAGGTATGACGTGCTGGTGTGGGACCTGCGCGCGCGCGCCCAGCGCCACAAGCTGCACGCGCACCACGCGCCCATCAAGTGCGTGGCGCTCTCCCCGCGCGAGGACACCTACGCCATCGGCGCCGCGGACGGGGACATCAAGGTATGACGTGCTGGTGTGGGACCTGCGCGCGCGCCCAGCGCCACAAGCTGCACGCGCACCACACGCCCATCAAGTGCGTGGCGCTCTCCCCGCGCGAGGACACCTACGCCATCGGCGCCGCGGACGGGGACATCAAGGTATGACGTGCTGGTGTGGGACCTGCGCGCGCGCGCCCAGCATCACAAGCTGCACGCGCACCACGCGCCCATCAAGTGCGTGGCGCTCTCCCCGCGCGAGGACACCTACGCCATCGGCGCCGCGGACGGGGACATCAAGGTATGACGTGCTGGTGTGGGACCTGCGCGCGCGCGCCCAGCGCCACAAGCTGCACGCGCACCACGCGCCCATCAAGTGCGTGGCGCTCTCCCCGCGAGAGGACACCTACGCCATCGGCGCCGCGGACGGGGACATCAAGGTATGACATGCTGGTGTGGGACCTGCGCGCGCGCGCCCAGCGCCACAAGCTGCACGCGCACCACGCGCCCATCAAGTGCGTGGCGCTCTCCCCGCGCGAGGACACCTACGCCATCGGCGCCGCGGACGGGGACATCAAGGTATGACGTGCTGGTGTGGGACCTGCGCGCGCGCGCCCAGCGCCACAAGCTGCACGCGCACCACGCGCCCATCAAGTGCGTGGCGCTCTCCCCGCGCGAGGACACCTACGCCATCGGCGCCGCGGACGGGGACATCAAGGTATGACGTGCTGGTGTGGGACCTGCGCGCGCGCCCAGCGCCACAAGCTGCACGCGCACCACACGCCCATCAAGTGCGTGGCGCTCTCCCCGCGCGAGGACACCTACGCCATCGGCGCCGCGGACGGGAACATCAAGGTATGACGTGCTGGTGTGGGACCTGCGCGCGCGCCCAGCGCCACAAGCTGCACGCGCACCACGCGCCCATCAAGTGCGTGGCGCTCTCCCCGCGCGAGGACACCTACGCCATCGGCGCCGCGGACGGGGACTTCAAGGTATATATCATCATCAGCCCGCAGCAGTCCACTACTGGACATAGACCTCTCCCATGGCACGCCATTGAACTTGGTCTTCAGCTCTTCCAGGGGCGTACTTACAAATTTGGCGCTGCAGGGCCACTTACGATTTCATTAGAACCCCCATTTTGTTGCTCAAAATCAGATGAGTAGGGAACTGATGGTTTTTGAAAGTTTGAAAATATTCTTAAGGGGCCGTCTTCACAAGCGAGAGAATCGCGACGGTTCCATGCTTCTATCGTCGGGTAATCTCCACGAACGAACGATTGTTCCGTCAGCGCATCCTCGCGACTCGTGACGGACTCACCGCGTGTCTGCGACGATTCTTAATGGAATCGCCGTGTTTCCTTGATGAGCCGTTATGCTATTATTTTGTTGAAATAGTTCGGTGCCACACTCGAGCGAAAATCTACCAATATTATACATCAAATGGTAACGTACTAAATTCGACAAATATCATTTAATAGTGCCTAAAATATACTTATTTAATAGGAACTAGAAATTCCAAAAACGGTCACACTGACGCCTCTGTAAGACAGCGGGCATGCCGCGCGCTCGCTGTGGCCGGCACGGCGCTAGCAGCGACAGTCTCGCAGCAATGTAATAACGTATCGCGCCCACTCAGCCACTCGTCATATCGCCGTGTGTAGACAAATGCTAGAGTGTATAGGGCCATTCAAGTATTACGTAAGCAGATTTATTACAATTATTTACCCCCGCCTCCCCCGTGTCAGCAAAAGTAAGCAAAGCTCTTACCGCCCCGCCCCCCCATGCTTACGTAAACATTGGTACCTATATTGCATTTTAGTGATTCATAAGCTTTCATAAGCTTCATGAGCAGCAGTACTTAAATAGTCTTAGGATAGAGGACTTTTACGAATATAGTATTCATTTAAACAAACTTTATTGACAAAGTATTCAGTATAGAGTAAGGTACAAATATTATAATCTTATTAAGTACTATTACGAACAAAACAAACTTCTTTCGATTTTTTGGTATACATATAGTGTTGCCCAAATTCAGTCTTGGTCTTGTTCTTGCATTTTTGTAAGACCAAGACCAAGAACAAGACCGCGTATTTTAGCAGGACCAGGGGCCCAATTCTCGCGGCATAGATATTATATCGGCTTCGAGATAATATCGAAAGGAGGGATATCTATTGAAAATATCTACTGATGGTAAAAAATGCTATTCTCGTGGATTTTCGATATTCCAATGATATTATATCTATCGTAGATATTCTTTCACTGACGAATGCGTTCCGTTTTTCTCGATTAAGTTAACATCATAGTTTATATAAAATAATAATAAATTAGAGCAGAATTTTACAAGCAACAAAATGATATTTTATGAATTCCATTCATATTAAATATGAGTATACATTTTTTGAGTATAAGAAATCTCAAATTTTACCTAATTTGTATGCGTATATAATTTCAACGTTATGTATAATGAAACGTCAATATTATTTAAGATTCTCCCTTTTCAGGGAAGGCAAAGGGAACAATGCCCATAAAGCCTAGTCTTTAGTTATATTAATCTTCTTTTTTTTACATTCGAATGCCGGTGTGACGCATTCTAATGTTTCTTGGAGTGTTTGGCACGTTTATGGAGTTGGCTTTTTCTCTAAGCTTCTGTGAGGTAGTCAACACTACAATAAAGTTCTCGCGTCCACTTGACGGGAATAGCGTATATTTTAAAGATTCCACTAATTCTTCAATTGCGCAGACGGTTGTAACACCCAATCACACCAATTTCATTTCATAATATCCACTTTGAACGAATTTTAGAATAATTAAAATAAGATGCCAACCGCACTCGCAGAAATCCCGCCAAAACTCCGTATCGTCAATAAGAAAATGGTGTCGATTCTGGCATGATTCTCTAAACCTAAACGTAAATTTTACAACCTGTATCCTTGTCATTCTCCATACAGAATGAAAAGGAGAGACTGAAGTTAAATTTAGTTTTAAGTTTAGAGACTCGTGTCAGAATCGATACCAATGTCATTCATAACTTTAAAGATTTCTAACCAAATTTTTGTTTAAACGTAATTTTTTTATGAAGTCGGCGTCCCTCATTTCAAATGGGCCCTCTTGCTCTCACGACGGCGGCGCCTTAGCACAGCAGCAGCAATCACGTCATTTATTAAAGCATTGACGAAAACATGAATCAACTGATCCATCGTTAATATAAACTGGTGTCGATTCTGGCACGATTCTCTAAATCTAAACTTAAACTTGACAACAGTGTTTCCTTGTCATTCTCTATACAGAATGAAAAAGAGAGACTGATGTTAAATTTAGTTTTAAGTTTAGAGAATCACGCCAGAATCGACACCATTGTTTACCTACTTCTTTATTTAGTAATTATTTATGAAGGCAGTTAACAACATCTTGAGGTAACAATAATTGGCAAAAACAACACGACAACACAATAAATAATAAGTAAAAAAAGTGGAAATAACAAGATTGACATGCCTTGGCATGGATCTTGTCCATAGATATTTATATATCGAAGGCTCTTTTCCAGTCGATGTATGTCTACTGATCATCCGTAGATAAATATCTATTGCGACATGGTGAGAATAGGGCAAAAAGGTTTTCCTTCGATAAAAGCCAGATCATTCGATATATATCGAAGGTGATATAATGTCTATGCCGCGAGAATTGGGCCCCAGGACTGACAGTGCAAGACTTGAGCAAGAACAAGACTAATCCGGCAAGACTCTTGCGTCTTGCAGCTAGGACTTGCGCTATTTCACGGAGTAGTAAGGTGTTATACCTTACTACTCCGTGTACAGGTACGCTTAGGAATTCTATGAGACGCAAAAAACTGTATCAAAGAATATGAAAAACTGGACCTATGCGCATCAATACCATAAACATACATAGCGAATAAAAAAATATCCATTAAAATCAAACAGAGTGCATTCATAGTTTTGTTTTAACCATCGGCACTTTGATAATGCGGCATCAAAGGTTTTGTACTGTCTTCTCAAAGAAATTTGCCGCTTTTCGGAAGTACATGGTGATGATACACGCGCCGGCGGCTTCTATTGAAATCACCTAAAACAATCGTTGTCGCCGCGCCGAAATCACAACATTTGACACTATTTGATTGCCGCCACAGGGCCTAGGTATACTCTTGCAAAATTTTAATTTTATGTTGTGCCGTCCCACTAACGTTAATACATTAGAAAATATAGAAATAGGTCAAGTGATGAGTCAGCCAGATGGTTAGTTTGTATTAATTCTTGGTCAAAAGAATTGATATAAAGTTACAGAACCTAATGACAAAGCTGTTGTGTACTGTTATGTTATTTGATTTGTGTTGTGTTTTATTGAAATGATAAATCGTAAAACTGTTTCATTAAATTTCATATAAGTTGAGGGTTCAATCTCTTTCTAGACAGATATTGTTCTTTAAAATACAGTCAATTTATTGTAATTTTTTTTTACTGTTGCTGCTGCTGTTGTGTACTGTTATGCTATTTGATTTGTGTTGTGTTTTATTTTTTATTGAAATGATAAAACGTAAAACTGTTTTATTAAATTTCATATAAGTTGAGGGTCCAATCTCTTTCTAGACAGATATTGTTCTTTAAAATACAGTCAATTTATTGTAATTTTTTTTTTTACATGTTTTAGCACATGTAAGCTTATAAAGTGTAAATGTTTATTAAGAAAAAGTTACTCCCATGGAAAACGGCATATAGCTTTGTTGATAACCATATGGCAGTTGATTTTTCGAATTTCTTATCAAATCTTCAGACATTTATCAATCTAATTGGTCTTTACTATGGCTAACATAGCCAATAAATATTCAAACACACAATGTTCCAATTCTAATACGTTTTTCTAAGATCTAAAGTAAACTTTAATAAATAGCAATAGTCTAATAGGTAATTGCAAGACTTGCAAGACTCTTGCTGCAAGACCAAGACCAAGACCAGGTGTAGTGGCGCAAGACCAAGACTGGCTAAGTCTCGTCTTGTTCTTGCATTTGGGCAACACTATATACATATAATAATTCCACTTAACGGACTTCAGTCCATGGCACCGGAATCCATGATGCTGACGTAATTACTATCTTTTTCAACAGGTGTTCTCGTTAGCTACGCATCAACTGCTCCATACCTTCGCGGGTGAACATGCAAGAAGCTCCTTTTTCAAACACATTGGTCAAGGAGTCACTCAAATTTATATTGGTAAGTTGAAGCAAAATGTAGTTCACTCATTCCAGTCTCAAATAAAGCTTAGCTTTTGGAGCCTTGGCCTTATTAGTTAACATTACACGCTGGCAGGCAGACCCGTCTTTCCCAGGGGGCAAGTGCCCAGGGCCCCGCGATCGATAGGGGGCCCCCTCAGATCAAATACAAAATCCCTAGTTCCTGTTAAATCACCAAACGGAAGTCATAGGGGCCTCATTATCCTAATATGCCCAGGGCGATCAATAGGTTAAAGACGGCACTGCTGGCAGGGATTTTATTACTAATCAATAGAATAGAATAAGAATAGAATAATTATTTATTTGCGTTTGAACAGGGTGACAGCGATGTTTGTACTTCAATGGTGTTTTTTTAGGTATTGTATTGTGATGATATCGACTGTACTGTTATATCGAATAATTTAAAAGTCCACACTTTTAACTTTCATTATGTATGATAGTTAAAAGGTAATGTATACTTTGGATAGCTTATGAGCTGTGACCTTTAAGCTCTTCTGTTACCCTCTTGTCTATGAGGCATGTCACGTAGAACAATATGTCCTTGTCTGTTGTGATGGCTGAATCCAGCCACCAGCCACATACAAAGAATTGTAGATATTCTAGTCTCTTTATTCTATTTACCACCCGTTGGCCACATTTTTTTAAACGACTACCCCACCTGATGTTAAGTGGTGGTAAAGTCCAGACGTGAAGATAGCTGGTGTAGCAGTTAAAGACTGCCACACCAACCATCGTCACCTTGCCGGCCTGCAGAAATGCTTCTTCACGCCTCATTTAAAGGACCCCACTTTAGTCATTTATGTTATTTACGGGATTACTACCGTGTACATGTACCTTGTTTTTAGCGAGTTTCCGATACATTGGCACTGTTACAAGCGCCATGATCACGCAGTAACTGAAGTAATTGCGGGTAGGATGTTATTGATAGGTGTTTACTATAATGCTACGTGACGACCTTCATGACCGAGTGGTTTGTACGCCGGGTTTCATGGTGTCGCCGACTCGAGAGGTCCCGGGTTCGAATCCCGATGGGGGCAGATGTTTGTGTGATGAAACGAGCATTTGTACTCCAGTCATGGATGTTTAATATGTATTTCTATATATACATATATATGTACAGTATATGTTATCTATCCATTATCCTAGAATCTTTTAACACCAGCCATACAGTGCTTACTAAAGGAGAATGCCCATATTTGGTACAGCTTTGTCTCATGCCTCAAGATAAAATTATTATGATAATTATTTTCTTTAATTTATACGTACGATGGTCTATCAGAATGGCTATTTTGAACAGGGAATAATTTTAGAAATAATATTAGTCATAATACTGTTTATATTTTGAGTCGGATATCTGACGTTTGTTTATTTATCGTAAAAATAGGGATGCCATAGTACCCTATTAGTTATACATTATAATCGATTTTTGTTTTTGTTACCGATGAGTGGACCACCAAAAAGGAAATAAATCACGTGTTACTAATTATTATTTAATAGTGATTTTACCTTTTTATTGTCTTAACTGTTGCGATGACAACTCGTCATTTATCTATTTCGTCTCTATGCTTAATACGTCGCATTCAGTAATCCGTCGCTTGGCTTAATTCGACACTTTCCTATCACGTCCCTTGCTGTATGTAGTGTCTACTTACTGAATGTAACGTGTTAAGCATAGAGATGAAAATGATAAAATGTCGAGCATGTAGGTAGTCGGACAAAAAGAGTCACGTGCTTACCCAGCGCTTTGTCTTGCCTACGTAGTCTAAAGGCCTTATAACGCAAAATACAATAATTGTACATTGGCTTGTGCCGCGTCCTGTTCTACGTCCATAAATGTATCTAAGTTAGAGAGGGACGGACGACAAAGAGAGGCTAGTTAATCTGTGCAGGCATGCTCTTAGGTAAAACGGAACGTGTAGCCGGGGTATTCGAATCTAAGTTTAAAAAATCGACACGTATTAATAATGTTAAAGAAGGTTAATTCCGCGGAAATCATTAATCGTTGTTTTTATAGAAGGCGCTCACCTAACTGTCGATTTCATCATTAACTAAGTAGTAACTATTAATTATATTTATTTCTATGCTGTTTATTAATTAATTGAATCTGGATTTATTTGTATCTGATTTGATTTATTCATTGCGTAAAATCGATTTTAAACAAAAACATTTTTTTTTCAATTCAACGATTATTCGTATATTCAATGTCAGATCATCATCACCCTACCCTATAACCCTATTGCAAATGCAAATGAGTGGGGAATTGTCAAATGTTTTGTTATTACTCCTATTTTTGTGTTGATTGAGTTTTTTACATAAATTGTGAAGTGATAATAATTGCGTGTGAACGTATCAAACGATTTTGTTTCTGAATTGTTAAGACAGGCAAGACGTTTTCAGGAAAAAAACAGTGCATTCACGACAGGACGTTTATTTACCGTATGTGTGTTTGTAGTGTTCTCTACTCACGCATTAAGAACATTAAAAATGTATTCTACTTCAAATGAGGAACCGATGACGATTAGACTATTTGACTGGTTAAACCAGTGTATTGTAAAACTGTATTTCCAGGGCCCAAGAGGTGATACTTGATATTTTTTTGTAGAAGAACAGTTTAGCCCTCAACATATTATAGTCATGGATAATTCCTACTCAGGTGAGCTAATATTGTTTGTCTAATGTCATGTGCAACTAACTGTATGAAATATAAGTATATTAACTGTTTTGTTTGACTTCTTAAAAAAGTAATAACAGTTCTAGATACTTAGGTTAGGAATCATTTACTATCACAATCTTATGAGAAAGCTATTATTACTGTGTATTATTATTGCATATCATACATAATTACAAATCTAGAACTAAAATGTTTATAGTAATCATGGTAACATTTAGATTTTCTTTTACTTGTTTTGTTATCACTAGACAGCTAATAGATGATGAGAGAATACAGAAATTCCTACATTGATTTGTAGACATCATATTTTAACTTTTATAACTTGCAAGAGTTAACTTGAGACCTATCAAACTGTTATTTTAAAATAAACAAAAAGGAATTTTCCATATTAATTATTCATTTCTTATTAATGTTATATTTTAGATCTCAAGAATGGAACATGTATGTGCTGCATGTTGGAGATCAGCAACTCAACAAGTACAAAAGCAACAACAACATGACTCAAATCGCCTTACTCTTGGAGATACTACATTAAGTGGCAATCGTTCTATACCTGTGCCACCTCCTCTGCCACAACCAAGACTAGAAGCAGTTCAACAAGTGACTCTAAAAATTGTATCATCATCATCATACATGCTGCTAACTCTCCTGGTCACTGTGTATTTGAAAATTGTTTAGAGCTTGAATGTCTACTTATTTCATCTACCATCAGGAATCTCTTATTGTATAATAATAAATTGTGCATACCAGCTGGTGCATGTGTTTGTCATCACTATTTGAATTATGGTTCATGGAATGAATTAACATCTTAATTAAGAGATTTTACTGGCACACAGTTTGATAATGTAATGATTATGATACAGCGAATTGGCTGATCGCTGTATCATAATCATTACATTATACAAATTAGATTTTTCTAATATTTCAATTATGTCTCCTCATTTATGTCATTATTGGCTTGGTATGAACTCTGAACAGTTTTATAATTTGCTCAACTGTATACCAATCTAGCAGATCAAGTGCCAAACGCTTCTATAGCCTTTTGTATTTATTTAGTTAAATTAAGAACTGCTGATAGCAACGAAAGATTGGCCACTCTTTTCAATAATCCTGGAGCTACATTAGAACGCTGTAAGACAAAAGCTAGAAATCGTTTGAATTTGTTTGTTTGTAGATGATATTCCTCTTGTTTTAGGTCTAAATAATTATTTATTAAGAGGTAGGATTAAATCCAGATACTTAAGCAGCGTACATATAACTCATATTTACTAATCAGTAGAGATGCTGCTTTGGCAGACACATTAGAGGCTATAAAAGGTTATTATTGCAGCTGTCTCATTGGTAAACAACCTGTGGGCTGTTAGGACCACATAATGACTGTAGTTTAGTTTTTAAGTTGGGGTCGTTACAATGATGTTACTGCTCTGGCGCCTTATTTAGATTATTTTTTCCATGAAGATTATGTTGATTTGAAATATACTGGTAATTCAAATATAATGTGTACAATTAATATATGTAATCTAATAAAAAGTGTCTTATTAATGTTTTTATTTACCTATACGTAAATCTGCCATCACTGAAATCTGTGTTGTCATGAAAATCTATGCAGTAGGTTGGAAAAACAGTGAAAGACTCAAGTTGATCAAAAGTAACAGAATAAAAAAGTACCCAAAATTGCTGTAAACCAACTTTAAATAGGAGTTATTAAGGATTTGAGGTTATGTCACATTTTTTACAATAACATTAAAACCCCTGTTTTTATTTTCAAAATTCCAATTTGTCATACTAATTTGAATATTAAACGATCATTTAACATTTGTTTGGTATTGATGCAACCATTGTACGGCGGTCCATACATCCATGAGCATTCTCCTTTATTTATAAATATTTATTTATTTATGGTAGTGACCCCATTTTGTAAACAAAATGTGTTCAGTAAATAAATGATGTTTATAAACAATGTTCGTTTTCCGTCAGACAACGCTGGGCGGTTGTTCTCGTGCGGCGCGGACGGCACCATGAAGGTGCGCAAGCTGCCGGAGCGCGACACGCCGCCTCTACACCATCCGCAGTATTGAGACATATGGTGAGTACAATCCTCCTGAACGACATTACAGTCACTTACAACCCGGGGTCTTTAAAAGGCCAGGTACATTAATATGAACAACGGTGGTTGATTTAGAAAAAAGAAAAAAGTAATTTCTGAAAGAAATAATAATAAATTTGATAAAAGAAAAAAGGCGACGGTTAAAATTTGTATGGTGGTGGTTTTAAAAAAATATTATAATATAAAATTGTATAATAATTATTATTTATCCGTTTTGTTGCCAAAGTATCAAATATATTTTATTCAATAGGTAACTAAAGCAGTGATAATTATTCCGTTTATCTTTCATTACATTATTCAGTCATAAATTGGTATAAAAAGTTCACCACGATTTCATGAATATCAGGCTTGAGTAGGGGTGTATTCTTAAAGAACAATATTGGCATCCGAACAAAAAGAATTCCTTTTAATTGATGAGGTGCATAAAAAATCTTCTTTATTCACACAATTTTTAATATTTCGTCGATTTATGACGTTAGTTCACTGGCGAGTATATTTCGGAACAATTCACCAGTATAGCGTCGATTCATGACGTCATTAGCACTGGCCAGTATACTGGTATATATTACGGAATACACCCTAGACTGATTAAGTTGACGTTATTAGCTGTCACACACTAAAAAAATTACGATACTTATGAAAGGTGGCCAGCATCCATATAAGATTAGATTAAGATTTCTTCAGTGATGGCTCCCTCAAGATTTGGTCAATATCTGGTGTTTGTGTCCAAAATATCTTGTCTAGGTTGGTTCGGTTAGGGCTTGTTTATTGTTTTAAACTCTGCTTATGCTGTGGAAGGGCAAGTACAAGGACCTAGGATTTGTGAAAAGAATAGGAAAAAACAGAAAGGAAAGGTTAAGGTATAATATGTTGAGCTGCCTGAAACAATAAGTAATGAAGCTGAGATATGAGCATCTATATAAAACGGTAAATTTTCAAACACAATTTACAATTAATCGGGGATAAATAAAAATTTTAAGTATCTGTTCATGTTATAATATAAAACAAGCTTTTAAATGATATAATGTTTCGTCGCTGCCGGAAACCGACTACTACTTTTGAACGATCTCCTTCCATTCCGGTATTATTACTCACCAGTACACTGTGCTTGCCGCTGCCATTCCGGTGTTATTGACCCATACTGATAAGTAAGGGTCAATTAACACCGGAAAGACAGTGACCAGCAGCGTCACAGGGCGAGCACTTTCCCACTGAAAGCGGAGTGAAATAATTTTAAATTTTACCTTCACATTATAAAGACCAGTATTGCTCAACTAACCAGTACATCATCGTGTATATTGTCTACGTTTTAAACTACGTCTTTGATAACTGTTGCGTTGCTCATAGTACTTATTAGCACGCCGGTCTCACTCCCGTGTAGGCATCGAAATCTTATTGTCTATGTTTCGTTTTAAGTAAGTACATTGCCACCTATTTAGTTGGGTACGTTTTATTCTGTTGCGAGAAATAAGTATGTACTAAGTAAATCCTACAAGTCATAAATATAATTATTTTATGGATACCTCAATAAGTGCTAATTATCTTGTCATTTATTCACAAAAGTAAAGTAATAGGAAAATACCTTACTTAACTGGTAATAAAATATTTAGATTAAATTATCTAGGTGAAATAATCTGTAGTTGTGCGATCTGAATTGCCCTATTTCTTTAATAGATTTTCCAAAGTGAACCTTCTGCAATACTATTATGTAGGTATTAGTCATAGTTTTTTTTTGTTTTAGGTCAGCAGAAAGCCGTCGGGTGTTGTAGTGTCGTCCGGCCTTATGTTCCCTTGTGATGTATTTATCGTTGTTGCTATTCAAATGTTACGAGTATGATTAATATTATACGCCGTTAGACTAGTCACTGAGTAGCGGATGTTGTATCTTATATTTAAAAAATGTTAATGAATCTTTAGTTATTTTTAGTGTGAAATCTTCGCTATTATTATCTTAATGAAACCTCTAGATCGATGATAATAAATTATTTGCACTTGCTATTAGTGAATATATCTGGCCATATTGCGACAGGCCTATTAATAATTTTGCGTATACAGGCAATGGGTAGATATTCAATGTGTATATTGTACGACATGGAATGTAATTATGAGTTGATAATTTAAAAGTGCAATAATCTAACGCGACCTCTAAACTTATGAAACCGACTGCGAACGACGTCGAAGCCTTCACATAGTTAACATAATAAAATAAAATAATATTAGCTCCTCCTATAGAATTAGCTTTATATGAGTGCATATAATGTGTATGTATAACTTGTTGACGCATAATAAATAATTTATCAAACTTATATTTCAAATACACTGTAAATCTTGTTGGCTTCTGTATTTAATATATTTAATAATAACCATGTCGTTACGCAACTAGGGTCAACTTGCATTACAGCAACGGAAAATGAATTTTCAAATATCGCATAGCATATTTAGGTAAGCGTAGGGAACGAGTTATAATAAAGAATGTAGTAGAACGAAAAATTTTCACATAAAGAGTAAGTACCATTACTCTGTTTTGATATTATATATTGTTCCCTCCTTCCTAAAATCTGGGTTCCTTTAAGAGAGGCGTGAAGAAGCATTTTTGCAGACCGGCACGGTGAGAATGGTTGGTGTAGCAGTTTATAACTGCTGTACCAGCTATCTTCGTATTTGGACCTTATCACCACTTAACATCAGGTGGGGTAGAGTGATTTGCCTACCTCGCTATAAAAAAAATATGGTCAATAAATAATATGATATGCGAATTTTCAAAATTCATTTCTCCTTTTACTGCAATGTGAATTGACGTTTAAGCGACCGCATTTTGTGGGCGTTGTATTGTCTATATATTCCTTCATAAATATCGCACACCTCGTTCGAATAGACGTAAGTGTTTCATCTAAATATACCTGTGTGATCAATAAATCTGAGATTATTCTTGCAACTAATTTATTAATATTTAAAGCATTTCTCTTTATGGTGCAATAATGTATTTTTTCCAGACAGTATTATGACTGCAATATTTATTTTTCACAACTCACCATAACATGATAATATGTATGTATATTAATATCGAATGAATGGTTAAATTTAGGCTGGATTTGCGATCCAATTTTATTCCAATAACTTTCATAAATGTATTTGTGACTAATTCATATTTTAAAATTTTTGGTATAGTTTTATTTCTCCTTGATTCCATTTTTATTCTTATTTTCCAAATATATAACTCTTATTAATATGAAATGTATAAAACAATAAATTGTAGATAGCGTTTGAATGTTAATTTTATTTATATAACAATCAGTTATCGTGTTTAATTCAATGTGAATCAAACCCAATCTCTACATTAACAAAACTTTTTTCCTATGTAATTATACTATTGGTTACGTTGTTATAATTTGGTTGACTATTCTTTAGATTTAATTTAGTATTATCACCAAAGTTTACATTATCAATGTTTGGAATGAGTATTTAAGTTACATACTAACGTAATATCATGTAATATTAATGTTTAATAAGTATTTGCAAGAAAGTGATGAACTTCTCACTTAAGACATCCACAATGTTAGCTTCAAAATCACAAAGTTAAGATATTATCAAGAGCACTTACTTACATTTTGAATTATTTTTTAATTACGAGATTCGTTTGATACCGAATTGATTGTTTTTTTGTTGAACAAATGAAAATTGCTATATTACCCGGCAAGGTGGTTCACATTTTTATTGGAACTGAGAACTATCAAGTATTAAAAAGCCACCAATATGTCGTTTTAATTTATAAGTTAAAATTAAAGGAGTTAGTGCATATTCTCTTGGAAATGCAACGGGTATTTCAGCATTGAAATAGGTGTTGAGAGGATTCTGTTACATTTGCAAAACACAAATAACTGTCATAATTTGCTATAGTGATTTCTAAGCTTAACTATTAACATTGTATAAATTGTATTTAATTACGTTTAAATATTAATGGTTGTTTTATTACAACATTGCACTACTTTCGTAGGGAGATAGCTGTGATGTACTTGTAAGTTAATTTGTATTTGTTAACAATGTACTATTTAGTTTAGCATACTTACCTATACGCAAAAAATATCATACCTAATTATTATATTTATTACGCAAAAAAAAAACAATAAATTGTAACTTATGTTTACAAATGCACCCGGTACATAACAAGTCAATTTATGATGGGTAATAAACTGATATTTACGTAATTTCCGATGAAACCACGTCGCATCAAATAATATAAATGGTAACAATATCAATAATGTTCGTATTTAATGCTGATTTTGTTTTATTTATAAAAAATAAAAGTTAACTCCTTTTTTTGTGTTTTATTAAAGAATTTTGATTACTTAATACAAAAAAACATCCTCTTGGTAAGTTTAAAAAACAACTACATTGTGATTCTTGACTAATTCCAATAATTTGAAAACTGCCCATGCTTAATGGCGTGTCCCAAAAATTTCTTGACATGAATGCTGTAGTCGACTTGTGTTATTTATATCAGTAAAAATATTTCGCATTAACTTAAACAAAGAAAATGTAATATTTTCTTTTAACTTCTTGCCCAAAAAATAAGTTTTATTTTTTTTATTTTTTGCTTTAGTCTAAAAATGTGTTGCTGCATTTATAGTTAGGACACGTGCTTCGAAAATATAAAAGAGCATAGGTAATTGCAGTAACCTAACTTTGTTAGTGATAAGCACAGTAACTACTGTAATTACTAAGCAGTAAAAACATACACAAATAGTAAAAAAGAACTATCATTTTCTCAGAATCATGTCGAAGCTGCTTACTGCATTCTTCACTAGGATAGCAGTTTACAAAAGTATACTACGCGGAAAACTTCTTGTGCAACAACCATAGACAAGGAAGCAATTCTACATACAAAAGTCTACTACGCAAGTTTATTTGTCAGTGTTTTTTTTTATTTCCAACACACACCAATTAGCTTAGCCCCAAAGTAAGCACTGTAAGGCTTATGTTATGGGATGCTAGGGTAACGGATAGAATACATATCGTCGGTGATACTGCAAAACGTTCCATGTCAAGAAAAAAATATTTTGTTTTTTTTAATGAAAATGATCAAGTGCGTGTATCCGAACGCACTTACAAATCGTTCTAAGTCGTCCGCCAATTAGAACACAGTTTTCAAATGTGTTGCAATACGTCACTTTCAAGTCTTGTCACTTGTCGGGGTACTGCAATATGTTCCATGTCGACGCAACGGTTTTTCGCAAGCTGATTAGTTATAAAAATCTAGGTTTTGAATAAATATTTAAGGGTAGGTAGACATTACCCTATAATTTAATGTTATTTCATCGTACTATAACTGAAAAAAACGTAGAAAGCGAGTAGAAATCTTAAATTCTGTACAAAACTCAGTTCTGTATAACAAACAAAATGTTTTAGCTAATTTTTGAATTTTATTGCTAACATTGCTTAAAAACATGTGTCCAGACCAGACAAAAAAAAATGTTACCATGAAATATCACTTGATTTCACAGACACGTGAAAGCTGCGCTAAGTTTTATGTCTGCTAAGAAATGTTCTTATCAACCTTAGGGATTGGGAAAAGACAGTTACGAGACTGGTTGCTAACAAACACTGACAATACAACTATACCCAATAATGATCTTGCAGGTGATAAAGAAATATCTGTAATTGCGTTTTTGGACAAACTTGCTAAATTAGAATCTCATTACTGCAGGGCGTCTTCTAGGAAATTATATTTGGAGCCGGTTTGGGATAGTTATAATCATATTTTCGAAGTATATAAAAAGAGCTGTGTAGAGAAAAATAAAACCTTTTGCTCAAGACGCTATTTCTTAAAGATTTTTCGAAAACTTAATTATGATATTTTTAGTCCCAGGAAGGACCAATGCAATAAGTGCATTAGTTATAAACAGGGTCACTTATCTCAAACTGATTATGACACTCATCAAATAAAGAAACAGAGATCGAGAAATGAAAAAGAAAATGATAAATGTGATACTGAATCTGATATATTAGTTTATTCAATGGATGTACAAGCTGTTCTTCTGTGTCCAAATCTTCAAGCCTCGGCAACTTACTATAAGACAAAGTTAAAGGTCCACAACTAATGGATGGTGATCCAGAACATGAAAAACAAAGAAGCTGCATGTTACATTTGGCATGAAGGGAACGGTGGCTTAGAAAGTGATGTATTTGCTACTATTTTGTCTAAACACCTTAAGCATGATATTGATGTCGATTCTGGCGTGATTCTCTAAACCTAAACTTAAATTTGACAACAGTGCATCCTTGTCCTTCTCTGTACAGAATGAAAAGGTGAGACTGACCTTTAATTTAGTTTTAAGTTTAGAGATGCACGCCAGAATTGACGCCATTGATAAGTTTAAACCAACTAAAATTATACTATGGAGCAATGGGTGTGGTTATCAAAACCGATGTTTGACTTTGGCTAATGCTTTGCTTGACTTGGCAATTGAACTTAATATTATAATTGAACAAAAATATCTCGAAGTCGGCCATACGCAAATGGAAGTCGAATCAATTCATAGTGTGATAAATTGCGTGGTCGAAAACGAGCTATTTTTGTTCCTGCCGATTATGTGAGCACAATTAGGTCAGCAAGACAAAATCCCGAGCCTTATAAAGTATTTTACTTAACTTACAAGGACTTTCATAGCTTTTCTCAGGGTAAATGTAAAAGTTTGAGATCGGGCAATAAAAAAGGTGATCCCTATGTTACCGACATTGTAGCATTACAACACGATCCCAGAGGTATAATAAACTACAAAACCCGACTTCGATCAGTCTTGGCAATGTTTACCAAGGAGACCACTGGTAACTGCTCCACTTCGCTTGAGTGGACGCCCTTCCCTTTACCAGAAGCCACTGGCTATAGAAGCAACCAAATTTGCACATCTTCAGGAAATGAAGAATCTTATTCCTTCGGATCATCATATATTTTATGATTCTCTAGAACATGGCTGTTCAGACATTGAAATATGTCCACATGTTCGTAAATTAGTATAGGTTATCAACATCATGTGCCACATCGTTCTACATCTTGACAGCCATGTTCTAGCTAGTAAATTAATTTAGGTACTTACTACTTATAGCTAGTAAGTTAAAAATAAAGGCAGCAAACATCTTCGAATGCATGTTTTTTGTCCTATTTTATACACAGTTTTATACGTTAATTGCGGTTATAGTTATTTTATTATTCCGTTAATAAACTACGATTATTTTAAAATTATCAGCTTTTTTAAACAGCAATATGTTTTATGTCAAAACAATAGGTTCAATTAATTCATTGCAAAATGTGCTAAGTCCAATTATTTCCATAATTAAGCTACATTGGAAATTCATACACATATTATTTTATAGCTCTTATTACCGTTGTAACACTACGTACTTATCAAATACTTAGCGACCGAAACTAAAAAAAAAACAGTTTTTTGTCTCTACTGTAAAATCACTTTTAGCTGACATAGCTCCATTTGCAGTATCACCGACGATATACTGTACATATATAATTATCTAATATATAAAATTCTCGTGTCGCGGTGTTTGTGGTTAAACTCCTCTGAAACGGCTTTCCCGACTCTCATGAAATTTTGTGTGCATATTGGGTAGGTCTGAGAATCGGACATCTATTTTTCATCCCCCTAAATGTTAAGAGTAATCCACCCATATTTTTTTTCAATTTTAGATTTTTTTTTAATTTTTTTTATGATACAGCATTAGTAAATACATATAACCCTGAATTTTCAACCCTTTACAATCAACCCCTATTTTACCATTGCGATTTTTATTTTTAATAATTTCTTTTTTTTTCTCAAATCAATTTGTCCTTCCGCCTTCACCGGTCGATAACCGATCAACGATCAATCGATCAGTTATCCCCGCTAGATGTCTACCTGGGTCACCTCTCATCCAGCAAACATCACGGAGTAGGGATGAGAAGGAAGCCGGTCTCCTGTCTTCCTCAATATACAGTTTTCGGGCATTTTTTTTGGTTTCATTTGTGTATCGATCATAGCAGTGACTTATACGTATTATTTTAATTTTTCTGTGCATCTATTACGTTATTTTAATTATTAATTTCCAGTGCAATAGTTATTTTTTCACATTTTATTAATAACTGATAAAGACAGTTTTAACTATTAGTTAATTAAGTGATCTCATATAAATAAACACGTGTTGTGATCTCCCGCCAACAACGGCCATTACTGTACCTGTATATATTGTACTTAACGGTTTTTGAAAATAGTTTTAAATCAAAACGAAAGCGTGTACGAGTTTCTTAAATATACCTTTTTCATTATTGTGAAAGGTAAGTCAAATAATAAACAAATGAATACAATATAATAATAATGATTATTATACAGATATTTTGAATATACATATCTTATCATACATACCTATTAGCTTAAGAGCCAGTGGACGGCTACCTGTATGTATTTGACCAGACATGGGGTTTTGTACAGTGAGGCCCCTATACCTACCATATATGAGATGGGGGTTCACTAAGGCCGTATACAGAAAGAAAACCGAAAGCCGATCGGCGCCGATAAGCGCCGACACGCACTGGTCCGAATAATAAATAATTTGTATTTGAATTATTATCCTTAGATTAAATCAATCTAAGTTATAATCTTTTTATAAATCTAATAACTTTATCTTTTATTAACTAAGCGCTAAAATTATTTGTTTCGTACTTACCGAATGGTGACAACAAGTCTTTCTTCTGGAAGGATTGGTTGTTTATGCCAATTGCCCCAATTTTTCATCAAACGGTTTTTCACTAAATCCAAAATGTAATAAAATGTTTCTTGAATCATTCTTGTATATGTATAAAATCTTTGTTCATCAAATTTAATTTTTTTTTACAAATAAATGATGGTATTCTCCGAAACGTTTCCTTTCTCTATTTATAGGATGTATAGCTGTTTTTCGCAATTTTTAAATAAACATTTTCTAACAAAACCAAATCATCGTCCGATGAGTCCGACATTTTGCTTGATCTGCTTTAATCGGCTTCCTTTATGTAGGAAGGATCGGCGCCGATCGGCTTTCGGCTTTCTTTCTGTATACGGCCTAAGCCCTGACTGGTGGACGCGGCGCGCGCTCAGGTAAGACAGGTATCGATTTTTGGCGAATTTGAAATGCATTTGATCACGTCTGCCGTTTTGATATTTGAAAATATATTATTATTATTATCTAAAAATAACAATGGCAGACCATTATCGCTCGTTTAGCAAAGTGGCAGACAGTTTTAAAAGTGTAGAAAAAAAATTGAAAATAATTGACCAGATCTGCCATTAATAT